TTCTTCCTTCTCTCCGAGAGCTTCAGTAGCTACTTCTTTGATGCATGTTTTTATGTGCTCGTATGTTGTCACTAGGTCGTCGAGGCTGAATTCTTCCAGTTTTTGGTCTATTCTTCGCTGATATAATATATATGATATATAACTCATCGTGTAAAAGCTGTATATTTAACTTTTGTTCTTTTTGTTTATGTTCAAATGCTATTTCTTTTTTTGGTTCACGTTTGTTCCATGACCAGGGGAACTCCATTTTCGCGCTCAATAACCTGTGGTCTGTGGCCGCATTCTGCACCTCGTTTCACTCGGACATCTTTTATTTTAATTGAGGAATTGTTTTTGACTACAATATAATCTATAATTGATCTGAGATCTCTGGTTTCTTGTACCCAAGTGAATTTATGAATTTCCTTGTGTCGGTAGAAGCCATTTGTAATCTTGAGATTATTATAGCATCGTTCTCTTTTCTTCCTGTTCTTCCTTTGAAGTCTCCTGCTATTATGAGTTCTTGATTTTGTTTAATTTTATCAATTTCTTCTTGTATCGTTTATATGAAGCTTCTCTTTTCGATTAGTGCACTATCTTCCGTTGGTCCATATACTCCGATTACTATTATGTGTCTTCCAAAAACCACGATATATATTTTAATAACTCTATCATTTATTGGTTCTAAGCTTTTTATACATTTTATCCATTTCTTTTTTATTAAGATACCGCTCCAGCAATAAAGGACATCATCTATAATTTCTGTTCCATTTCCTTTTTTCTTGGTTTCGCTCACCACTAGTATGTCCAGTTCCGTTGTTTTAAATACATCTATTACCTCCTTGCCTTTGGTTCTTCATCCTTGGATATTTCAGGTACCGAAAATTAGTTTTCTATTATCTGTTTTTTGTTTTTGTTTTTGTTTACGTTGGTTGAGATTTAAGACTGGGTTTCGTACACGATCAGCATGTTTGCCCCCCCCACCCCGTATCCGTTGGGCTCCCTCTTCTGCCTAAAAGTCCATTGGAGGTGTGAATTACCACCCGGGGAAAAATTCCGTGGTTTTTCATCCTGCTTCTAGTCTATTTGACCCTTTATATTTTTACATGTACCATGGAGCTTAAACCTGACGCCATAACCCCCATTTGGAGGGCCTTTTTCTTCAGCCGCCCATTCTGGGAACCGTCGCTGTTTCCAGCGGCCCATTGTGAGTCCGACGCTGCGGTGGTGCTTGTTGGTCCGCGGGAGGTATTTGATTTCCCTCCAACCACCCATATCTGGGAGGCCTTCCCCTATCCACCACCTGGGGACGCGCTCTCTAGGAGTTGCAAGCTCTCCCGAGAGCTTGTGATAAATATCTGCACCAGAATTTAGAGTTTCTGCCTTTGAATGAGTAAATAATGTAGAAAAATGTCACCTTGTATTCTTTATTCTGAGATCTGAAAAATCTCTAGTTTTTCTAGGAACCGATTTGGAAAAAAAAAATATTTCAAAATAAAACTAAACAGTATCAACTTTAATTTAATAATAATAGCAATAATAAAAGAAGTTTAATTTTAAATCAACGCTTAATTAGAGTCGCTACATTCGTCTGATTCCCTCATAGTTTTAATATTTTCTTTGAGAGGCTTTGATTTTGGGTAAATTTGCGATTTTTGGATCAGATGAAAGTAACAAATTATGTATCTGTATCTTCGGTACTCTTTATTGTCCTCTCGGACCTATTCGGAAAGTTGTAAGATTGACACTGGACTGGACTTCACGATCTCTTTTCCGTGGGATACAGAGAAACAAATAATCGAGCAGTAACCGATAACTAATTTTTAGAAAACATTCTAAGCACCTAATCCACGGATGAAGTGAGGAAATGCCATATACCAGGTATTCCTCATCGACCTCATCAAAATTTGGTTCAAAATAGTATTTTCAAATTTCGCTTAACGAACAAAGCCTACATATATTTTTGTTGAACATATCATTTTTATAAATTTTGGAAATATGGAGAAATCTGTAAATCAAAAACTCGCCATGAAACTGAGAGGAGACGAATAAAAATATGTTTTTATAAGATATGGAGGAAGAGATAGGCAGAATTTTATTTTTTAGAAAGGGTTTTCTCAATTCTTGAGATATCTCTAAGAAAAGTTATAGGTAATCAAAGAAAAACACAGATTCAATTAAATAACAGTCATGTGGAATCCAAAAAACAAAATCAATATGTCCTTAAGTAGCCTAAACTTACCTCTATTAAGTTTATCCATTGAAAAAAGGTACTTATTTATCGTGGCCACAAAACAAGACATTTTTTTAAATATTTCTGATATTTTAGATAGTTCAAGGCATGCTTGTTAGAAATTAGGAATTTTTCAAACTTTTTGGGCCATCCTAGCCCAATGTGCGATGCTTGTTTACACTTCCTTAAGTACGCGGGAAGTTTATCTGCAGCACCAGCAAAAGGATAAACGGGGCCCGCGCGTGATAACCGTGTCAATTTTTTCTTTCTTAGAGATTTTCCAGAACGTGACGACCAACAACGCTGATGCGCGTGTCCGTTATCACGGTAGGTCCAATTATTTCCGCCTAATTTGCAACCCGCTGCTCTGTCAGAATTCGGACGGCGAATATAGCCAGGCAGTATATATATATATATATATATATATATATATATATATATATATATATATATATATATATATATATATATATATATATATATATATATATATATATATATATATATATATATATATATATACAGCCGAGTGAGTGTTTAATGAACGAGTGACTTAAAAAGTTTACCGAACATGTTGCGTATTATAGTTTTTCTACGACCGTTAGATTTTGGGTACATTTTCGCAAAACAAGACGAATACATTCACTGACATGACCGTTAGAATTGACAAACATCAAAATTCAAGGCGTGGGAAATATCTCCGAAAACATCCGGTTGCTCCGAAACCCGTGCGGTAAAATCCCGGAAATGTCCGAAATGGCTCGGATCCGTGGGAAACGAAAGTGACGTTTCCCGCACACTAGATCGGTGTGTAATTAGGTATTTTACAGACGGGAATACAAAAAAATTATTTTTTGAGTTTGGACTCTTAAATCTAGTTTTTGGTATTGATTAGTGTTTTAGTATTGACAAAAAGATCAACAATTACGGAAAATCGTAATAATTCTATTACCATTCAACCGAGCGGAACTGACTATGAAGGGTGATTCACGGCGGATTCTGGGTTACATATTTACGGAAATTGTGACCGTTTTAGATATTTCGTCATGCGCATAACTACGTGATTGTTATCATTTTAAAATACGTTGCCACTTCTTTGAAAAAGTAGATGAATGTTTGTTTTGTATAACATTTATTTTTCAATAAAACTTCTATTTCCAGTGGTTTTCGGGAAAATCAATGTTTTCCTTATTTTTGAAATAGTTGATCACGAACATATTTGCATTCTGTGTAGAAAAACCTGTTCCGCATTATACAAGGAGATTTTAAATTTGTGATATTTTGCGCCCCCTATATTGTCGACTGTCATTTAAACGCTCTTCAAATATATTATTGACTAGGATTACTCGTTTTCTTTAGTTCTTGTCCAAATATCCCGAAATAAACTTACAAGTTACAATTAAAATTGGAAATCGACGCGGTTCGGCGCGACGGACGCCGACAAAGCTCAAGGTTAAGCCGGCTACGCTAACCGGCGGTAATTTATAAGCGGTTATTACCGAACTATAACCGCCTTACTTTCTCTCTGCGTGAATTCCACGCGTTTGAAATCGTTAGCGGTCGTTCTGTTTCGCGTTTTACATTAATTCGCTTATCTCGAATTGTTTACTTTTTTAAGTATACGCGTTCGCTATCAATTAACAGCCTTTAATGGATGCGTTTTTTTTGTGTCGTGCGGCCTTGAAAAGTCGATTGTTTTGATTAAATGTCATAGTTGGCGGACAGTTGCGGTGTATGGGCTTTTGTACAATTAAGAGAGAAAAACGCACCCATAGGCAACCGTTTTCACCGAGATATACATAAAATATGCAAAGAATCCGATCTAAAATAAACATTTATTTCGATTTTATTTAAAACCGTACAGCAGTTCCAATCCGAGCATGTTTCTAATATGCAAGGCTATTTATGCATAAAGCGCGTGGACCTCCTATTACCTTTAAGACAATAACAAAGTTTTAATTATAAACTCTAGCTTGAAACACCTTTTTTTAAGTTTGCACGATTGTTTGAACCAGTGCGTAAGAAGACATCGACAGTACATCAGGCGCCTAACCCCAATTTGTTTCTGTTGTCGTTAAGCTGGAAGCTGCATTGTCGTTGGCCAATTGCACCTTTGGCAAGCAAACAGGCATGAAAACCAACATGGCCAACGACCAAAAACTTTGAAAAGTTTACCAAACGTGTTGCTACTTTTTCTGCGACCATTAATTTTTGGCTATATTTTTGAAAAACCGCACGAATACATTCACTGACATGACCGTCAGAATTGACAAACGTAAAAATCCAAGCCGTGGGAAATATCTCCGAAAACATCCGATTGATTCCAATCCCGTGCGGTAAAATCGCAGAAATGTCCGAATTCGATTGCAGTTATAGGAAACGAAACTGACGTGGTAAAAGAAGAAAAAGAAAATTCGTGCCTTGTATAAAATAATTGGAATTTTAGAACGGAGATTCTCATTCTCATCCTTATAGATTAAAGGCATATTTGTTATTATTGAAAGAATAGAAATTATAGTGTCACTAAAAATGCATTACATATTTCCTGGAGTGAAATTCCTGCAGACGTCGATATAATTAAAACATTCCTACTTTCATTGCATTCAAATCGAGGGTCTACGCTAACTCATTATTAATCGTGTTGTAATTGGCTACCCGTCTGCCATAATTAGTTGTTCGATGCAATTTCTGAGACAATAAATGACATATTTCTTTATTTCCCTTCAATCTGTCGTTAATAGATTTCCCTATTCACGCATTGTTTTAGTTTAGGTTAGTTTCTACGTACCCATTTTTCCCTGGCTGATGTCGAATTGGGACAAGCCATCTTCGATGAACCCCGGCTTTGGGCACAAATCCTGCAATAAACGCAATACATGTTATTCAGTTTGTTAAAAGCGCAAAAAAAATCAGAACGGAAGGTGCTGGGTTTAATTGTCGAATTTAATAGTAGTAATATGTATCTAGTTATAAATTACTAGTTTATCTAGTTTGAAGATAGCAGATATTAGATTTTTTTTTTCAAAGAAACGTCCACAGGCTACTGTTATACTTTTTACAAAACTTCTGGATTCCTCCTGCATCGGTTTTTGCTTAGTCGAAATTGCTGACGTTTCGCCAATCATCCTGTTGGCTTCTTCAGAGCTTCAGAGACAGTTTCAGTCAAGCTCTGAAGAAGCCAACAGTATGATTGGCGAAACGTCAGCCATTTCGACTAAGCAAAAACCGGCGCAGGAGGAATCCAGAAGCTTTGTAAAAAGCATTACAGTAGCCTGTGGACGTTTCTTTGAAAAATTAGATGGTTATTGTCCTTGAAAGTTAAAGAAGGCTGTCATCAATACAAATTTGACATAAACTAAGTCAGTCTTTTAGATATTAACAGTAGAATTTCTACGTCTTAAGCACAGTTTATGTCAGCTATTTACTACGTGAACTTAGTACTGAAGTACGAATTTTAATTTATGTCATTTTTTTAGAGGTTTGTAAACAATAAAATTTAAATTACAAATTACAAATACTTAATACCAAAAATAGTCCATCTCTTAAATTAAAAAAAGAAACAATTTGTCATGTGAAGTACATTCATTCATTAAATTAGTGTGCAGATACTTAATATATTCAAAAGACGCGTACGGAATGGTAAGTTACTACCTTATTTTGGGAATTAAATATAGAAAATGAAATGAATGGGTTGATATTTATCTGATGATAATATGATATTTATATGACCAGTAAGACGGGTTTCTGAAATAGTTTGAATCTCGAATTATTTTACGCCATATTTCTTCTGCGACCAAAAGAACATCTCCGTCCACGATACAAACTCATTCCCAGAATCAGCGCGACCGTCGACCTAAATATTAGGAGCGCCATCTAGCGTGTAACACTCGCGGCAATCCTCGAAACGGGATTTCTAGCAGCAAATTTACAGTAAGAGATGCACGGAACCCGTTTTTCGCGGGCAGTCGAGCACGTTACACATTTTCCATCTTAGGTCGGCTTGGCCGGTCGCTGCTACAGCAGAGTTATCCACCACAGACCACGGAAAGGCCCATAGTTTCCCGCAGACGTCGAGTTCATTCCGCTTAAATTCCAAACTGGATCACTGATGCGAAACGAAGTCGGTTTCGTTTATTTTGTAAAACGACCTGAGAAACCGCATTCCCTCGGTATACAAGGTGCACCGATCTAAAATATAACTAACGACCAGACCGTTGGAAAATCTATGAACATTGGTGCCTCGGAGGCCTGTTGCGAAACGCATTTACTGTTTAATACATATATACAGGATGTTCCATGAATTGCTGAAAACTCCTATGGGACGTGGCGTAAAGAGAAGTGAAAAGAACCTTCTTTTGGCGTTTTGTAAAGCAGAAAATAAATCTGCAAACAATAAAATTGGATGAGGATGTTGATATCCATTCATCTGAAATATTGCAGATGCTCAAATGATCAAAACATAGATCCAGGATGATTTATCCAGATCTACTGTGTCAATATAACCTATAACCTCCACCGAGCCTGGGATAGACTAATGGCTTGCCAATGTCAACGATATTTGTGAAATGTTATAAAATTAATTTCTATACTATTTTCCTAGTGAGACTCTATTGTTAGATTTCAACAAAAAAATGAATTTGAACCAATTTACGAGTTTATTTTATTTTATTTCACTTACAGCCGTAGGACTTCCTATGTCAATCTCTGACGATTCCAATGTAGTAATACCGGGAAAATCAAAACAAGACATTAAGATAAAGGTAGAATCAGCCATAAAAATAATGCCAAATTGGTATCTTGCCAGCGGTGTCACATTAAATACCAATAAATCCGTGGTAATGGGATTTGCCGCCATTAAATTAAAAACTCATAAAAAAGTCCTGAAAAATTGTTTGTGCAACAAAATTTCTCGGATTATTTATTGATCAAAAACTCACATGGGCAGGAAAATGAAGCTCACACTGTTTTCTGTTAAGAAATATAAGAGACCCAGTCTTTATAGATATTTTGAAATGAATATATAATTATATAATAATACAATATCCTACCTCTTATGGCCGGCATAAGTAGCTCAGACAGAGAAATTTTTTTAAAATACAATATATTGAATTTTCCTGGTTTCTATATCTAAACATATGCACCACCAAGATTACACGTTGGACATCAAGATCCAAACTATATGGGTATAAAATGCTTAAATGAATTATTTGAAATAAATTGCTGTACAGCAAGCAAATTTAAATGATGGAAGAATTTCTTAAGGATGAAAATATGAAATAATGTTTAATTAGATTTTAGGATCTTCAATATATGCATTTCTTAGTTTGTGTTTTTTATTGTTTATTTATTTATTTATTGTTGTTATTATTTTATATTCGGATATCTATCCTTGTGTAATATTTTTCGTGTTCAATTTTAGATACAAAATTTGCTTGCGTATTGTGTATTTTGTATACATTGTCGTTCAGAGGAATTAATATTACCTTACGTAATCTATATTACTAAAAAACTAATTAAGTCATAACACTTTTCAATTTTTTGAATCTTAAACCTCTAAAAGCTATAGAGTTAAAACACATATAATAATTTTTACACCATGGAAGCAAAATTTTGAAAAAATGAGACACCAGATAGTGTACACTGTTCGGGTAAACTTGAAAAATATCTAGAATGTTAATTCTTCGGCGAGTAAGAGTGACACCCAGAAGTAGAAGTAGTGGTGCAAATAAAATAATTTTTACAACTGATACTTCACTATATGTAATATAACAAGTGTAAAATTAATAAAATCTTAACACTCTTGAAATTATATTGAATAACTTTTCTTTTGAAAACTTCTTGTATTCTCCGCATAGGCAGTAGCTATATGTCTAGAGTGAGAACCTATCACGTCTAATGCATTGTTCCAAATCAACTAAGTGGAAGTTAATGTTCTGCGCCCACTTTGACAGCAAATAAAGCCCACCAAGCATTGCAAAAGAACTTTGTGGCCCACTCGCTGACACCGGGTGTTTAAAATGACATTCTAGCCGTTCGCATCCACAAGCATGATTTCATTTGTCATGTTGGTTTCATTTATACAAATTGTTTACGTTATTTACTCATATAATTTTCATTGAAATGATTTACATATTATTTTTTAACTATAAAACAATATTTTCTTTTATTAATAATAAAAAATAAAATTGATAATAATCTTACTTCTCAAAATCCCCTAAAAAAAGTACATAGAAATGGATACACTTCAAATTCAAATTGGGACTTTTCACAAAAGACTTGAAATTACAAACGTATTGACCTAAATATGTATACATTTTAATTGAAAAATGAAAATAAAAAGCACGATGTGCTTATTATTCACAATAATCAATATTATTGACTTTTGAAAATAATTTTTGCATTTTAAGAATAAATTTATCTATTGTTTGCAAACTAGTAGGTAAAATATTACCAACATACATTATTTGTAGTTTTTATTCCTTTTACTGATATTACAGATTATGAAAAGATATCTAAAGTCGGTTTTCACTAGCGTGTTAGACTCTCATTTGACTATCTCTTGTTGCAATAAAAGTGATATCGTTCCGTTTAATTTTTTTTGAGAAAATAAATTTTATTTATGACAATGTCTCAAAATTCATTTTAAATCAATCTGCTCATAACAACGTTGACGGCCCAAAAAAAATCTTTCCAACAACTCCAAATTTGGTAAAACGCGATCAGCCGTTCTGAAGTTATTAACCTTTAACCACGAGTAAAAACCATTTAAGGAAAAGGAATCGAATTTATTCCAGCTTTAATTATCTGGAATGTAAGATAATTTCTCAAAAAACGAAATTCAAAAAGAATGAACTTAAAACTATTTTCCAGCATTTTCTGTTGGCCGCTTTAATCATAAGTTTTTTCAGGCCAAGTCTATACGGCAATTGCTTTTCTAGATAGGCCCGAGTGCCCTTCTTATTAGGCCACCCGCTACATCACATATGTCACACAAGAATCTACAAATTTGAAAAATGTTTATTACTTAACAATATCCTGAACCACAACCACACACTTTAAAGCAGGATAAACGATTAAAATAATATAATTTCACAAAGTACCGTCCAGCAAACGATTTACCATCGAAAACCACAGACACGTAAAGCAATTGAAAAATAACATAAAAAAATCTCTTATAATAATAATAATAATAATAGAGTTTCTTAAAATACAACAAAAAGAATATAACACAATAGAGTTGGTGGCGAGATCTAGCAACGCTACGCCACCTAACCACCTACAATTTAGTAGAACATTCAGAATTTAACAAGTAAAAAACTCACAAATATAAATATTAGCCCTTAAGTCCACCTATATTCATTTTATTTTTCTGCAATTACTATCAATGTGTACGAGAAAGAAAACAATCCGCCTTTACCACCCCTTTATCACAAAATTTAAGAGGAGCATATACCGTATCTCGAAACCAACGGAGGTTACAAAAAAAAAATACAAAAGTTGTTTCTATTAGAATGACCTTTTTTTTTCCTAATCGTCACTTTTTAATATACGGGGTGGTAAAACCAAGTGACATTTTTTTAAATAGAGCACCCTACATTTGATTGCATTTTAGGATAGTCCTTTCAAAGACAAATTCAACGATATACATGAGTTTGGGCTTGTTTCGAATTTATTAGCGCTCATCTTTAGAATTAGGGTTATGTTTAAACCATAATTGTTGGGTTGCTTATTAAGTTATTAAACTTTTTTCCATCTAGGTATTATTTTTACGAAAATAATGCTTTTCTTTAGGCAATGATCAAATTTAAAATATTTTCTTTCTTTCCTCAATTTCTTTTTTTTCTTAAATGAGACACCCTGTATATTATCGGATTTTCGAATAGCCACTTAAATAGCAATTTCAATTATATAACACAGTACGGTCTCTCACTTACCGTTTTGGCTTAATTGGTACTTATTTTCCGATAATACATAAATTCTTTTACATTAATAATTTAAGAATCTTGCGAATAAGGTCCTTAAATGGAAAACAACTTTTAAAAAATATTTGTATTGTTAATAATACAGACCGCATGTCTTTAAAAAATATATAGTATAGTATATTGTAAGACACAAACACAAAATTGATGCTATGAATTTTGACCTTTTGATCATAGTAGCTTTGACAACAATAGTAGTTCTCTGTTGGTATTATGATATTTTAAACGTATTTTTTTGGACTTCCACTATTTTCTATTTATTTTATTAAGTTGCATTTTTGTTGAGAATATTTTGTATAATGCATAACAGAGGAGGAAAATATTGACCAATAACAAAAGGCCGGCTCTTGCTCTAAGACAATATAGAACCAAAATTCCCCATAAGCGATTGCAAGAAAAAAAAATTGCTAAAATATACAAGCAGTTTCCAACAAAGGGCAATTAGTGAAAAAAAGTAGGAGGCGAAAGGATTTCGATGAAAATATTCTTATTCTATGTTCTTCTGCATTTTGAAAATACGCCAGAGACCTCCACCCGCCTTGCCGTTTCAGACGTAGACTTAAGACGGACCACACTTCAAACATGTCGAAAAATTAACAGTTATAAGCGATTTAAATTCACACCAGTACAAAATATAATTTGGACCGATGAATGGATATTTACAACGTCTGCACATTATTGGAGTTCAGAAAATAAAAAATGTGTGTATGCGACTTAAAAAAGCAGAGGCGAACCGTGAAAGTATGGTACGCAATCTGGAGATGTAGAATTTTAGGACCCATATTTTACCAAAAAAATTAACATCCGTACGATGTTTAAACACAAAACGGAACCATCTCCTGGCCAGCGAGCAGTCCAGATTTGACCCCGATGGACTTTTTGTGGGGCACATTGAAAAATATGGTGTACAAAGATAAACCGTCAACAGTTTTGAAAGTGCATCAATGAGATCCCAAGGAAATACACTATGTTTGTAATCATTTCTTGTAGACATTTAAACATAGAAATAAATAATTTACGAAAGTTGGCAACATTGTGCAAAGCTTAATATTGTTTTTAATATGACTTCTCCACAATGCTCTAAAACGGTTGTGAACCAATTTCATATCTTAATAATTTAAATCTTATACCCAGTTTTTATGTATTATTGGAAAATAAGTACCAATTAAACCAAAACGGCAAGTCAGAGACCCGTATTATGTTATATATTTGAAATTGCTACTAAAGTGGCTATTCGAAAATCCAATAATGTACAGGGTGTTTCATTTAAGAAAATTGAGAAAAGCATTTTTTTCGTAAAAATAATAGATAGAAAGAAGTTTAAAAATTAATACGCAACCCAATGATGGTTTAAGTATAATCCGAATTCTGAAGATGATCGCTAATAAATTCGAAACGGTGCATCGCAGACCCATACTCATATATATCGTTGAATTTGTCTTTGAAGGGGCTATCCAAAAATGTAATAAAATGTAGGGTGTTTTATTTTAAATAATGAAACTTTAGGATTAGGATTAGGAAAATAAAAAATATGTCATTATAACAGAAACAACTTTTGTGTATACATTTTTTTTGTAACCCTCGTAGGTTTCAAGATAACGTATAGCCCCTCTTAAACGGACCACCCTGTACACTATTAGGTGCCGTTTATTACAATCAATGCCTACCTAGTCATGGATAACATCATTCGAAAGACCCTCGTAGATTTTCACCGCATACGCTAGCGTAAATCATATACGGGTAAAAATTTTTCCCCTCGACCGGCCGTGAAATAAATAATGGCCGCTCTTTTTATCGTACTCGATTAAAGATTAATTACACAGCCAACTGAGGATAAAAGCGGTTGCAATCCGCACTAATAAAAATATATAATAACGCTCGCAACAAAATGATTCCGTTCCCCGGTATGCAGCCGAGTGATTATACACGACGCGGAACATACAGGGCGTTCGTCGAGCGCTTGTCCGTTTGAGGAAAAATCCTCTCTAGAAAATGTATTTTTTTAGGTCGTTTTGAATGTCGCTAGGGGACCTAACTGTATAAGATAATTATTTTATCTAGGAAAATAGGTTGAGATAATACTGCAAATAAATTAATAATTAAATTTGGATTTTATTTTTTTGTTTCATAAGCTATAGCTATTTTTTTATTGGTTTTAGGCATTTTCAATAAAAAGAATTAATTGAAATGAACAAGGACTTTATTATTAAACCACAAATTTTTAGTAGCCTTTTTTTTTTCGTTTTTCTATTTGAATAGACAACCAACATCACCGATAGTCTAGCAAGCAATGCGAACAACAATGCAAGCATCTGCTAAGACAGGGGTATGTTATACTACTACTACTACTTTTTTTTTAATTTTTAAAATTGTTTAATTAGGAAACTTTCTGATAAAGCCACCGATTCTATGTGGTAATCGTACTTGCCCATGGTCGTAGAAAAATGTCTGCGTTCAGCCCTTTCAATTCATGTTGGTCTCTCATACAAAATGCCGAAGATATAAAGCATTTTTTTTCCTCGTCAATAGTTGTCCACGTGAATTAAAGACAACTGAAATAATTTAACTAACCAAACTACTCAATATCTTTATTTCTATATTAATATTTTAGGATACTTAAGAAACATCGTATACATATTTTGAGACGTATTCTAGTAATATAAGCTGTTAAAATTAAATTTTCCTTTGGCAATGTTATCATATTATGCTTTTCATAATTTTGAACTGGTCAAATTATTTTCGACCCTTAGGTGATGTCTTTATATTTGACATTGACCGCTGTATACACAGCCAAAATGAATAGCACATGACTTATAACTCTGCCATTTTTTGAAAAAGGCTTAATACACATTTTTTGAAAAACACGGCCAACTACTAACTAAGTTGTATTTACTGGTGAGAAATGGGAGAATTATTGAAAGACAGCTGAGTACGCCATTGCCTTTAAATAAATGAAAAAATGAATAAAAATTCATCGGCCGTTTTCAAAATGACCGAAAAGTGAACATCTCCGTACGATAGTTTAGAAATAGATTTTTTCCGCACCCGGGGGATTGTCTCGGTTAGTTTCGTAATTTTGGCCGTCCGGTATATAACGTCGATCGGTCGGGATTGCGACATCCTGTACTTCGATCCAATTTTCAATATAAATCAAAGTCGGCGGCGAGTCGCCGGTCGCAAACGCCACCCGACAGCCATTATATCTGATATAATAAGTCTCAGTACAGATAATTAGGCCTATTATAAATTATAATCCCGTCGGTTCGGTAAAAATCCCATCGATCAAGCTCGGGCAAATAGCACACGCATATTATACGTCGTTAAAGGCTTTCTGGTACGCGAGAGTCTCTTTTTTTTCGCTCGGAACGCGCGACGAGAAATAGATCGCGCTCGACCACCAGGCTATACGACGTATAGTGCTTTCACAGATATATGGTTATCAGTAAACAGGGACGTTACGGTAAATTAATTTTTTGGAAAAAATAAGTACGTAAACATGCGTCCTTTCAATTGGGTTTTTTATTTTTTAAAATTAAGACTTAATTTCTTACAGAAAGTTGGCCTTTAGTTTGCCTTTAACTGCGACTGCAGTAGGGTTCGTCATCTAATCGACCGTCGCTGTCTCTCGGCAAGTTGTGTCAAGTAGGTGTGAAATGTGCCAAATTTGGGCAAAAATCGAAAGTTGGAGCAGTCAAATTTAACATTCGTTTAAATAATAATAAAATAATACTTTTTGACCTTGAAAAAAACAAAAATTTTCATACGTATACAAAAATATATTCAGCCATAAGTTCTATATAGTGCTTTCACAAAAGTAAGTAACAATGCGCCCTATAAATTTAATTTTAATTTCTCATTGAAAGTGATCAATGCCGAACAAATTGCATAAACTGTTAATAATGTATTACTTGATAGAGGACCTAACGCTAGACTATGTGGTATCTACACTACGAAGTCTGAAGGAAATACTTGTCAGTGACGAAACCCAAATAATCTGTGGAATTGCTAGCCTCTGGGAGGTTTTATCCACAATGGCCTTCAAATATCAAAATAGAGAAGAGACTTATACAATGCAAACCATTACGAAAATAGCGGCATGACTAGCTAACAGGGATAAGAAAATACCGTTCTAAGAATTATTTATGAGACATGCTTTGTAATTACTCATGAAATGTTTTATAATACTTAGCAATATTACAATAATATTGCTAAACCCATATTTTTTTTACTTCGCTCATTTAGAGAATATTTATTGCGAAGCTCTTCTATACACGATGGGACCAGCACGGGTGTAGAAGTTCGCACTCTCTTACCTTGGGCCTCTTCCAAGTGAACTGAAACGGCGGCGTCTGGTGGTAGAAGACGGAAGCTTGAGTCGCGGGAAAGTCGGGGTCTTCCCAAAGCTCGCCCCGTTTCAGGCACGCCCTCCTTATCCGCTCGTACTCGCTCATCCCCTGAGTAAAAGAAATAAAAATGATCAACCACAACCTTCATATCTTGAGTATGGCCCGATAAAGGGCCGAAACGTCGGCATAAAAGCTAAAAATTCAGTGTTGTTATTGAGCCGATCCATCAAACCTTTACATCTTTTTGAAAAACCAATTGTGTTCAAAAACATCACGCTTATCGATATTCTTTAAAAAATAAACCACTTTTAAAAAAAGTATAAGCGCGCCTTATTTGCCCTACGGACCAAATAATAATAAATAATAATGATTAAAACACCAAAAGTAGTCTTTTTTCCTTTTTCCCCTAAGTCATTTTCCGTTCGTTACGACTACAACTCCTTTTTCAATTCCTCGCGCTCTCTCAACATATGTTTGATAGTTTCCTTCCATTATCAGCATAATATGAAATTTCCCTAGGCTTCTTCTAACCAATGCTTATTCTCTCTCTCCTCGTTTCCAAAACTAAACCTCGCAATCAACTTCCTGTCCTTCATACTTTCGCTACTACAGTACTGGAGGCACTTTGCGTATCTTAAGTAATTTTGCTACGTTTTCATGAGTGCTCATTATTCCTATCTTCATGAACTCTTTCATATCTTTTTTTTTTTCATTATATTCTTTGCTACCTTGCCGTTGTTTCTTACTCTTTATCTCATCAATCAACCGAATGTAAATAAGCAAAACGCAAAAGTTAGAAAACTTGTATTATAATAATAAACAACGAATAGGTAAGTATAGTGCTTTCACAGTGCTTATTGACCGATTGAATCCAATAAAATTACCCGTGGCGGTTCCATTGTATACACTAGAGCTTGGTAATAAAGATGCTCTAAAAATGTAATGCAGGATCGGCTTGCCTGAAGAACAAACAATACTGGCGCAAAAATTCTATAATTAATTTAATGAAGTGCTCTAATCTCTTTATTAGACGGAGTGTTGTTCTACACCATGAGTTTGCAACCATCAAGGTAAGTAATGATCTATTCTCAGAACAGTATTTTCTTATCGCTTTTCTTATCATTTTTTTAATCGCCTGTGAACTTTCTAAAGGTTTTTCTACAACTTATTTATCCTTCAGACTACGTGTCACTTGATTTTTGTATATGTTATAAGGTTCTAACTTATCACATATGTCAAAACATTTGCTGGAATCCAAATCTTTACGGTTCCTGCGTGTTTTAATGGGATTTGGCACCACTATTTTCACAGAACTCAAGGATATCTTAGCCAAATCAGATAATTCATTTGCATAAGCATTGGCGTGAAGTCCTCTGTTAAGTAAACAATTGTAAACAGTTTTTACAATTTGCCTGGCATCGAGAGATAATTGCTTTTTCTGTAATGAAACACTACGTCTAGCAGGAAGAATGTCTTTCCATGCATGAAACATAACGATGTTTCTAAAATCAACATTTGGCAAAACAACAACGCCCTAATATTATTAACTTAAAAAAAAACATTATAAGCATTTCTAACTTGTCTTTTCAAATAATCATCCATTCATAAGTACCCCCGATATCTGTCAATACACAGTACTTATTGCTCAATACATGTTTGAATTTTTATAGTACATTTTTGGGAAGATTCAAAACATGTTCTTGTTCTTCCAGCATATTTATTCAAGTGTGGCTTGGTTTAGTCCGATGTTATTATTTTTTATATAACGGTCACGTTATATATTTGACATATTTGACCCAGTATACTTGACGCAATGTGGAGAGACAGCGACGGTCGATCAGGAGACGAACCGTTTCGTGCAATTTCGATCGGCTGTTGCTGTCGCAGTTAAAGCCAAGAAGCATTCGCTTTCGACTAAACAAATATTTGCTGAAAGTAGCGGCGCGCGACTCGATTTGGGAACATTACAATTATTATTCTCACGCCGCAAACGCGCACGCAAAACAATGGAAGTCGCAACAGTCTGACGATTTCTTCTCGAGAACGCAAAACATTAGCAACGGAAATCGGTCGGTCGGCCTACCGGATCCTGTTCCGGTTATCGATTCCGGGATCGTTAAGATCGATAGTAGGCATGAAACGAGGCAACTTTTTTTGCCCAAGATGAACATTTAAGGAGAAAAATATAATTTCTTTTGAAAATTGCCGATATCTTCTTTATTTACTAAAAGTTTTTAAATGCAGTGGCCTACTACTACATTTTTTCTATAACTTTTCGTCTTCCCGCAAACGAATAAATTTCTCCTATTTTATATGACAATAGGTATTAAAATATTCCAGCTTCGAGCCATTTTCGATCGTACATAGTTGTCAGGTTTTGTTAACATATAAACTATGAGTTTTACAAATGTTTGAGCCAAAAGCTGCCGACAGCAGTTTTCGTATATCTCCTTTAAAAATTCGAATTTCCCTTTAAAAGTTTATAATTTGGAATACCCGCGTACCTACGCCGCTGGAGTGAAAATAGCGGGACACGTTTTTTTTGTAATGGATTCCGTGCGATCCCCTTGCCCGCGGGTATAGAACCGTCCGCAGTTCCTAGTCCGGGACCAGAACAATAATAATACTAGATTACATACGGTACAAGTGCCAGAGATCCCATCTTGTAATCGAGTGCGAACATCTCGCTATTATATAGGAGAGGTCGACGGCCGCCTTATTTCCAGACATTTTTTCAATTTTTTTATATTCTTATTCGATTGCACGATTAAACTCCCCGACAAATTGGCTAGAATGGAGCCCGATCTCTTTTTTTCAGGAGCGAAAACGTGATCTAATCCGTGTTCTGTGGTCTGCGATAGTGGCAAAGCCGGCTGCGATTAATTCGCAGAGTAAGCGCAGGGTTCGCCGTCTACACGACTACCGCAGTCTCCCCGTTACGCTGTCGAACATTTTCCGCCCGGAATCGCACCGAGACGCGCGATTAGCGCTCAGTTTTGCGGTTAAATCGTCGGTAATTGCTTCTATTGTTTCGCAACAATTCCCGAGGTCCCACAGTATAACCGAGTTATGTATTATTTTCACTTTCTTCGAACGAACCTTAATATCGGACGGACAGGGCCTAACATTCACTCCGTTTTGTCCGTTAATACGTCCGCATGTTCTCGCGGATCAAAGATACCGCACAGAATCACCCTGGTCGCGGTTGATATTGGCCGTGTAGCCAATAAACTGCACGAAAAACGCCCGTAAATCGCACTATCCATGCATCGGGAAGGTCGATCCGAGCATCATCACGGCCGACCTGATCGCCGCACGTGTCAAACCAAACGCGTTACGAAAACAGTACCAAAAGGAGCGACCGCGTTTCCTTAACGCTCACTACGACTCGACTGAAATCAAATTCCTACTGAAAGTTTACCGCTGCGGATCGCCGTCGGCCGACTAGAGCTGAGTGCGCCGGATCTTTGACGATGTCGACTAGATCTTCTGAGTAAAACACCGTTCGATTCTGAATTCATGATTCGAATATACGATTATCGCCCCGCGTTAGTTGGCCGGAATCCGCGGCTGACCTCGATCAAAGAAAGCATTTTCTATACTTGCGCGGCGACAAATCCGGGGGCTTTAAAAATCGTTCGGACCGAAACAACTTTCTTTCGGGATATTTTATAACCGTGCTTCGCGGCGCGGCAAGTGCATGAGCCGACGTTTTTGCGAGTGTATCGTCGAATTTTATTGATACGCGTCGAAACTAGTTAACTGGCTGAAAAGCTTAAACAAGTTTTGACCAGATCGCCCTAAATTGCATACACTTTACGCCAAACGTGCTTATTTACTCGTTGCATTCAAAAAATAATCATAGTTTTTTTTTAAATAGCGCTGAAAAAGTAAAAAATCGGTGATTCAACTCGCAGACATAACATCTTTCTTTTCCTTGACCGCATCTGCCAACACCATTAAACGAACACTCATCATAAATGATGATCTCACCATATTATCTTTTAAAAAAAACACAATCAATTCATACTTTTTCAAAGGAGTTTTACATAGCCATTCTATTACAAAATTGTTACGACAGCAACTAAGGCCACTCGCCCACATCGCAGTCACATACCAGAGTCTAACGGTATAATTTTTTTTCGAGGTTAGTTGCGTTATTTGTTTACTTGTGAAAATCGTCAATCTCTTCCGATGGCGAAGGCTCGAAATTGCTACATCAAATACAGTCTGCAAACCAAGTGCAGGATATGCCTGACTCAAAGTTGGAAAACCGGAACCGATTTGACATCGCCTATGAACTCGAAGGCGGACCAGGTGACTGTAGCGGCCGCCTTGGAGGATTTGATGGGTGAAAGAGTGCCAATCGCCGCCGCGTATCCTTCAACGGTGTGCGGCATGTGCCTGGGGCTGCTCAATATAGCTTCCGACTTGAAAGTTCAGTTCAAAGAGAACCAAAAAGTTATTGCGGATGTTTTGGGCGAGGTAGAGCCGCAGGTGGTTCGAGAGAAGGAACCGCAGGCCCCCGTCGAGCTAGTTGTAGGCGGCAAAACGTACGATATTAAAAACCTACTGATAGTGGAAGAGGAGAATGAAAACGAGACGTTGAGTAATTTTGATGGTTTTCTGAGAAATTTGGGTAATACCATAACGGCCACCTTTGTCAATAAACATGCAAAGCCGTCAAAATTAGTCTGTGAAACAAAAGTGAAAATAAAAAGACGTCCTACATCCTATGTCTTACAGAATAAGTCAAAAACAGATTATGTAATTGTTCCAAACAGTGAGGAAGAGTTAGACTCTAATGAAATAGATCGAGATGGTCAGAAACAACTGAACCTAAATATTAAACCAGAAAATTTAGGTCTTTTTTCAGAAACAGAGAGAGACCTTATAAATTCAGCCATGAATATGGTCTACAGTTGCATGTATTGCAAAAAGCCTTACACCTCCCTGGCAAGATTAAAGACCCACCTGGGAGTGTGTGGCAAAATTTCGAGTTTGCGGTGCCCTTTATGCAATAAAAAGTTCATTCAAAAAAAATTTTTGACATACCACATTAGAAAAGTTCACCTAACTGTTCAAAATTCTACAGATATTAAGGAGAGTAATCAAAATCCTCTCAAATGTACAACTTGCGGGACTGTGTGTCGGAGCTACAGTAATTTAAATTATCACAGGATAAAGCACAAAGGTAAGTTTAAATAAACATGTCTTCACAATTTTAACATTTAATATAATTCACATCGCTTATGCTTTGCACCATACATAATAGAATTTGGTTAGTTTTCGTCGTTCTTTAAATTCTAGTGTAATTTCCTTGCAATTGCAGGAAAGCAGTGCGCATGCGACACATGCGATAAAAAATTTTATACAAGAAGTCAATTGGCATTTCACAAACAGATCCATTCGAAAAAGGAAACCCGCGTGCTGTGCCCTATCTGTGGCAAAAGCTGTTACTACCAGAGCGGTCTGTTTTACCACATGAAAGTACACACGGACCAGAAAAATTTCCAATGCAGTTATTGCGACAGGCGTTTCTTTTATTCCGCTTCCTTGAAACGACACGAACGCACACATACCAACGAAAGACCCTTCCTTTGTAAATTTTGCGGTAAGGGCTTTAGATCGATAGACGAGAAAAAAAAGCATGAGTATATTCATACCGGGGAACGGCCGTACCAGTGCGACTATTGCGACAAAGGTTTTACTAAAACTTTTAGTTTACAAGTGCATTTGATGACGCATACCGGAAACTATGAATGCGAAATATGCCACAGGGGCTTCGTTACCCCCAAAGTTGTAGAGTTTCACATAAAACACAAGCACCGCGTAAAAGATGGTCAGGAAGAATGCCAGGAAGATCAGGTTGAATCTCCAGTAAACACTTTCTTAGAGGGAGAGGATAAGGCAGAAGAATATGTGATTGAAATGATAGCAAACGAAGATGAACTCGAAAATTATCAAGAAATTCATGAGTTTGATATAATAGATGAAGCGACTGAAACCCAGTTTATAAACCCATTCGAATAAAGTTTTCTCAACATATTTTCCTGTGTTAACAAGATGATGTCAGTCTTCTGTGGTCGATTCTAACTGACAGTTGACAGCTACAGGAAATGGAGACCGATGGAGAATTATGTTTGCTAAATGTTGTTTTTTATCAAACACCACTACACTGGCGACGAGTATTTGAATCCAAAAAACCTGCGGCGGACAACATTATGAGCACAACTGAAGCATTCAATGTACATTCCGGAAACGAAGGCATGAGATGGCAGAAATGGATCAGAAGATTCGACAATTTCTTGATCGTCACAGGCATCACCAACGACGTGCTATTACTTCATTGTGTAGGTGAAAAAATGTTCGATATTTTTGGTCCTCTTCCAGAGCCATCACCTGAATTGGACCCAACAACAAACATTCCCATAACATAAAGTATGAGACAGCAAGATTAATGTTTAAAAGTGACTTTTATTCTCCATCCCCTCTAATTTTCCTCTAATTGTCAATCGTCCATACAATCCTACAGTCAGAGACATAAAAGCATGAATAAGCCTTTCACATAAGCCTTTCGGACGTATTATCATAAAGTCATTTAAATGAAACGTTGAAAAGAAGAAAATAATGGCAAACTAACCTTTTACCAATGACAATATTGTGACTGTGTTTACATATTTTGCTTAATTAAAATTGGTAAGCTGTGATTTAAATAAAGTACAAACATGGCTGGGTCAGCGTTGCGCCGCCTGATGGCCGAATATAAACGTAAGTTGAGATCTGCAAAAGCCTAAATAAAATAACCGTGGCCAAATCTTTTTAGAACTTACCTTAAACCCGCCGGAGGGTATTTTAGCGGGGCCCGTGAACGAAGAGAATTTTTTCGAGTGGGAAGCACTCATAACGTAAGAAAGTGGTAAAAAAAAATGCGCGACCACGCTGATTTTGATTTCAGAGGCCCGGAAGGCACGTGCTTTGAAGGAGGCGTCTTTCCCGCCAAATTAACGTTTCCGTCGGATTACCCGCTGAGCCCGCCAAAAATGCAGTTCACTTGCGACATGTTCCACCCGAATAGTAAGCGAGCTTTCCTAGTAAAATCGTTTTAGCGCCAAAGCAGTCCGTTTTAGTTTACGCGGATGGACGCGTCTGTATATCGATACTACACGCGCCAGGAGATGATCCAATGGGTTACGAATCAAGCGCGGAGAGGTGGTCTCCGGTCCAGAGTGTGGAGAAAATTTTATTGTCAGTCGTTAGCATGTTGGCAGGTAATTAGAGGCGATATACGGCGAACTACCGGTACTTTTTGTTAAAAAAAATGCCCCTCACAAATAGGGGAAAAGAGCGGCAATGATAGGGACTTTTCGGGACTTTTAGCACAGCTTATGAAATTTCACCCTTATGTCACTTTATTAATTATTATTTCTGACCTTATTTCGAATTCAAAATTTTAGTTTTCGCAGATTCTTTAAAGAAGTAATTGTGTTCGTCACAATGGAACATATGTTACAGATTTCGAGGAGTACTTGGTGGGAATTACAGTCACCTTACAAGAAATATTATTTTGAGATATTTTCGATGATCGGCCACTCAATTCCTTTTAATTTAGAAATAAATAATTGTACCCCACACATTAGGATTCAAAAATATATTTAGGCATCCCCCAGCAACACCAGGTCGACAGCATAACTGCATAAACTTTCCCGAATTTTTGAAAAATCAAAAAGGAAATTTGTCACAACTGTAGAAATGACTTTTTTGATATGACGAAATTAGATAGATTGCTTTAAAGTTTAGGAGCCACAAATAGGGTTGAACTTTATTGGATAACAAAGGAAAACTATTGCTCATCAAGTGTGAATGCTTCGAAGAAAAGATAAAGTAAAATAACGCCAAAATAAGTGGTGCAAAAAGTTAGCTTTATTTTATTTCTGGTGGAAGGCGAAAAATAACCGGTAGTTGGCCTTGTAGTATTTAAAATACGGTAACAATCTAAAGTTTACATTAGAGCCCAATGACGAGAGCGGGGCCAACGTAGATGCGGCGAAAATGTGGAGGGAGAACAGGGAAGAGTTTAATCAAATAGCGGAAAAATTAGTGCGAAAAACATTGGGCATACCGACATAGAACTGATATTTTTATATTTATACGTTTCCGTGGTGTACAAAGGGTGACGAAAAAATAATAAACGGTTGTTCTGTTTTATCCTTTATATTGGCAAGTATGTCGAAACAAATAAATAATCCCGGGGAACCTAACCTATTTAGTGAAAAAAATCCAAATTCCTTAAAATTACTCACAACCTACAGAAAATTATGCACCGGCAACATGTACGCGATCATTTTCATCCCCCTAGAGACTATTGTGCGTATTATGGTGGCATACTCGTTTCAAAGCGGTCACTACCGAGCGCCCAGTTTGAAAAAACAAAACACTACGCAAAGCGATAGTGGACGAAAACTTTGGGTCTAAAAAATTTAACGAAATCATATGTCCGAATATCAAATGCCTCCAAGAAAGTTAATCTTTTACTTACAAGAACTTCTACATTACTTATATTCCCACTAGCGATATTTGAAGGGAAGAAATCACCCTGTATCTGTAAGACCCTACCGCAACTAAGATCACATATAAAGACTTTGGTTTCCGAATTCATAAAAAAAAAATACATACACGTCAAACACCTAAACTGCGCCACAGTATACTGCGGTCGCGCTACGAATATTGCACGAATCAAAACAAAAGTTTCGCTATTACGGGACTATATCCGTTCGCCGCACGGCCGCCTAATCCATATCGTTTGCCTTTAAAAAGCGGAAGTGCGAACGTTTCATGGCAATCCGGGACGTTCGCGCTAAGAAAGAAATCGGGACACGCTGCGTTAAAACGACCCATAGTAATATCTAAGATTGTCCGCGCGCGACGTTGTTCGCGACGCCGCCATTACTATTACTATTGTTATTCAGTTCGACGTAGTCATTTACAGGTACGATAGGATTACTAACTATTCGGACGTTGTTCGCGCGGGTCGAGGCGAAGTCCGACGGCGTTCGCTCGGACGGAGGCGGCGCCTCTTCGTTACTCGCTTCCGGGACATCCACAAAGTGTTCCGAATAATAATGCGGGGTATTCAGGTAATCGATCATGCGCCGCGGCAGTGGCAAGTCGGGGATCAAATCTCTTCTGACGTTTTTGTGAATCACGAACCTGCAAATAAAACGCTGCGTACGGAAAAACGCATTTTGAACGCTCCTTTAAGCGAGCGCTCTCCCATTGGCCGGTTTGAAGTTGGCATTATTCGTTGACGTTCCAACCAGTAAAGAGCTGCAGGCATTTTCGACATTTTTTTTTTAAATAAAAGAAAAAACGAAGCAGTGTCAGGAATAATTTTTACAACATGAAAGACCTGAAAACAATAGCCAACTGATGTTGAGACTATTAATTTACCTGCACATGTGCTGTAAACTCTGCACCTGCTTGAACCTGGACACGGGATGGAGCAGTTGCACCCGGACGGGGCCGATGACAGGCCTGCGGTGCAAGAAGAACAAATAGCGGCCGCTCCTGGAATGCTCGACCGCATTTTCGATGAACTCGACGATCGTCTGTGATTTGAACTTTGTGCAACTACCGAAACTGAAATTCCCCTGGTCGTGTTCGATTCGGACGTGGCGCACGCAGTTATTGAGCTTTAAGGTTAGTGAAAATATGTAATGATCGTCGCTGCTGTCTCGGACGATGAAAGAACCGTCCGGCTCATTGGACAGTATCTTTTCCGCCGCTTCGCTCGATATCGGACCCCAATACCATCCATACTATGAGAAAAAATTATCAATTGACCTATCGGTGTCCCACAGGCCGCACAGTGGATTGCAGGCTAGTACTAGGTTGACATTTTTTTTTAGAATATACTTATTAGAATTTGATAGGTTTATTTTGATTTTTTGTTTATAACTGAATATTTTTACGAGTAAGTAGTAGTCAACAAAAAGGATGCCAAATTGGTACATATAATATTATATATGATACTATGTTCGTACACAAAAAGTAAAATGCAGGTGATTTTAAAATCATTTACAAATATTTAAAATTTTACTTTTATCTAATTTAACATTAGGACGTGTCAATTAAATTTTTTAGTAAAAAATTAAAAAACGTTGCCCCATTTCGGTTAGCGTTATCTAGCGACAACCGCAAAATTTAATAATCCAAAACCAAAAGGACGTTTTTTAGTAAAAATGCTCTTTTGTATGGGCCCAAATTTGTTGAAATGGGAGTGCTAAATTGGGACATTGGTATCTTGATCAAGCAATTAAAAAAAAAACTATTTTTCTACTTTGTGTCAGTTGTTCTCACTCTATGGGACGTTTTACACAAAGCTAGTTTTTTAAGAAAAAAAATTATAACTTTCTGACATATAAACGCTTACCATTTTTAATTAGCCATCACGATCTGTCAGTCATCGCCCAACCCTTGCTAACGTTTAAAACATCAAATCAACCTGCAATACTTAAAAACTTTGTTTTTCAAGTAAATTTATTTAGCATGTTTGATGTTTTTATACATAATCGAGCTTCAAGTATAGGATTTCTCCTATATATTGATATTAAGCCTTATCTTTTGTAAAGTTGCCTTTGTCAACCTAGTTTGCTTTAATTGCACACTGTGCGCCTTTAGACAAACTCACGTCTTTAACCCTCTGTATACTGGTGGCAAAATCTAACGCTTCTCCTTCGGGCGTCGCGCCCAATTCGTGGTCTATGTTCTCGTCTTTGTGGTTAGGCAAGGGGGGTAGAGCCCGACCTCCGAGCGAGTTGCGTGGATCGTCGCCGCCGCCGCCCTGCCCTTGACTTACGTTGTCCGTCTTTACCTCGCTGGACAAAAACCGTCGAAAACGGAAAATATTGCACAGGGCTTGCTTAAAACCGAACAGCCTGCGTTTTTTCTCCTCTTTTTTGGACGCTGATATCAACGCTTTGGGATTTTCGCAGCTATCTTTTACTTTTTTATTTTTTATGTTGATCAGGAAGGTGGCCTTTTTGCGGTTCGACGGCTGCAACGAGACGAACTAGTTACCTTTGGTGTATTTTTAATGGACCCTTATTAAGACGTGATAAAAACACCAGACTTATGTTTTGCATTTTGTTCTTTTTTAATATTTCCTGTCATGAACCTTAACACTAATGGCAGATAACCGAAATAAAAGATATTTATTTCTCAATTTTTGTACCTGGCTGGTATTTTTTGGGGTACTTTATGAACATTTCAATCGTTTATCCTTCATTGAACTAAGTGGTTGCGATATATTTTGACCATAAAATACAGGTGATAATTAAAGAAACATTTTTTAAGATTGCAAAGTCGTATCTCTCAAATAGTTCCAGTTCAAAGTGTATATATCCATCAAAAGAGAGTTTTTTTGCGGGTAAGTAAAATATTTACATCATCTCATTTTATTTTATAAACAATAATTGATAGAGTTATTACAAAAACAATTTTTATGTGATAAGGAAAATTGATAATTTGATTTTACCATTCGGATGACATGATAATATTTATTTTTGCTTATTATCTAGAAATAAAAAAGAAATCAGTATGTTAAAATTCTTTACATATGGATTTAGTTGCCTCAAAAATTTTTTATTTATTATTATTATTTTATTTTTATTTTTCTTAAATTATGCATGTATATTTGATATATTGATGAAATTTGCCTCGCTTCTATATCACGCCCTTGTTTCACTTTAAAACAAGTTCACTGCTTCCATTTATAACATTAGTCAGAACTATGTTTTGTTTAGTTTGCAAAGCAAAAATAGGTAGCATCTTGCTATCTTCTGCCAAACTCAAACAGTTTTTTTGTTTGCTTTGCTGGTGCATTTGATTTATTCATTGGCAGAAATAGGTACCTGATTGTTCAAATTACATCCCATACTCCTGGTGTGGTACTTATTATTGGCAACGACGAGCGCCGAGTTGGTTTTGGGTCTGTATGGATTTTCCTTGGTGTCGGACGAGTCCGATGAGCTAGAATATAGGGTCTGCAGGTAGTGTCTCACCTCCTGCAGAGTCATGTGTATGGGTTCAGTGCTGTGTGTAGCCGAAGTGCCCGCCAAACTGTGACGTTTCGTTTCCGACTGGAAACACCAATGGGACTGCAAGGAAAACAATGAAAAAATTTCAGTGTCTACGTAAACAACCACAAGATATTTAATGGCAGCGCAATAAAACGCTTACTAATTAAAACGTTAAAACAAACAAACGACTGTTATTTGCGCGCCACTTAGTGAATCAGAGTTTTATTAAGAGCTAAAAATAGCAAGGATCTAAATGTGGATGCAAAATATTCAACCGAGAGTTCCAAAAATAACCAAGTTTATTTACTGAAAAAACAGCTAGCAAATATGTTTTCGCATTTTTAATGAAGTTTCTGTACCTGCTCTGATCTGGCAACACTTTTCCTCCCACTGCCGATCTCCCGTATGGATTTCCGTGGCTCAGGCGCCTGTCCTTTCATTTCCGCCTCCCTACATCCGGAAGATGTGTTTCTCCGTCTCTTTTTAGCGCCGCCTGCGACGATGACGCCCCTTCTGGGCTTGAGAGGAGGCCTAACTACGTCTACGGGGACGGCATACATGTCGCTGTCGAAAGGTACATTGTAGAGATCGCTGATTTGATTCGACGAGAGGGTGTCGTGCGAAACGGCCTGGGTGATGAACGTCGAATCATCCACCTTGCAAGTGGTGGGAAGGGAGAGAGAATTGTGGGAGGAGGACAGCCGAGATGAACCCCCGAGCGAGCTGCGCGAATTGGGTCGCGTGGTGTGGTGGTGGGCGTGGCAAGGACTAAACGGGACAAACTCGGACACAAAATAAGTAGGACGCGTGGATAAGTGTCTAGTACGGTTAGGAATAGCGTAGGAATTACGAACAGGCGACGGGAATGGTGAGCGGCGGCAATTTCTGCAAGTAAAACGCTACCTTGTCACAAAATTTTGACGCCATTGTTGCGGAACTCACATCGATTTTTGAAGCTGCGCTTCCCTAAAGTCCAACATTGCCCGCATGAGTATTTGCAATGACAATTTATTGCAGAATAATTCGATCAAAGGGTACTTGGGGTTATCCTGGAACTCGGGCGGCGGATCTATGGGCGAAGTAGACTGTTTGACTTCGGTCCAGTGGGGACCCTTCTTTAAAGTGTTGAAATTTTCGCCGCACATGATATCAGACATACCGTCCAGCGAATCATCTTGGGACAAAGATTTCTCCTCACAGTCACTGTCCTAAACAGCCTCATGTCAGCCAATCAGTCTTAATTGCAAAACGCAAACATTACCTCAAAGTGAAAATGTCTTTTATCGCTGCGACTCTCAAAACTGGTGCTCCAACTCGACGCTGACCCGTTGGTGAGTAATAAGCCGCTGTCGTCGCTCAGAATAAAAGCCTGAGACCAACTTGAGCTCGACGGAGGCGATTCCATTTCTTTTACACTTGTTTAAGCATTTTCTATCGCCATTTAACCACACTTTCCGAGTACAGTCCGCAAAAAGATTTATTTCCGAACATTAGACTTACGCTAGTTCGCTAATTTAAGCGTTCGCATCTTAAATTAGCTCGTTAATAGAAACGGCAAAAAATTAATTAATGAGTCAAACGCATACATAAGAACAAGGAAAGTTCCAATCATAGAATACCAAGTAGCACAGAACCCTTCCTTACTTTTGTAGGCCATGGTTACTTTGCACACTCGCCCACACGTAACCCATATAATTCTTGACACAATGAACTGTTGACCGTATCGTGGGTTCAGGATATCTATTTTAAAACTGAAGTAGTATAATGACTCGAAAATAGAACAATAAATGGCGATCGCTAATTGGAGAGGTTTTCTCGGATTAGATTTTGTCATCCAATTTTTTAAGGCATTTTGATTATTCTATGATTTGAAAGTTAACAGCTGTAGGGTGACATATATGATAGTTGGCGTTTTTTAAACAAATTCAAATTCGTTCGGCGTTTCTTTTTTGGAAAACGTAATAAAAATGTCCCACTCGGAAGAAGTTTTACCGGAAAAGATTGAATTTAAAGCCAAGAAGCGCAAGAACTTGCGACAGCGAGTAAAATTAGAAGAAAGCGACGACGAAGAGATACAACAAGTGAAGTTAGTTCCACTTTTTTAAATTTTTTCTATTTTGTAAATCCTGATATTCTATGAATGTACCTGACATACCTTGATGCATTACAGCATCACCCTTGTAGGTATAGGGATCTTTACATTTTTTTTATTTTTGATTGATGAAATTTTAGCTCCAAACTGGAAGAAATGAAAGAGCTGCAAAGTTTGCGAAAGAGACCTAATGGAGTTAGCGTCATTGGTCTAGCTCTGGGAACAAAAGTGTCGGCAGAAGAAGAAGTAGTAGCAGTAAGTGCGCTTTATAAGATTCTAGCGCCTGCTGAAACAACCCATGTTTGTCCTATCTAAGTTTTTTTTTTAATATATTGACCGCATTGGATTAATTGTCTTAAAAATTCGACGCGTGGCAATTCTCTTCCCATACTTCCAAGTGGAATCTACTACTAAGAGTGAATCAGTAAAGACAGACCATTCATTATACGTCAGACTGCAACCACCCACAATGTGGTGTTTTTATCAATTCAAGCTCCTTTTTTTTGTTTTCATTAAACGGGTGGACTTAGCAGGCGCTACAATATTATGCTTCAGCCAGTTGATTTCCAATAATATGGTACAGAAAGATCCGTTCAAAGTGCAAGCGGGTGGTATGGTGAACATGCAAGCCTTGAAGCAAGGCAAGGTGAAACAGGTGGACGATGCGTACGACACGGGCATTGGCACCCAATTTTCCGTTGAGACTAATAAACGGGACGAAGACGAGGAGATGATGAAGTTTATCGAAGAAGAACTGTCGAAGCGGAAGGGCAAAATTGACCCGCCCGTCGCTCACTCCTTTACTAAAAACAAGAGCACTTACCTGAGCCCCGAGGAGGCCGCGTTACAAGCGGTCCCGGAGCATCTGCGCGAATCCTCCACCAAACGATCAGAGGAAATGTTATCCAATCAAATGCTGAGTGGCATACCAGAAGTAGACCTAGGCATTGAGGCGAAGATAAAAAACATAGAGGCGACTGAGGAGGCCAAGCTGCGACTGCTCTGGGAGAAACAGAACAAGAAAGATGGCCCGTCACAGTTCGTCCCCACCAATATGGCCGTGAATTTCGTGCAGCATAACAGATGTTTGTAACTTTGGCTTTGGACCAAGAATAAATGCCATAGAGAAGCGACAGTTATTTGGATGGGCTGTAGACCTCTGACATCATCTTTTACATAGAGAGAATTTTTCGTAGTCGTTGGAAGCTTGTTAAATTACTTGAATTGTAGTTTTATTTTCGGAGTTAAAGACTCGAAAACCTTCCAACTGTCGTTTCTGTAGAGCGTTTGTTCTGGGACGTTTGGGATTTTATTTTTGCGAATGTTGCAGTTAACGTGGACCACTCCGAGATCGCGAAAAAGAGGGCGAAAGTGGATGCGGAGAAGCCGAAAAAGAAGACGGAAAAGGCAACCGACGATTACCACTTTGAGAAGTTCAAAAAACAGTTCCGAAGGTAGTGGTGGGGAGGAGCTTATTTTCGAATCGGAAATGACGTCACGCGTTTTGAGGTATATTTTAGAGTTGCTCATCCTCTTAAAAAAAATAAATACTTATGAAAGTAAACCTATTTTTATCAGCACACGTTTTACTACCAAACATCCTCGTTTTCTACTTTAAACGCTTCGGGTAGATAAGTACGTTATTTTATAGGAAAATTAAGACTGGACGGATGTCGGTAATGGGCGAGTGTCCTTATCAACACGGCTTATGGTTAGGAAATATTAAAGATGAAGACATTTTTTTATTTATGTCATTCTATGTGTCTAGATATTTGCGCTTGCCTAGTTCGCTTTGGTGACGGAAAGGTGACGCTATTATCGCAGAAGTTCCGATTATGATTCGCGAAAAAGGGCTGAAAGTTTTGTTTGTCGCCGAAATACTCGGGGCGTCTGGCAGGTGTAGCGCGATGTTTGAATGAAATTAGGGTACGTGTCAGTAATTTTGTTGACCAATTTTAGGCAGTCCATTTCGCACGTGAATGAAGTAAACTTGGAACTCATTTACAAAATTTAATAATTATGATGCCTAAGATCGTAGAATATCGTCAGCCTAATTGTAACATCACATAGGAGCTATTAGCATTTCTTGTGTGTGGTCGATATAGCCGGTTCCCTATGGGACCTTATTTTTATTTTTTATACTATCGCATCATGCATTGGACATTGAGAAAATAGTTGCAGTTGCGACCGCGATTTAAGGATCAATAAAACTTGCCTGCCGATCCGCTTAGGTATTTATTTACGTTTGTTTACAGGAACGACCCGATGAAAACGCCATGGTCGGTAAAGACTTAGAGGTAAACTATAAAAAAGGCATTTTTATTTCAAAACATACCACAAACAAACGCATATATTCCACATTTAAGTAAATCATACAAACTCTTCCGGTTCCCGCGGTGCGTCCAAGTCCCGGTAATGGATGATCGGTCGCCCGAAGTCCCCAGCCGGCCCGCCCCTGGAACGCACAAACGTCATCAATCAAATTCGTTGCCCATCCACCACCCGTAGTACGACGAGTACCTGGCCCTGGGCGCGTATCCCCGCGACCTTGGCGCGAAACCCTGGTTGTAATAGGGCTGCGGCCTGCCAAATCCGCCGCCATAACCACCGCCTCCGCCACCGCCACCCCCGTACCTAAAACACAATTATGGCTAAATTTTTGTCTAATTAATAACAATATTCTGGTTCTAAGCTAGATATTGCAAACTTAGCAACCACATTTATAATACAATCACTGACCAGCAATATTGACAGTTGCCTCATATTTGAGTAAGAAAGTGTTTAGGATTGTGAAAAGATATCAACCTCCTTGCAAATTTCTATGTGAACATTTTTGTTGCATTAGAAAATTTAGAAAACCACTAAGTACGGTTTTACAGAACCTTTAGAGAAAGAAGAAAAGTCTTTTCAACTTCACAAAGAGGTCAACCGACATTTAACAGCCGAAATAAAACTATTTATGCAAACTCTTATCTTCACTTATAGGTTAATTAAAAAAAAAGGTATTTTGCACACAATATGTGTCAATTTTCATGACTTAATTAAGTATAATCAACCTGTACTAAGTAGAATTATTGCCGAAGCAATTGTTTGATCTTTGGTTGTACGTTGTGCTCTAAATGTCCATTAGATTAGAGCAATTTAAGAACCATTTAACCAGACACTGAAAATATACAAAGTTTTTTTTACTACTGTTCATAATCGAAAACAATGCTTCCCATTGTCTCAGTTGAAATACTTTGAAATAGCAATAGGCCATAGGCTCAACAAAAAATTAGCAACACCAGTAGCAATATTAGTTAAGTTGGATTTCATAACCATTTGTTTTGTTGTTTTACTTGATCAGAAATAACATTTTCCCTTATTAACCGATAAAGTTCGACGCTAACTACGCCGGAATAAGGATCCGTTTACTAAACTTTAGAGCGTAGGCGGTGTTGTCGCTAGTAATACCATAAGTTGCTTTCATTTAATTATACCTTTTCGTTATTTTTATTTCACTGGTTTACTTCTTGTTTGTTCTAAAAAACATCTAATTAATCGAAAACGTGCTTTTTTAAAATCCTAATATGTGGGATATAAGTCAGGAATATGTTAGAGAACTTCAGCATACTAAAAGTTAATACATTGTCCATTGCGATAAAAATATTTTTTTTAAATAACGAAAGGAACCCAGACTTAATCTAACATAAAGGTGCAAAAACTAAAAATGTGTAATTCAAAATAAAGTCAAAAAAATTACGTTATAACCAGCTAGAAACCAAGTGACATAAGGGTTAAATTTCATAAGAGGTGCAAAAGGTCCCTATTAATGTTAACATGAAGGAACATTGTATCCATATCGCTATAATTTCAACAGAATCCGCCTCGATTATGATTTTAGATCCTAAAATTTCCTGATTGCGAAAATCCCTTTTAGATATTTCTTAAATTAATAGAAACATCAGACTTTTAATACAAAAACTTAAAAATTCTGAACATTTACTGCGTAAATCTGACCTTTAGTTACCGTTACCGTTCAAAAAAATCTACCCACTTACCCGGGATGGCTATACGCCTGCGGTTCCTCACGTTTCGGCTGCGGCGCCTCCGCCAGCATCGGCCGTTTCGGGTCTTTCAGGTAGTTGTTGAAAAACTCCACCTCCTTTTTGACCTCCTCGATTTTTTCCGCGTGCTTGTTGAAAATGTGCTTCCGCACAAAGTCGGGCCCCTTGAACTTTTTCCCGGAAAGCGGACAGAGCCACTTGTCCTTGGCTAATTCGCGAGTGTTGGCCTGCACGAACTTGTCCACCTCCGAGTCGACGTCTTTGAGCGCCATCGCTATCAGTTTGGTCTCGTTCTTGTCTTTTTCCTCTTTCGGCTTCTCCGGCAAAAAGTTTGACATTTTCGCCTCGACCGGCGGCCCGATGAACAACGTCATGTCGGTTTTGGAGGCAGGTGGCGGTCCCCTGGCATGCAAAATACCGCAACGGTTCGGCATTTCGTCCTCGTTCGGGTACTCGCAATGGTTGTAGTAGTCCACGGAGTGGACGACCCGCAGGTACAAGATAATCCGGTCCAACACCTGCAAAAGCATCGCACTCAGTCGAGTAAAAGAGTAGGAGGAATGGATTAGGATTTACTCGGATCAGATTCTCGTCGCGGTCAACCGTCGACACCGCTTCCTGGTTTTCGGTGGACGGCTCCAGTCCCAGGAGCTCCTCCTCTTCCGCGCTGGCTTCTTCGATAAGGTAGTCGGTAATGTTGTGCAACACGGGGTTGTTCGAAACGAGTCCGAAACTCTACAAGGGAACATACGTTGTACATTTGAACTACTGTTTGTAGATTCACCCATTTAATTTTTAACAGTTAAGAATGTTGTACTTGTACATTTGACCTACTCGATTACAACAAGCTCGCAGATCGCGTGTACCGATTATTTCTATTTTTTTTAACGTCGTTATATTCAGGATACTAGAGAGAGCTTTAAAGTTTTGATGGACCACTAAATAACAGCGATTAATTGCGAATACCCCTCCCAGTCTTCAGTCGCCTTCCCGCCTCATAATTTGAACGTGATCATCCCTCTACAACACCGTAGATACGCATAGATTTTCATAATTATATTAATAAACTTTGAGTTGAACAGGAATGTTACGACATTAATAAAATAGATGGACTGTACATTTATTTATCAATTATATATTTATCAAGTAAAAGTAATTATTCATTGTTGTCAATTTTAGGGTAAAATCAAGTGTATTTTGTAATACGTCTAATAAAAACCAAAACACTTTTCATTACTTTATTTGTAAATAAAACCTTTCGTGTTTAGGTTTTTTTAAAAAGGCTTTAATAGCGTTATTTTAAAACTTTTATTCTTGGGATTTTATAACACTCCATAAAATCTTTACAAATCTTAAAGCACCTAAGAAATATTTTACAGCTACCACGAAACCTAGACTCGTTTGCGCTTGGAAGAACCGTTAAAGGCGGTGCTGTTTTCCCAACTTTTTTCGTTTGCACAATTTTGAAAGGCATATTTTATTTAAATATTTACAGAAAACTAAAGCCACCTATTGTAAGAACATCTGCAAAGTGAGGTTATGATCGCATAATTGACTTAGGACTAGTATAATTGACATTCGACTAGTAGTTTTCAATTTGCTTTCCTGTTGGTCTGAGTTTTATAGGGCGTTACGAAGATGTTATAAATACCTTTTTGCTAACTTCTTTATTTCATTTTATCAACCCAAAGGCTAACCAACAGGCAGGCGAGGCTGCTCAATCACAGGATAGCGCATTCCTAAGCTTACAAAATTCTGAATACGTTTCTTTTAAACAGATGTAGGCTTAAGTTGAATAAGTCCGTATCTATGATTTTTACAGTAGATAGTAAACATAGATCATTCTGAAGGTCTAAAATGTCCAATGTTGAAAACAGCTTCCAATACTAAATATAAAAATATACATACAATACATATTCCCTTCACCCCATAGCACAGTCTACTATGAAAGGTATATAACTTATAACATTTATATTTTCTTTAAAAATATAAACGGTTTCTTTTAAGTTAATATTATATGAGCGACATTTTTTTTAATACAATTTTTTTAATTGGACATCCTACGAGTGACTCTTGTCTTTTTTCTTTCCTTTTCATACAGTGTGCTTTTTGTAGAGGATTTAGAACTTTAGTGTATTGGCATTGTCAACATTAATAGACATTATATATAGTCTACTTTGGGGACTGAACTCGAATCTTTTTTCAATTCAATTACGGCTTCCTCTTTGCTTGAAAAATTGGTTATCGGATTTACTTACTTATTTACTTACGGCAAATATCTAAAAATTATCATATATACGGAAGTGCCAGAAATTTTCACTTACAGGGAAGAGAGTTACAAAAGCCCTGAAGAGATTGTTAATGCTTTTGCTAAGTTTTTTGGGGGGTATACAACAATCGTCAACAACAGATCCCTCAGTTGAATGGATTTTCTAATGTATTTATTACTATTGATTTTTTAACTGATGACACTATATTAGAAGCATTAGAGTTAAAAACAAAGTATCTTGTGGTCCAGATAAAGTTCATTTTTTCGTTGTGCGAGATTGTGTACATTCTTTGGTTAAACCCATGTCTCTTATTTTTAACTTGTCATAACAACAAACACCCGTCCTAATAAAAGGAAAAGCATCTGATATATCAAACTACAGACCTGTAGTAGCGAGGACTTTCGAGATGTCGCTGCATGATAGTATTTTCAACACAATGAAACACTTGGTAACTCACAAACAACATCGTTTCTTTAAAGGTTGAAGCACTATCAGTAATTTGCCTTGCTTTACAGAATTCACTGCAAAGGCTTTGGACGACGGGAGGCGGGTGGATGTGCTATATACGGAAGTTTCAAAAGCCTTTGACCGAGTGGACCGCACTGTACTGCTCTAAACTGAGGATGCTTGGATTTTATGATGATCTTGTGGCATTTATGACAGAATACAGTATGTGGAGCTCCACGGTCACTCATCGTTTGGGTTCAAGGGTAGTAGCGGCGTTCTCCAGGGTAGCAATTTAGCACAATTGACATTCTTGCTTTTCTTTATTAGTAGCTAATATTGATAGTCAAATTTTGTTCTTTGCTGATGATGTGAAATTGTTTAGAATAACTGATAGTGTAGTCGAGTGTGTGTGGAGATTATTGGTTCTTGGTGTGCTTCTACCCCTGAATACAGATAAATGTTTTCGAAATGACATTTTCAAACAAAACTGCCACTATAACTTTTAATTACTACCTGGATCATCTATTATTAAGAAAATGTGACAATTTTAGAGTCCTGGGTGCTGGGTGTAACGTTTGTAACGCTTGCGCAAGTGCACTCAAAATGCTGGGATTCATGGTGAGAACTTTTAAAGATTTTGCAAGGGAACATACTACAGTTATGTGCGCTCGAAACTACAGTACGGTTCAATGGTTTGGCAACCAATATTTGGCAAGTACATCACTCAAATTGAAAATGTACAGAGAAAGTTTCTGACATTTCTTCACTTTCATATCAATGGTTTCTACCCGGCTAGGGGACTGCTACAGAGTGACTTATTACTAATATTTAAGGTTCCCTCACTATTGAATCATAGGAGGTACCTTTCATTTCAGTTTTTATATAAACTTTGTAATTCATTAGTGCATTGCCCTGAGTCGTTAAGCCAGCTGAACATTCATATTCCTTGAAGGACTATAAGGGAGCTCACAGTTTACAACATAAATTAAACATAAATTTGAAATACTATAATGGATTGAATGTTTCACTATTCCTTTGATGGAGTGAATATAGTTGACTACTTACTATAGTTATACTTATAATTCTCAAGATGAAATTGTCTTCTAAATGGATGTTAATCTGTTAGAAAATAAAGGTTATTATTATTACTAATTTTAATTTTAGCTAACCACTCAAAGTTACGTTTCAAAGTGCTTAAAATCAGGTCGCTTCAGTTTTAGGAGGAGACAAACATAACATTATCCAACAAATTTTTCCGGCCAAATAAAATTAAGTTAGAGTGTAGTAAATTTTTTTCATAATAATGTCAAAGTTACCTACCTGATGCGTTTTTTCTTTCTTTTCGCCGTCGTCGGGCCACAAACCCGCCTTGGCATCCAGGTGCAAGGTCACCCTCGCCGCTATCCTGATGTCGGACCTCACCACTTGCTTGTGCGCCATGATACCATTAACGGGCCTACAAATCGCGCGGAATTACGCTAAATTTCCCCCCTTTAACCCGTTTAACCCCCCCACCTGATCCTTCGGCTCAGATCCCGATTAACGATGGCGCCCAACTCGCACTCCCTCAGTCGTATGTTGTTCAAGTTCCAACAAATCTCCTTGATGTTCGCCTCCCGTTTAAAAGTAACCCATCCGCGTCGCAGCCACCTCCGCTCCGGCTGCGGGTCCGCCAACGCGACCCTCAGGAACCCCTCGTACCGCGCGCACACCGCCTCCACCTCCTGCTTGGTGATGGTGGGCGCCAGATTCCTCAAAAATATGGAAGTGGTTTTGTGCAACGCCTTCGGCTTCTCCGGTTTGCTGTCGTCTGATATCGAATGCACCTCGTCCTTGTCTTTGTCATCCTTATCCTTTTCCACCTCCTCCTCATCTTCTTTGTTCTCGTTCTTTTCTTTCGCTTTGTTCGCTTCTTCGTCTTCGCTCTCGCTGCTGGAACTTGACGACGAGCTACTTCGGCTGCTGCCGGAGTAGGATCGCTTCCGTTTCTTCCCGTTTTCTTTCTTCTCCCCCTTTTCGTCGGATTCCTTGACTTCCACCGTTTCCGCGTGGTTATTCTCCTCCTGTTCCGACTCTTTCATCTCAGCATCCCCATTCGCAGCCTCTTTCAGAGGTTCTTCCTCGTCGAGCTTCTCCGGCTCTTCTGTCGCGCGCTCCTCCCCTTTTTCTTCGTCTCCTTTATCGCCCTTGTCTTCGTTCTTTTCTTCCTCTTCTTTCCCGTCGTCCGGCGCTTCTCCGTCCTCTTTGGTGTCGCCTTCTACTTGTCCCGCTTCCATCGTCTGATCCTGGCCGGTTTCGTTCGCCTTCTTATGCTCCACCCCCTTTTCCACCTTAATTTTAGCCTCGATTTCACCCTCCTCCTTTTGATTAGCGGCCTCCGCTTGTCGCGCTTCCCTCGCCCGTTCCGCCGCCGCCTCTTTCTCTTTTTGCTCGCGGTACTTCTGCTCCATCTCCTCGTACTCCTGTTCCAGAGCGGCGAGGTCGTCGTCGCTCCCGCCCTCGAGTTTGATGACGACCGTGTCGAGCAATTTGAGGAGGTCGGTGGTGCGCGCGCAGTCCACCGTTGTGCTCTCGATCTTGCCAGCGTTTAGGAGGTCTATGAACACCTCGAGGCGCCTCTTGAGGGCGGCCGCCTGTTCCTGCTTTCGTCTGATCGAATCTTCGGGGTGGTACTTTAACCGGAACCTACGGACCGACCCCGAAAGTCGAAACGTTAGATACGCCTCCCGGAATGTTGCCTGCGTCACTCTTTGTGAATTCTCGCAATTACTGTGACAAACCCATTCGTTCGTTTCACCTCTCGCACCACACACGTGGATTAAACACAAAGGAATACAAAAGCCGCTCAGATATTATCGTTCCGGGCGTTGATTTTAATAAATGTCAATAAAATTGACGAATTTGAGAACAGAGCGGTTATCAAAAATCGTCAGAAAGCAGGTTCATATGTATATGGCACAAATTAATTTTCACATTCACACACATGAACCTGTGACCTTCTGAATCTGGTGCATGAAAGATGGTGAAATTAGTGCGCTGATTCTGATGATAGTGATGTTGCTGAAACAATTTCACACCAAGAATTTGTTCGTTACTCTAAAACTATGTGGTGACTTATAATACAACACCAAAGAACATACTGAAAGGAAGATATCCATAAATGATAATAAATAAGAATTTAATTTAATTAATATACTTCAAGGACTGTGACTTTAGTGTGTATATAAGTAAAATATATGTAAATGTGAGCACTATCATTATTATGTATATCATTAGAATTTACTCATTTGCGCGAATTATTGTTCAACCTTAATCTTTAGTACCAGGCAACTCATTTGAGGTAATAAATGCATAGAGAATCTCGAAATGGTAACTACGCAAACGGTTCCCATTGGGAAAGATTTGTTACTGTGGATGGAACATGAAAGTTGTCCACTATGATACAGCGTCATAACGCTGAAAATAGAATGGAGGGTTCAATACCCAAATTTATGGAACAACTTTGTACACTTTTTAGGACATGATCGCACTATAAACTGGGAACTCGAATTTCAAAATAGAAAGAAAACTCAGGCGTGGTGTCGCACTTGTCGAAAAACCGCCGAAAGGAACAATAGGGATTAACGAGTCGTTTAAAGACAGTTTTTTCCGATGATGTTACTGCCCTTCGAAGTGGTTTTTCGAGGCGCGTCAACAACGGGCCATGATATTGAAAAAATATATATCTGAACGGCCTTGGTATGGGAAAACGTGGCGAGAAAAAAACGATCGAACTACTAGCGCGGGGGCGACTCTTGCGGTGGCGAACGCGGCGTCCCCTGGCGTCGGAACGCTTTTCTCGCCACGTAGCACCGATCAGAACACGCCCGGCTCAGTCATACTCCAAAAAAAAAAAACTCGTCATCGATCAAATAGTTATCGTCTCACCTGTAGTAACATAAACCTTTTAAGAAAAATTGTCGCGAGAGGCCAGTGCATTGCGCGCACTGCCTCGTACATTAAAAAACGGCTTTTTGACTCGCATGTACGACGTCACCAAATTACATACGTAATGCGCAATTCATGTTTCAATGCGGTTAACTCAAAACGGTTTAAAATATCGCGGCATCGAAACACACACGTTTTATTATTTTTGATTTGTTTTGTCGACGACAGAGAGCGCGAGAGGCGTTTTCCCCCTCGACCCTTACGAGACGCTGCGAAGAAAAACATCTGTCAATACAAATTGGTCGGCGGCACAGCTCGTCTAGTCAAAATCAGTACCCTATTATATAATTGATATAATTGTTGTTTTGCGGGTCTTCGGGTGTGTTGTGGGGCTACCCGATAACCGTTTTTCGACATATCCCGCCAAACTTAACAGCATACAGCAGCGCCACATGGCGTACTTTAAAATCGCTTGTACCTTATGTTTTAAATACCGGTCTCGTTTGGTATCTTTTCTTAAATAATAATATGTATCTCATAGGTCTTCTAATTTTGCAAGTTGAGGTGGAGCTACAGTGGTTTGTTCAGCAATCAACCGAACCAACCGGTCTGTACAAATATTGCCCATTTACAACAGTCCCGACACTAACAACACAATTTTTAAGACTCAATAAGAATATTTTGAGAGTCAAACTCAAAAGGACAATAAGGAGAAGACAAAAGTCAAGTGGGTCCATACAACTTCGTGCTGCAAAAGGCACTGACACCTGCGATGTCAAGACACGCACAGGACAAACTATATGACTGATCTTTGAGAAAATTGAAAAAAGATATTTGCAATTATGATCACTTCTAATTAGCAAAAACTAAGCATACCGTCCGTCAGAACAAGCCTGTCTAAATTGGCTCAGCCGTTGAAATAAATAAATATAAATTTGCGTTTGTTCAAAAGATTACTGTCAGTTCTGAAGTAAAATCTATTTTTGAATTTTTCATTAACAGGATTGGTAGTTCAAAGCTCCGTGGTTCCTAAACTAATGATCGATAAAGTAAATTTTCTTTTATCTAAGTAGGCATCAAAGTAATCTTGTGGCATCCTATAAAAAATGAAAAAAAAATTGCTGACTCTAAAACGTCTGGACCGCTGTTTACATGAACTTTTTTTCTTAAAAACACTTTAAGAATCGCCCGGTGTTTAAAAACTCTTGTAAATTGTTAAAACAAACAATGCATTGAAATTACCGAAACAAATAAAAATGCAGAAGCGTTTCAAAATATTACGCACTCAAATATTGTCTAATACTAGCAAGATGACTTTTTGAAAAATTGCTATGATTTTTTGACTCATGTATTTTATATTTGTTACAGGCGGTGTTAAAACTACATTCCTTCAAGAATTTTTTTTTATTAGTACCCCCAATAAGTGGCAAATGTAAGTCCAAGCAGACTGAAATTGTTAATAACATTGGCCTCTACCCAATATTTAAAAAAAAATGTACACTACACTGATACCACACTATTTAATTCTTGTATTTTATTAGTATCAAGCATCTAAAGACAAGTTTTTTTCATCTAAAGTTTTGAAGTTTTCTTTATTTAATTGTTGAATATACTTTCCATATAAAACATTGATAACAAGAAACTCAAATAAGAAAAAATTTGAATCTTCCTAACGCTGTAGTAAAAAATTAAAAACGCAGTACTTTGAAAACAAAGGGTTTACAGGCCTACATACAATTTACTTTTTTTCCTTATAGTCACTGAAAGAATTGTAATTTTGGTCACATACTAAAAAACATGCTGCAAATTAAAACATACTATAATGAAAAAAAAACATTCCCTGACATTTCCTTCTTAGGTTCAAATAAAATTAATAACCTTATGTCACACATATCCTTCCCACCCATTTAAAAACTTATGAGGCAATCTTTTGGGTCACTTCTGTGTGGTGTTTATTTTTGGCGGATGATATGTCAAAAAACGCGCAAAACTTGCCTATTGATAAAATAAAAACGATATTAATGTAACTGACCAAGGAAACTTTCAGTAATGAATGAAAACAACTCACCATTCATCATCTTTGTGCGCAACGAAAAATTCGTTGAGCTGCTGCCTCTGAAACTCCAACTTATAGTCGTTATACTTCTCTATTGCCTCACTGTCCGATATGTTGTCATCCTGGGTGGCGAGGAATGACTTAAAAGACATCATCGGTGGCTGCTGGCCTTCCATCTGAGACATGCTCTGTTCTCTGTAGAAGAAACCTCTTTGAAAATAAAAGATAAAAATGTCGTTAGTGAAATCGGTGACTGAGTAAGCGATTGTGGAACAAAAGGATATCTAAAAAGCTTCAATTAAATAAAAAGTTATTCTGCAACTTTAGTCATGCACTATTAACTTGATAAAATCAAAATTAAATTGAAAACGAGGGCATTTTTTTAAGTACCTGTGTGGGGGCTGATGGTAAGGTGTGTAATGGTTGTAGTAACCCTCTCCGTAGTAGTCATGCCGCATTCTTTTGGCCGTGGGCTCCATGCCCGGCGAGTAGCCTCGATCCCGAGGCCGGTAATCTCTGGGCCTTGGTCGTGACCATGAATCGCCAAAGCCCCTAATTACGTAAAAACATTTAACAGGACTATACACATACATACACGCACATTTAATAAGCGTTCGCCAAATCGACAAAAGACAATTCGGCGGTTTAACCTCTTACCTTTCTACCCACTCATCCCGAGGTCGGGCTACGCGTTCGGGGCCTCTGTAACTAGCTTCGGCGCGCTCACCGCGAAATTTGTCGCGCCTTTTACGATCGTATTCGTCTTCGCTGTCTCCCATTAGGTCCGTCCCTGCAACCGAAAAGCGCTGGTCAAACTTTCAGAGCGTACAATGTATGGGCTGGGTCCTGTGCGACACCTAACCTGTCGCTAGCGCAATTTACAACAGGTTTGGTGGCGCAGTTGCATACTAGAAATTTACCTTTAGCTATACAGAAATGCAGAAGGTCCGGTCAAATAATAACCTGCGTCCGATAAGCGGATTTCTAATTTTTATTCGAAGACACGTCAAAATTAGGCCAAAAGACGCACACCACAGAATCATTCTTCTTCTTTGACAAATTCCATCAAAAGTTAATATAACTGGGATCGTTTGCCAAAACCGGTACCTGGGATTAGAAATTAAAATATAAATTTTCAAATTAAATAATTTGTTTTCCAAAAAAATATTATATCTAAGTGAATTGAAAGTTGATAAGCAAACTTAACATACGCACTGACATTGATATCATCCAAAAACGACTCTATCAAACCGAAGAATTTCAAAAATGCTATTAAAAGATCAACTCCAATGGTTTTTTATACTTTTAATTTTTTTTTGAAACTATACAATATTGACGTGTTTGACAAGGTAATTTAAATTCGCATTAAATAACTAATTTTTAGTTTCCTCTTGGAACTAAATAAAGTAATTTAATTATAACTTAAATATTATATTTCAAATAAACTACTTAAGGATAGACCTATTTTTACATAATATAACTTTATACATGTTAGGTTTGTTTAATATTGCTAAAAGTATAAGTTTGGTATAATACTTAACAGCATACTATTATTTTAGTAGAAGAATTTTAACCTTTAGCACCAAATTACACAGGAATAAATACCAACAAGACCATTCATTGAAAATTCTTCTACTCAATAATGTTTATGAAGTTTTCCAAATAATAATTAATATAATCACAATTAAAATCAGTGCTCCTATGCCAGCGAAGATTAACTTCTTCTTCCTTACTTTGTCTTTGAAGGAGCCAGCCTGCTGCAACTGCTGCGCCCCCTGGCGCACATACTGACTAGTATTCTCAACGTTGGCTTCTATACTGTCAATAGTTTCTCCTTGTTCATGAACCAAGGTACCCAACTCTTTAAATATTTGATTTACGTCATTGATGTCGCTCTAAAACAAATTCAACACAGAACTACACGAATTCAAAGCCATTCTGACACTAACCTCCAGCTGTCTGACTGATTGTTCCTGTTCTTGTAGTGCCCTAAGGTCAGCTTCTTCCTGAAGCTGATGTTGCTGTTGCCTAGCAGCATTATCTTGAAGCTCTATGAGCTGCTGATCCTTCTTGTAACCCGCTGGCACAAAATTTAATACCATCTACTACAAACAATGACAATTTTGCCACTACTTACGCACAAATGGTTCTCCATAAACTTGCTGTTTGGCCTTTTTTAATTCGTCTTTCTCCTTTTGAGCAGTACTCCTTTGTACTTGTTGGAACATGTTCAAGGAGCTAGTGAATTCATCCTGAAGTCTTTCCCTCTGCATTTTCCGTTGCCTTTGTTCTGACTGTGACCCAGAAGGGGTTATATTACTCAGGTCTTTGATGTAATCGTTTGTATCTTTTGCCAGTTGCTGAGTGAAATGTTGGATAGAATGTCTACAACGAGACCTTTTAGTTTACCATTATGGCCAATGATGTAGTGCTTACAATTGTTTTCTAAGCTCAGGCGAATCCTGATGGGTACCAATTTGGTTTACCATTCTTTGCATCCATGATACTACAAATTGCACTGTTATAAAAAGTTAAATACCTCATTCACACCTTACCGTTCTGCGAAATCTTTTGAATGCTAGTACCAATTGTTTGCGATAACTTTTGGAAGTCATGATCCCTCGTCTGGGTACCGTTTTGATAAGAACCTCCGCCCGATTCCATATTTCCTAGACGAATAAGTACGTTGATTTTTTTAGTGCTTATGGTTCTCACCGCCACATAAAATACGTCGTAAATTTTAGCCGAGTAACATTAATTAAGTGCAATTAGCGCTACTTTTTGTTAATTCAATCAATAGAATGACACGGACTTATCGAAAACAATGTAATGTCAAGTTGACAGCTGTCACAAGACAACTGGCCTGAACAGGCGTTCACCTTTTTGTTACTATTTGCTCCTAATGTGGAAATCAGGAATAAAGGAAATATTAAAATTTACGATATAGATATAAACTCTACGATTCACGAATTCCAGAGTTTTAATTATTTTACATGCAGGTGTCGAATGCTGATTTTTTTTTTCAATTTTTAGTGTTGGCAACAACTCTAGGAACCTTTTCCACGTTTGAGGGCCGGAAAAACTTTGGTACGTGTGCGTCAATGTGTACGAGTGCGTCGATAAATTTTGTGAAACTTAGTTGTTATGTTTTGTAATTTTTTCATGACTTCCGAATGATTGATTTGGAACGCGTTTAATAAAAAAGCAAGCACTAGTCGGAATTGTAAACTCCCCCACGCATGCGTATCAAAACGCGGATGAATCGGCCTCCTAGATTTTAAAGAGGTGCGGTTTTTTGTTGTGATAATTTTTGTCAATTGATTTAGGGACTAGATACTCAAAATTATAAATTCGTGAAGTTAAGAATGGACGGGAAACTACCGCCCTGTGTTATCGATGTCGGTACCGGGTGAGTAACAATAATTAGAAACCAAGGGAAGTTTCATGAGGATGCTTGCCCTTCATAGTTACACCAAACTGGGTTTCGCTGGCAACAAAGAACCCCAATTTATTATACCATCGGCAATTGCCATTAAAGAAACTGCCAAGGTTGGTGAACAAACTACCAGGAGACTGGGAAAGGGAGTAGAAGACTTGGATTTTTATATAGGAGATGAAGCATTCGATGCGACGGGATATGCTGTTAAAGTAAGTCAATTCTGCAAATTTTATCTCTTTAAAAGGTTGACTGCTATGTCCAGCCATTTCGTGGATGCCTGAACACACTCATACCATGAAAAAAGGGGCTATTTCTGAGTGTCATAATTTAATCAGTTGTTATTGTATAATTTTGTAGATACTCTTAGGCATTTTATTTCGAAATCTTATTTGACTGATTACAAGACCAAAAAATGCTCATACTGGGTCTATCATATAAGGTCACTGCATGCTTCCTTCTTTAGTATCCGGTTCGACATGGTTTAGTTGAAGACTGGGACTTGATGGAACGATTTCTTGAGCAATGTATATTCAAATATCTGCGAGCGGAGCCGGAAGATCATTATTTCCTGCTGACCGAGCCTCCTTTGAACACTCCAGAAAACAGGGAATACACAGCAGAAATTATGTTTGAGTCTTTTAACGTACCTGGCTTATATATAGCTGTCCAAGCGGTTCTCGCACTGGCGGCCAGTTGGACGAGTAGGAGCATTGAAGGCAGGACTTTGACGGGTATTGTCATTGACAGCGGAGATGGAGTTACTCACGTGATACCTGTGGTAAGTTCCTTTGACCGCGTTTAAGACGCTCCACTCGCAACTTGGGGCTTCCAGGCCGAGGGTTATGTGATCGGAAGCTGTATCAAGCACATCCCGATCGCCGGACGCAACATAACCTATTTCATTCAGTCGTTGCTCAGAGAGCGCGAAATAGGGATCCCTCCAGAGCAATCTTTGGAAACCGCGAAGGCCATCAAAGAGAAATATTGTTACATATGTCCGGATATAGCGAAAGAATTCGCGAGATACGATTCCGATCCCGCCAAGTGGATGAAAAAGTACGACAGCGTGAATTCGGTAACGAGGCAACCTTTCAGTGTGGACGTCGGCTACGAGAGGTTCTTGGGGCCCGAGATCTTCTTCCATCCTGAGTTTTCCAACCCGGATTTTAATATACCGCTCAGTCAGATCGTAGACGACGTGATTCAGAACTGTCCAATCGACGTCCGGCGACCTTTGTATAATAACATCGTCCTTTCCGGAGGCTCGACGATGTTTAAAGACTTCGGGAGAAGGCTGCAGCGGGATATCAAGAGAACTGTAGACGCCAGATTAAAATTGAGCGAAACCTTGGGCGGGGGACGACTCAAGGTAAAGTTTTTTTGAGATTATGTTGGTTGGGTGCCTATTAAATTTTTTCCTAGCCTAAACCCATCGACGTACAAGTAGTTTCCCACCATATGCAGAGGTATGCCGTATGGTTCGGCGGTAGCATGTTGGCCTCGACGGTATGACACAACTTTGGCTAGAGGGGCGGGGTTCGTTTTCAATTTTTACTCTTTTCAGCCCGAGTTTTATACGGTGTGCCACACGAAAGAGGCGTACGAAGAATATGGACCCAGCATCTGTCGGCACAATCCCGTGTTCGGAACAATGACATAAGTCCTGTTTCAGTCCTCATGATTTTTTTTTATCTTTTTTTTTTTCACACATTCAATGATAGTTTTAACTGTTGATATATTGAAAAATATAATTTTAATCTTTTTATCTTTTTGCTGCTCCTAAATTTCCCTATTCCTGTTATGAGATGGTTGCAACAGGCTATGACATCACTGGGTTGTGGCAGGTATAACTCGCTAAAACGACTGGCTTGTCGTTGCACCGGTCTTATTGCAAAAAATGGAAGAAAAATGTGAGCCTTCCTCGAAAAAAAAAGTTGCCAAAAATCTATAATCCAGAGGGAGAACGTTTTATTTCTGTTGAAATGAAGGCATACAATGACGTCATCGTTTTAAATAATTTAGAGTATGGTAGTGCTGAGGGGTTGGTGCCATTGCTTGTCACCAAATTGCGAAAGTCGAGGTTAATTCGAAATTTTCGGGGTCGTTTATTAAATTCCTATGATGGATAATGCGGAACGGCCAAAACTAAAGGCCAGAAGACGCCGCAGACGCTACAAAAGTGCCCGAGAAAATAATAACAGTCCAACATGCGCGGAGCCCAGCACAAGCCGGGGTCAAAAAAGGGGGTCTACTGCTCACGCTGAAGCAATTTCCAGCAAGAGGTATTGCCCTCCGAAAAAATATTTGTCCTTACCGCCCGCGAGTTCTACTCCCGGTAAAAATAACGCTAGCGATCGGCTACAGAAGTTGAGGCAGGTTTTAACTGGCGAGGAGACAAATGCGACAGGAAAATTGGCAAAGATTGCGGAAAAGGTACCGCCCGATAAGATTCAGACCGGCGGCTGTGCACAAAAAGCGCCTCCCGCAAAAGGACAAGTGCCTAAAGTGTCTCCTTTAATGGGTAGGTTGTCGCGGATTCGGAACAGCAGTGGACCAAGTGAAAAGGAGCTTAAGGAAAATATATCTGCCGAGCGACTCCCTGCATTATCACATCCCAGCGACGATGGAATTGTGGAAATATCAGACGATGATCTACCCCCAAGTGAGCCCGAGTTTAAAACTCCGTTGTCTAAGCAACACCCGCCAATCGGGCAGCAAGAAAATCTTTCGCAAACCTGCGACCAGTGCTCGAAGGTGTCGTCGACGAGGGACTGGATTAATACGCATCAGTGTTTAAATCGCGATTCGCGTTTTAGTTTAAGCGAATCTTTAGAAGTCAATGTGAACGATACTATTTCAAATAAGACCGCTGTGGTGGATTCGGAGGATGACTCGATGGAAGTAGAAACAGTAGATGTAAGTTGGGTTTGAGGTTATGTTTCGATTTCCATAGCTTTCGTTTTAAGATTACCGAGAACATTCTGACGGCGCCTCTGTCGTCTGTACCGCCTAAAGATGATTTGTTGTGCGTTGTCGCCGATACCAACATATTTATAAATTATTTGTATAAGATTAAAGATATTGTTTTCGGCAGTTGGCCAGGTAAGTCAAGAAGGTTTGTTTTTATAAAAGGGTGCCATTTCAAGTCGTAGCTTCCAAACGGGTGATCGTGTATGTGCCCTGGATGGTGTTCAGCGAGCTGGACTACCAGAAGGATAACGCGCGTGAACCATTGAAAGGTAACGCGATGGAGGCGATTCGGTTCATCAATCGCTGCCTTTCGGAACGAAATCCGAGGCTCGTCGGCCAGTCGGTTTTGGAAATGAGCCAACAGAAAGACATTGGGGTCAGTCAAGACGACAAAATCTTGTCTTGCGCGATGCAGGCCATTGAAAAGTACGAGACGGTGGTTAGTACATCTTTTTTGACTAACGCATCATTCCTTACTCCAAAGATTATTAATAACATAAAGATGGCACCAAGCCGCAAAATGTTTGGAGTTCGACCTCTTAGCAAACCTAAAAGATCATTTTGGTCTGGGTGGGGTTGTAGTTTCTTCTATCCAACGACATTAACCTGCGCAACAAAGCAATGGTCAGCGGGCTGACGACCTGCACCCCGAGCGATATATTACCCAGGGTCAGGGCCACAATCATGAAGACGAAGAAAACGCAGAAAATTAGCGTTAAAATGGGCATGCTGTGTTCGCAAATTATCTGTGAGTGCTGCAGAGAAGCCTACGGCGAAGTGTGGTTGAAAATGGATTTGCTGAGTAACCCGCCATGGTCTTTGGTCGAGTGCCTGAAGCGAATGCGGAAATACTGGTTCTCCGTCTTCAGAATGAAACTGCTCAAGCAGTGCTCCAAGACAATTGACGATTTCCTTCGCATTCTGACGTCGCATAGAGGTAGGGCGGGCTAGGAAGATGGATTTTTAGGTTATGTCCATCTGAGTTTTAGATATTTGCGACGATTCCGCTGAGTTCGACGAGTTCATGAAGCTGGCGATAGCGTTGTGCATATACTTGAAAGATATTAAAGAAAAGAAGGCGACCGTACAAAATACCATGAATGAAATAGTTAAAATCGCCTCCTGATCAGTGGTTCGGGAGCGGGTGGGCGGGCAGAGAACAGTGTTCAAATATACTGTGATACTAAGTACTATTCTAGTTCCATTTATTCAAAAAAGGAATTTAAAATATAAACTTTGTTTTGATTACTTTTTTTTAATAGCAAGGGAACAAGTGTCAGATACCGCTTTTAGAGGAGGGTTCAAGTCGTTCAGCCCGTGTATTCCGAGTCACTTCATGCGAGGTGAGTAACTTCGAGAGAGAATTCAGAACTACCCTTCATTTAAAGTAAAAACCAATTCTCTCGCCTTTTAAATTTATTAAAATTAAATTAAAAAAAAATACTATCTTTGTCTATAAAAAAACTTTTATCTCATCGATATTAAAAATATATACGAACTAAATTTTAATGTTTAATGACTTTTTAAAATCACCTATTGTTTAAAAGAATACTTATTTTATTTTATTAAAAGAGTTTGTAACACTCCAAACAACTTAAATTTCCGTTCCACCTCGTAATCTTGGCTGATTTCAAGGTGCTTACGTGAAGTTGACTTTTTTCGCTACTCCAAAAGTTGTTTATAAATAAAAACTCACTTCCTTTGCCGGCTAGGCACTCAACTATTAAAAAACTCCAGTTGATTTTTTTGTACAACTATCAAAAACTTTAAGTCATCGGACGCAACCATTGACATCGTCATCTTGCCAATCTTCCGACATTTCAGTGACTTCAAATTCCTTATTAAAGATATTTCGTGAAATAGTTCGTCTTCATTTTACAATAAAACAGTTTTTGTTGTGGGTCGAATTTCTGAGTAATGTGGAATTGCGGCCTTGGTAATGTTTATAAATTTTCTGTGAATTAAAATATTGAAAAATTGGTTGGTCAGCTTGCTTCATAAACACTAATCATTCGGGAATTGCGTTTTGAAGTAAATAGAGTGACTCCGTGTGCGTTCGGTTATTGTATATATGTGAATTTTTATTGTATATTTTCTTTAAATTTTCTTGGGTATACGGTTTCTCGAAAACAAATAACGTAATTCTTTTATATATCTATTGACGTTTCCATGATTATTTCGATCTTTTTCAAAATATTATAATTCTCTATGTCACATTTATAAAAATTGATGACATTTGACGTTACGTTAATAGGTTACACATTTAAAATAAATATAATTTGTCTGCAAATGTTTCATGCATGCAACGCAGATACGTATTTTTAATTTCATTTCAGTATTTTCCTTTAAATAAACTACTTAATGATGAATTGTAAAAGTTAAATAAACAACGTAACATTTTAAAATTGTTTATTCCGTTGTTCATATGACATATCCACTAATACATCTCTCTCTATCCAACGAACATAGTTAAAAAGAGACAACAATAGCGGAACCGATCGGGACGATAAACGAATAGGTTTAATGGTAACTAGTAAATATTTTGTGTGAATTGTAAGAAATGTAGTAATCCGATAATCTGTTATTATATATTATTTGTCAAATTGTAAGTTTTTCGTGACGGGCGTAGAAAAAATATAGTATGCAATACGTTTGATAAACTCTTTATCTCACTCGTTCAAGCACTCGCTCGGCTGAGCACTCGCTCGGCTGCGCTGTGATCGTGCCAAATAAACTATATACTATATAAATATACTATAAAATTCAAGTTTATGTAATTATACTCCCGGAACCGGTGAAACGGACGCGGAGCATCCCGTGCAAGCACTGGGACAAACAAGGCGTTACACAAGGAGTATTTTTATGTCGTAGGGCATCCTCTGGTATCACGAGGGGTTTTTTGGGGTTTGGGTTTAACCGGCATAGCTACTAATGTTATTTTGTTAAGGCCTTTAGAATCCGTTTTGTAATTAGATTTTTTGGATTTCTATATTCCATGGTTAGTAGGATTTTAACTTTTTGAAAATTAAATGTTTGTTCTTGTCACAATGGGTATGAAGAGCTATTTTTTTTTTGTCATACTTCTGCCCATTGATGTTATTTTTTAAATATTAGATTGTTTGTCCAATATACGTACTGTCGCAATTAGAGCATGGAATTGCATATAACGTATTACTTTTTTCATTCGGAATTTTTGCTTCAAGTTTAGTGAAGAAATGTTTTTTGTAAATTATAACCTTTGTGTCCTATTTGCATTTTGTGTTCTTTGAAAATGGTTTTGAGTTTTTCTAATAAACCAGGTACATATGGTAGCGATATATATTTGCTTTTAGGATTTTGATTTTGTTTAGTTTATTTGTTATAAAATTTGTTGTCACGTATACTAAAGATATTTTTTTTTTTGAGGAGGAAATGCTTTATGCACACCACGCGCTTGGCGGTTTGCGTCGTGGTAGTGTGGGACTCTCCGAAGTTTCGGACTACCCACTAAAACCCTCTGTTGCTCCAGTCGTTACACCCGGAACCGTCGTCGACATATCTTCAGGAGCAACCAGCAGTGTTTGTTTGTTTTTGTCTTTCAAGTTCGTCTCTCTCTTTTTCGCTCAAAATTCTTCTTACCATATCTTTCACAACCCGCCAATTTTCCGCGTTTTCCACCATCTTCGGTACAAAGGAATCTAGATCTAGCGCACAGCCTATTGCACCATATGTTTCCTCCCTTAGCTCTCTCCATTTCGAACACTCGAACAGGGTGTGTTGGGCGGTATCAACCTCGGAGCAGCGGTCCGTGTGTTCCTTGCCAAATCTCTTAGCGTAAACTCTAATACAGCCGTTTAGGGCTTGTGTTAAGTAGTAATCTGTACTACGATGTTTGCAATCTAGCCACATTTTCAGGTTCGGTATGGGCTTTTTGGTCCATTGGGCCTTTAGAGTCTCGTTTTGCCACCTTTGTTGCCAGATATCTAGTGCATTTTCGCGTGCAGTAGCCTTTTTGTTTTGTGGGTCTCCGCCTTTGAGTTTCTAGATGTGCTTTCGTTCATTGACCATCAAATCAATTGGTAGTACTCCTGCAACAACCTGCAGTGCTTTTAGGGATACAGTTTTGTAAGATGATGTCACGCGCAAAAGCATTTTTCTTTGTGTTCTTTCTACCTGACATTTGTATTTCTTGACTGTTAGCACTTCGCTCCAGACCGGAGCACCATACAGAATAATGTTGTGCATAGCGCTGCACAGTACTGCTCTTTTTTCGCTCTTGTGTCCTCTTACATTAGGCATAATTCTGACTAAGCTGGATATTTTTGCTTCTGCTTTCACAGTTACGCAGTCAATATGTTTTCTGAAACTTCCTCTGCTGTCTATGGTTATGCCTAAGTATTTCACTGTTTTAGAAGGGATCACCCTCGCTCCTTCCAAGTTGAAGGCTATGTGATCTCGCTTACGTCTTCCCCTCAAAATGACTGCCTCTGTCTTGTCTGGTGCTAAAATGAGTTTGTGCGTTTTCATCCAAGAGCTTATTCTCTCCAGACACTCATTTGTGTTGCTCATGAGCACCTAGTCAGAGTCCGCGCCGACAAGCGCCAGGTCATCGGCAAATCCGATGGTCACGGCATCCCTAGTAAGTTCTAAGTTTAATACGCCGTCATATAGGACGTTCCACAATGTCGGCCCCAAGACAGAACCCTGTGGAACCCCGGCCTCAGCATCCATGGTTTCATTTTTATCAATAAGTATTTTTCTGTCTAAACATATTATTAATTAAGTTTTTGGGATAATTATCAATTTCAAATATACATATTTAAACTGTTTATTAATAAGGGGCATCAGATTTCAATTTCAAATTTTCAATGTTTTCAATTACATTGACTTCTTCATTATCCTCGTCGTTCAAATATATTCTTTTTATAAAACTACACAGAGGCACAAATATTAAGTTATTATTCATTACTAATAAAAATAAACAAAAACAAAAGTTTGAGGTTTCCATTGCATCCACAGGTTCCCGCGATAAAATAAAACCACCTGGCAGGGTTATAATAAAGCTTTGTTTCTTTAAATAACTTTCTTAATACATTCAAAACGTTCACTTAATAACAACACCGATAGAGCGGGAAGCGCGCCTTAAGTCATATCGTCGTCTGCCGAGTCGTCATTTTCATCGACGTCCGCGTCGTTCGGGACGTCCGGCCGATAAATATTCAGCAGATCCCTCATCGCGTCCACCAACGAGGCGACGCTCTGTCTGAGATCGACGTTATTTTGTACCCTGTCCTCGTTCGCTTGCCCCGCTCCTTCGTCCGGTTCCCTACGCGACAAATCCATTCACACCCCTTATACCGGTAATACAAAAGAGCTCACCCCTCGATCATCCTGATCTGGTTCGGGTTGAAATCTGGCAGCAGCGAACCCAAAAACATCGCCAAAGGGTTGGCGCTGGTGTTGACCACCGTGGTCGGTCTTTGGGGCCTGCTGTACAAATTGATCGAATCCGGAGGCGGGAGCGGATCGAACCTCATTATGGGTCCGGATTCTTCAGTGAACGGCGATATCCCCTTGACGTCGTCGGACAGGATGATATGCCGCGAGATGCTCAACGGCAATGGCCCCGCATATCTCCGCGCCCTCTTTTCCTTGTAGTCCGCCACGACTGGTTCGTTTCTCTCCACCCTGTCGAGCACCTCGTGAACGTTCTTTTCTAACCACGGCAGCAGGTCGCTATCTTTCCATATATGATAGCCGCGGTGGACGTACAGATTGGTCAGCTGAGTTAGCGACATCGGAAAGCTGAAATGTTACCTGTTCGGAAGCCACGCCTACTAGTGATGTAGTTTTGCGAAATTTGGTTCGAATTATACCGTCAACCTACGCCGCGACGAATAAATTACATATAAAGCCCCGTTGTGTGGGTCAGAATATATAGCTCTTAGATATGTAGAAGCCTTGCTCATTCTGATATAGACACTTTTCAGGATAAATGTTGAGTTCAATAAAATGACACCCGCCTTTCTCAGGAAACAACACACGTCACCTGAAATTTGATTCAAGACACACGTAGGAAGCGTAGGAATTACTGCATACAAATCGTCCTGAAGCCAAACTTTTTACCATCAAACAAAAACTCTCCTAACAGAAATTCATTTCACTGCCCGTGCCTGAAAACGAAGTGTTCATTTTTGTCGTGCCATTTAATATACGCAGACGGGAGAGATTTCGCAACTCGCTTTTGACCCACAACCTTGCGGCATTCAAAAATGAACATGGCCGCTGACAGTTCTTCAATTCGACAGTTTTAAGTTTATCATGTATGTATTCATTCATGTATGTTCGCTGATTATTAGTATTATAGGCTGCTAATTGACACCGACATTAGCACTATAGGCTGCTGGACAAAAATATCGTGTTACCTTGATAATAATAATATGCTTACTCAGTATATAACGATAACTTTAAATTAAAAATAATACGTCACATTTTGTCTTCACAAAAAAAAAAAATTCTCAATAAAACCCTTAAGCTCTGCAGGATCACATATAAATTTACTCTGCCACATATTGCAGAAAGTGACGTTAACAAATGTTTAACAGAATTGCTAAATAATTTATTTAAAATGCAAAGTCTAACCTACATAATATGAAAATTTTAAACACGAGCATTACTTTAAATTTGATATTGAAAACAAGCAAATCTTATATGTAATTCTTAAGTCTGTTTATTTTAGACACATAAGGTAAAGGTATTATGGCAGCCACAACATCAACGATATAATTTGAACCAAACTATACCATACCTTACCTTTTCTCCGTGGCTCCGTTGAAAAACGCATGCTTGGCGACTCGATCGTCGACCTGTACCGAGCACGCATCGAGCAACGGCAGCAACACGCCGGGGAACATTAGCAGCGCGTCTTGCAACATTCCGTCAGCTCTGACGACGTCGCCCACGTAGAAATACGCCACCGCCAACGAGAACGCGAAATTCGGCAGCTGCGTCAGATAGTGGGTGGCGTCCAGCTCCGTGACGAAGTCGACGAGCCACTGGTACTCTTTCGCCCGTAGCGCGTAGAAATCTATGGCCAGTTTGATACCGATCGGGTCTTTGTCGGGATCGAGCGACAGCAGCAGCTTGCAAAACTCGAGCGACGTGCGGGAACAAGCCCGGCCCCCCAAGAAGGTCAGGTGTTTGAATAATGTGATGTAAAGGGCCCTAGGGAGGACTCCAGTTGACGTTTTTAATATTTCTTATCAGCACAGTGAAAGGCGTCATCGTCCGCGAACTTGTTCGAGAGTAACCCCATATCAAACCAACCAAACACTCATGGTTAACCTAGGGTCTTTTATATGACATCACTACCTTTATTCAATTTTACACAATATAAATCTGCCAACATAACTTCTGAGAAAAGCGACTTTTTAGAATGGAGACTTATTTTTTCAGACCCATTACCTCGAACAAATTAGTACCACGATATTTTAGGATTTCATCACGGTAACCTTACCTATTTTCCTGCCGCCGATAGTCCAACCTGCAAGTCCCTTGGGCCAGGTTAAAGAGGGGATGAAAAGCATACTCCAGACAATAGAGAGCGCGTTCGATAAGCTCGGCCGCCATGGCCAAGTCTTCGCTCAGTTTGCACAAGTCTGAGAGTTGAATGAGAGCGTTCACATGGTAGGGGTGCTCGTTTATAATCGCGACTATGTTATCGGGGTTTAAACTCTCCACGGCTTGCAAAAACCGCGTTTCCACCTGCCAATAGCTCTGACTGTGTTCGTATGCAAAGTACTGCAAGCTATTTTTTGTCTCGATCAGAGACATTGACAAGCCTGACTTGCCCACCTGCGGCCAATTCTCTTTGCAAGTCACCAACCATGTGGTTTTCACATGCCCCCTTGAACTGCTCCGGTTCTTACGTTTACTTTAAAAATAATTATAAGGCTATTTTAAAAAATACACTCGCTAACTTACTGCTCAGATTGTATAATTTTGGACCCGAATATCCGTTTCAACTCATTGTTAGGGTTCAAGTGTTTGTGCTGCACAGAAAGTATAGTTTTCTTGCAGGCCTTATCCTGTTTGTGACTAGATTGAGTGGCCACGGACGACGCTATGTTTTCGCCCAGTAACCTGTTTACTTCTCGTACGGATCTTTCCACCTCGTCCATCTAAAACGCTTTACAATGCACCATTGTATGGAAGTAGTGCGAACTTACATCAGCGTTGTCTTCGCTGCTTCTGTGTGTGCTGACGTGCTTGCCAGACTTTTTTTTCCTCTTCTTGCGCTTTTTCTTTATCGACTCGTGCACGGGATTACCCTCACAAGACTTTGCCGCCTCGGTTTCATTGTCGTCCTCTTTTACTTCACTCTCAGAGTGGGAATGTTGGTTTAACTTGAAAACGATAATTTTTAACAAGAATCGAGGGTTTAATTACTATAGTTACTAAGTCGTAGCGGTTTATATTCAGCTGCCGACGCCGTGCGCCGCCGACAGGGGTGTCCGTCTCGATATCCGACAAAACTTCGCTATCCATAAGTTCCTTTTCTTTGTCGCTTTGCAGCTTGCGCAATACTCGGGACGACATGTTCACTAGCTGCGAATCGAGGCTTCGGCGTGTTTATTATTTAACGTTATATATGAATAAACATACGCTGAACACAAAATATTTTTATATTAACGTGCCACTTGTCAATGTCACCTGGTTGACGTCTGCCTGATTTTAATCAAAATTGTTTTCCGCACCACAGATCAATAAATTTCTGAAACTAGTAAAGAACAAGACGCAATAACTTTCGTTTTGGTATTTTTTCATTCGATTGTTATTAATAACTTGAATAAAAATAAACAGAAAAAAATCTCACCTGATTAAAAAAATAAGCGTTTCGGTATCAATCATCTGAACAGCTATGGGGAATTCGCGCGTTACCAAGTTTTCGATTTTCCCCCCAAGTCAAAAACATATGTTTCTGCTGTGATCGTTTGGCATTAAGAGTTGCCTAAGTTCTCAAAAATTCTCAAAGATTTTTTTTCATTTATTTAAGCATTAAAATGCAAGATTCGTTGGAGGATTACCTGAGGATATCTAAAAATACTAAGGAGACCGAAACTATCAGAATAAGGTAACAATTCTTACCAAAAAAGTCTGGTTCACCCATCGAAATGAAAGTAATTGCCCAACTGTGTGAGCAATCTTGCGTAAAATTAATTATTGTTGGATTTTCTAAATGCGACCGGTGTTTACTGGTGTGGTTTCGTTTCAGCAAGGAAATTCAAGCCACGGCACAACGTAAAAAAGATTGCGACGCTCGTGCTATGAAGATAGTTGAGTTTTCCATTGAAGGTAAATTACGTCCCGAAGTTTTTACCAAATGCGTAAGTTTGCCTAGTAATTATGTATTATCCGCGGCTAACTATAATTTCGATTTAGTTGCCGTTTATTACCCAAGAACATTACCAAGACATTGTCGAAGAGCGAGCTATAACCAAACTTTGTGGTTATTCTGTGTGCGGCAAAAAAATTCCAGAAATGCCCAACAAACAGTATTTTATTTCCACAAAGAGTAACAAGGTGTACGACATTACTGAGAGAAAGGTATGGAAATTTAAGCGAAGAACAGTTGAATCAGGTTCCCTTAACTAAAGCTGTTTTGAGTGGTATTAATTTCCTTGTTTTTTGGGTTAATTTTCAGAATTTCTGCAGTAACTTCTGTTACAAAGCCAGCATGCACATCAAAAGGCAAATAGACAACAGCCCTTTGTGGTTGAGAAAGCTGGAAGACATTCCTGAATATAGTTTGCTGAACTCATCCGATGAGTATGTGTGCTTGTTAGGGAGAACTTATTTTTGAATGGTAAACATTTTAGGGGTCTACCTGGTGAATACATTGACCAAGGCTTAATCAAGCCACCAACACGTGAGCAATATTTTACGTCAATTTCTTCCTTTACGCAGGCGTCTTTGGATGATTTGACTGACCGAGAAATAAAGGCGGGAAAATCCAAACGGGATCGGCCCAAACACGCGAAAAAATGCTCTCGGTTAAAGTCCACCATGCAAACAATCAGAGAAACCGAAACAGAGGTAGTGGAAGAAGAAACTGTAGTGTCAGTGTCAAAAAGTGAGGTTAGGACCAAAACACACAAAAAAGAGACTCACAAAAAGAGCGCGTGCGTCGTTAACTTACCGGCTATCGAGGAGAACGAAGAGAAGATCGATCAACGTGAACCGGAAGAATCGGCAAGAGAAGAAATGAAGAAAAACAAAAAAAAGGTAACCAGAGCGAAGCTGGATGTCGAGGGGATTGTAAGACGGGCGTTGGACGACTGGCTGACTTTGGAGACATGTATTTTCATACACGGTGAAGAAAAGGTGAAAGCGGTTCTGGATGAAGAAAAACTAAGTGCTTACTTCGAGACTTTGAAAGTGATGGAGCTGCAATGGGACCAACAAAAGAGATACATGGATGTATGTCGGCGATTGCAACTTCAAGAAATGGCCGACGAAAAGTTTGACAGCGCTGTCGTGGGCGACTCGAAACTGATGCCTCTCCCAGACTACAAACGATTGAAGGAAGAAAGTAAAGATATGCATTTGAAGGTTAAGTCGTTCTTCGAGGGCGGTCTCTATGAAAAAAAAGATACAAACTTCCCACAGTCAAAGGACGGTGTGGGTGTAGAGGAGGTGTCGCCGGTGCTGCCACCAGTCGACGCAAATTCCCATCATTTAATCCGAAGAAAGATATTTTTGAGTTCCTTAAATAAGGCGTACGTATTCCGCGTTGCATGTCCATGTGCAATCACGGAAAGCTGCAGTGTGCTCTGTGATCTGTTTTAGCCATCTTGTGTGTTACAGATACTTTTTTTTTTGTTCCAGAATGCATCAACTGTTGCAATCGCTTGGAGTCACGTATTTTTCTTCGACGTTATCAGACGTTCAAAGTCTGGTGAAAACCTTTCGTTTGAGCGCCGGTAATGTAACTTTTAAGCCGGTTATATGGAATTACATTGCAGTGGTGCTTTTGCATTTGTGAGAACTTTGCAACCACTGTTTCTATGACATTTTTGACTAGTTGCATTTTAGGTTATCCTTAAGGGATCAATCTGTTAAATCCGTGCTCCAAGAGAAACGGTCTCAAGAATATATCAAACTAGTGACGTCACCGCAGGGCAAAAATAATTTTCTCGACGAAATTTTATGTAATGTGCAAAACGTGGAACTGTTTGTTCAGCAATACATAACTTCCAGTAAAAATGTGTGATCTCAGTATGTAATTATAATTATTTAACATGTATGAAGTGTTTAGCGTTTTATTGAAATGCCCTACTTTGGCCTGCCCGAATTCCCTCTGACTTTTTCGAGTTCTATGGTTTAGCGCGAAAAACCAAGTCAACACAACTAACCTCGATTTTTTAGTATATCTAAAAGGTGGAATTTGTAATAAAGGAAACATCACTTAAGATGAAAAAATCTGCTCCGAAAGCTAAAGGGATTCAGGTAAATGTTTATCTTCATCGAATTTGATTCGACTAAGTCGTGAAATTTCAGGCTGCTAAGGGTTGTATGAAAATTTCAAGTTTTTTTACTAAACAAAACAATGGAAAAGTAATTTGCCCGACTCAATCACGCAACGTCGAATTTATCGAAGTTCTCGACAGCGAGGATGAATGCCTGGGTGCTGAACCTCACTCAAAGAAGAGAAAATTTGAGACAACCCAGGCCCCAGGGAGATCACTCTCAAAACAAACACTTGGCAGCCCCCAACCGTCGACTAGCGGCGTAACCCCTAATAAAATAAAATCATCCATTTTAATAGACGATATAGATTGTTATCCAAAACCGTCAACAAATGAGATTCTTGCTTTAACACCGACTAAAACTCAAGCATTGCTGGCGGTTAAAAGCGTTGAGAAACTACTCTCTCAGAGGGCATTAAAAGAATACAACTCGCCCGAAAAAGTAAACGAGAGACTAAATGATCAAGTGAGTCCCAGGCAATTTGAAAAAATATCCACCACTCCCACTCAAAACTCTTCAAGCAACTCTCCGCGCAGCATTGAGAAGACGTCCGGCAAGAAGAAGACGCCCAAAAAGTTGTTTGAGAGGTCACCCAGCAACTTGAATGAATTCAATGTAGAGATTATTAAAAACTTTGTTAAAGTCACCCCCAGCAAAAGCAATGCAGGGGACATAAACGAAAGCTGCAGCGAGGTAGAAAGGCAGAAGCAAAATGAAATGACACCCGTTAGGAATATACTTAAAAATAAACAGGTGTTCAATTCGCCCGTCTCCAAAGTTAAAGGCAAATTGAATTTTTCAGATTGCTTCTCTCCAAAGGGTGGTCAAAGTCGTGTAAACACACCGCAGAAAGCCGCGCATTCCCAAAGGAATAAGACTACAGAAAAAGAGAATGTTGACTGTAACAATATGGATGGTGACTTTAATGATGACAGCTGGGATGCACAAGTGGTAAAACTTCAATAATGCGAATCGCACCTTTGTCATCATATTTTGCAGTTCGAACAGACAGATTACTCGCTAGATCTTACCCAGTCGCAGCATTGCAAAATCGTCGGCGTTACTCAGAATAAGTTGGAAACCATACTCACCCTTAAATCCACCAAGAAGAATGAGCAAGCTATATGCACCCTTAAGGGATTTTGGTAAGATTTTGGATAAAAGGAGGATGCTTAACACAATGTTTAACTTTAGGATCCACTCCAAACTTTGCATTGGAGATACGGTTCATGCGATGGCCAAAAAAATTGGCGAGAGCGACTGGTTGATAGACAATCAAAATGGCCTCTTAGTTTATGAACCAGACCTCTTAATTTCCACAACATCCATCACTGGTAATTTTTTTGTAATTCTAATATTCTAGGTCCTTGTTTTGATTCTCCAATAAACAAAAGCTTAGCCTGCCTATATAACAATTAAGTATGGACATACCCCATTCATTTCCTAACCAATTTGAGTGGAGGAAGGTATTATAAGTAGTTTTGGTTATTATATATTTTAATTCCACTAATTGAACATCAAAATATAGCTGTTAGGTTGAAATTTTTATTTTTTTGCAAAATTCTTATTCTTACTAAATAACAAAGGGAGATTCAATTATAAAAATAATGTCTTATTGAGGTAATGGCAGCTGTATCACCTTAAATATTTCTACAGATAAATCACTAGTTATAAAATTTGTCGCAAAAAATGAATCAATGAATAAAAAAACTCACATAGGGTACTTATGCTAATTATCTTATAGGAAAATTAAGTTCACTTTAATTTGCAATGGTCTTATAGGGAAGGGAAACTGGGGAAACTTTAAAGATTCTGGAAAAATATTTACCTTACAAGAGAATTTTTACAAAAATATAATATATTGACTTTTTTTTTGTTGATGTCTATTCTCTGATAATGTTCATAAAAAATAATAATAGAAATATTAGTGAGTGATACAATACTAGGATGAAAAATGTGAACCCGAAATTATAGGTTGCACAGCAAGGTAGAAATTTATGTCTGAATAAAATGCCTAAATAAATTATTGCAAATAAATAGCGATTTTCTGACAAAGCTCTAAAAAGAAAGATTTAAAAGAATATTAAAATCTCTTTTACTAAATAAAATTGCTAATACATAACGTTTGAATTTAGTTTTTAACTTAACGTTTTTAAGGGTAATATTTTTTCTTTTTCAACGATCTCACAATATTACTCGTAAAAGTAAAACGTTATTACCATACATTTACAGGGTCCGTTTATTGCAAGAGAAAGTGCGTTTTCAATGAGAAATTCCGCGGCTTCGACCCTACCAACAAATACATGCTCATAGGGAGCCTGGTCCACGAGCTGATGCAAGATGTCTTAAAAAAAGATCTTCGTAAGCTCGACGATATCCATAAATGCGCGCGAACCTTGTTAAACGCAAAAGACACGGTGCGCTTTCATTTTATTTCCTTTTTCCTTTCGATACCTTACGTAAATTCCAGATAGCGCGCATCTACGAAAGCGAGGTCACCACCCAATTCGTCGAACAAGAACTCCTGCTGTACTGCGAGAAAATAAGAGATTTCGTTGCCACCTACATGCAAAACGGCAAACTAACTATTAACCCGAAGCAGTATAAAAAAAACGACTGGAAAGGCTCCATTACCGGTATCGACGACATTGAGGAGAATGTGTGGTGTCCCGACTTAGGGGTGAAAGGGAAAATCGATGTGAGCGTCAAAAGTGGTTTGGCCACGATGCCTTTGGAGGTTAAGACTGGTAGGGCCACTGTGTCGCTAGAGCATCGCGCCCAGGTCCTTCTCTACATCATGATGATGACCAAGTTGGGCTACAACGTACCATCCGGCTTATTATTGTATATTAAGTGAGTGATAAATCATTTAAACTTTAAAATGATTGCGAGGGCGCCTCAAGGCTTGAACTCGGGGCCCCTTCCCTTCACAGCCTATTAATCCCAATTGTATTCGATCGTCTCTCGTCAGGGAAGGCGTTTTGAAAGAAATAGCGATGACAGCCACGGAACGAAGGGATATTATGATCATGCGCAACGAACTGGCGTACTATTTGAGTAGAGAGCCGAGAGTGGTGAAAAATTCCGATGGTAAAGGTGTGGAAATTTGTGAATTGCCGGAACCCATCAATCACCCCAGCTGTGCCAAGTGCCCATACAACGTCGTGTGCGCCTCGCATTCCAGGTCAGATTTAAATGTCAGACTGTGGAATATTCACAGTCGCCGCTTTGCAGATATTCCAACGAAGATATTTCCAGCAAAGAGGCGCTGAACATGGTCCACCTGCAGGTAAAAAACCATTTAACCGAGAGCCACGTCGCATATTTCATGCGTTGGAGCTCGATGGTGTCGCTGGAGATGAACCAGGGAAAGGACAAGAAGAAGCTAAGGGATATTTACACGGTACCTCCCGAGCGAAGGTGCGTTCGCCACGAAATAATTGTATTCCATGGTTTTTGATTTCTTTACTCAGAAGGGACAAAGGCAAGTGCCTGATCAACTTAAAAATCGCGAAAGTTTCGCCGGAATGCAACTCGATGTGGGAGCACACGTTCCAAAGTCGCGACGACGCGGAAAAAGGGAACTTTTTCATTAGCGGGTTGACAGAAAATAATTACGTGGTGATCAGCGTCGAGACTAGACCGGCCGTCGCTTCGGGCTACGTGACGTGCATCACTTCGTCTTCAATTACCGTTTGCTTAGACAGGTATTATTTACAGACGCAAACCATAAAAGCAATAACGTTAATATTCCTGTATTAGAGATTTAAACAAAAAATACCGCGATAGTACGATTTTCTTGGACACTTACGAATCGTCCGTTTTCCAAACCTACAACTTGGCGAGCTTGTGTCTCTTACTGGAAATGACCGATCGAGCAGACCAACTGAGGAGAATCGTTATCGATCGAGAACCGCCCACGTTTCACAGCAAACTGCCCAGAGTGATCGCGGAAAAAGGCAAACCCATACTGAAAAGACTCAACCAAGTGCAACAGAGGGCGGTCTTGAAGGCCATAGCTGCCAAGGACTACCTGCTGATCAAAGGAATGCCCGGGACCGGTAGGCTGACATTTAAACAATTACCGGACAAACTTAGGAAACAATTTTAGGAAAAACGTCGACGATAGTAGCGCTGATCCAGCTCCTGGTGGAAATGAACAAAACTATATTAATAACGAGCCACACCCACTCTGCGGTCGACAACGTGTGCATCAAGCTCGTCAAACTCGGGATTAATTTAATGAGGTTGGGTAGGGAGTCGAAAGTGCACCGCAGTGTGAGGCACTACACGGAATCGTACCTGACCAAAGACTGCAAAAGTCCCGAGGAGCTCGACTTGGTTTACAACAGTGCCGTGAGTTCGCGCGAGTTGATTTCTTGGGCCGCCGTAACGTATGGTTTTAGCAAATTCTAGCTGTCACGTGTTTCGCGTCCGGACATCCGGCTCTGTCCAAACGAACGCTCGATATATGCATCGTGGACGAGAGCACTCAGGTGTTGCAGTGTTCCGTGATCAGACCGCTTTCAGCGGCGAAAACCTTCATACTGATCGGCGATCCCGATCAGTTGCCGGCCGTGGTGAAGAATAAAGACGCCATGTAAGTAAATACCTTGCGGAAGCTAACCTAATTTGTCGTAGATTAAATACCCAAAATACTGTAATAATTTTGGCGACGTGGTCGTTCAAATCTCAGAAAACTGAACAAAACTCTATTTTTTAAGGAAACGAAACCATCACTGTGATTTTTGTGTTACTTCTACATAAAATTTAAAAATTTCACTGAGATCTTTATGGTTTAATATCACACTCTTTTTGTAAAGCGAACTATCACAAACAGGTTGGCACAAAAGTACTATATCTCCCTTATTTATGGTTTCAAAAAATATTTGGGTGTCGGGTAAAATCAAAAAATCAAAATTTTAAAAATATTTTCAATTATATTTGGCCTTTCATAAACGCGTGACAATCCAAACATGATTTTTTGATATATTTATTACTCTAAGAAATGATTATATGGCGTGATTGTTTTCGAATTCTAATTGAGACAAAAAAAAACTGTAGTCTGCTGCCTTTATAATATTAAAAATAGATGTTAATATGGTCAACATGAACTTAGTTAAGCAGCTAAGTAATTATTTTGTACATTATTTCAATTTCCCGACCTTTAATCTATTTTTCTCTGTTTTTTTCTTACATTTTTTTTTAATTGCTTGTCTTTCGATTTTATGGAATACAATTTACATCAGGGAAACACATACTATCGAAATATATATTATAATACATAAAAACAATATAATAATGCCAGCTTTCTAAGAGTATTAAATTCTTGGTCGCAGCCTTGGCGGTTGTTTTTAACAAAAAAGGCATGATAATAGTTCATATAATGAAGATTTAAAGGATCGTTTCTTGTTCCTTCCTTTTCTGCAGTGATATTCCCGATTTTTTTCTACTTTCTTTTACTTGTGGAAAAATATAAACCAACAAACTGCCGAGTTTACTTCTAGTCGTTGCTTTCGGATTTATATCACCCGGTTTCAGTGACCTCGGAATGACGGAGAGCTTGTTTGAAAGACTGAATAACGACGAGTCTCGAATTACGTTGAATCTGAACTACCGGATGAACGAAACCATAACGGAGCTGGCGAACGCATTGACGTATAACGGGGAGCTTTGCGTCGGCGCGGAACACGTTGCCAAGGCAACGCTGAAGATACCCAAACCCGAGGTCCTTCGTAGGGACTACGGAGAAGCGAAATGGTTGTCAGCGACGTTGGACGGCTCCCTAGAGAACGCCGTGCAATTTTTAGACACTGGCCCCGTGTTTGATTTGAATGAGAAGGTGGATTGGGCCAGGGGCGGCGATGATTCGGCCAACATATACGAGGCGGCGCTAGTTTACCGCTTGGTGCGCGCGCTGCTAGATTCGGGCGTGATCGACGACCAGATCGGAGTAATCGCGACTTATCGCGCCCAGGTCGCTCAAATTTTCGATATCCTCGGCGATACCCGGGTCGATATCAACACGGTCGACCAATTTCAGGGCAAGGACAAAAACGTGGTGATATATTCGTGTTCGAAATCGCGCGATATGAGTAAAGAGTGGACGAGGAACAAGTACGAGCTGCTCGAGGACAAACGCAGACTGAACGTGGCCGTGACACGTGCCAAACACAAGCTCGTTATTGTGGGAGACTACGCCACCTTGCGGCACTACACGACCTTCGAGAAGATCGCGCCCCATCTCGAAAGGAACTTGGTTAGGGTGACGGAGCAGCAGCCCTTCGCATGGGCCGCGACCTTGGACTTGTCACGGTGATAATTCAAGTTGCGATTGTCGTTTTTTCATTTAATTATACTCTTTTTTTTTGCTTTAATAAATACTTTACATTCTGGGATTTTTGAATAGGTCTGTCATCATTTTTTTTCTAAATGAAAAATAATAGATTTATAAACCCCTACAAAGTTTAAAAATATAATTTTATCTAGACATTGCCGCAGAATATATAAATAAAGAGGGGGCTTTGTTTTTTAGCTCCAACAAGTAATGAAAAATTATTTAGAATACAAATTTAGCAAAGTATATTTGCATGTCACCCAGATCAAACAACACTTCGAAAAAAGTAAGTAAAACGAACCAAGTTTTGTTTTCAACAACGTCACCTGCCAGATAACACTTAACCCAATGACATTGCAATGACTCAAACAGGCATAGAATGACAAACCACATCACAGCAGTAATATTCACACCCGACAATCAAAAACTCTTTCTTTTCTTCATGTGTTCATTGCGAAGGTTGGCAATCTTCAAGGCTATGCGTGTATTCGTGACACCAGTCACGTAGATGTCTCATCCATGAGTGACGTCTTCTTCCGACACTCCTTTTTCCAAGAAGTTTCCCTTGCAGTATCAATTGTAATAGATGGTATTTCTCTACCCTCATGTGAAATGTCCAATTTCTTCAGAGTCCATGCCTCCCCACCATAATACAGCACCGACAACGCATAGCATCTCACCATTCTAATTTTTAAATCAAAACTGAGGTTGCTATAACAAAACAGTCTTTTCATTTTCATAAACGTTGTTCTCGCCAGTCCCCTGATTCTACAGTCTAAGTATTTATAACTGAAAACTTTTTCTATGTATTGTGTGTTTGTAAGAATTTGGCGGTTGTTTTGTGCCGTTTTGGATTATCATGAAATTTGTCTTCTTTAAATTTAAGGACAATCCGAACTCCTCACTCAATAGTTTACCGCACTTATTACTTTTACTTTTTTTTTATTACTTTATTTAACAGTATCTGTAAATCGCTTGACTTGTTAGCCAACAGGAGAGTATCATCTGCATACCTTATGTTGTTAATGGGGACTACTTTAATTACAATACCCTTCATCTCATCTTTTAAGGCTCGTTTTATTATTGCCTCTGAGTAAAAGTTAAACAGCATCGGAGATAGCACCCCTGTGCTACTTCCTTCCACTTTCACCATCGCTCTCTGATTGCAGTAGATATGTAATTATTTTTATATTTTTGGTGTCTAAATTCTTTTCTTTCAGAATTATTATCAGTTGTTAGTGTCGGACCTTGTTGAAAGCATTGTTGTAATCAATGAAAACATAGAGTTCTTGATTCATATTCATGCACCGTTGGGCAATAACGTTCAGGCACAGAGTGTTCTCTTGTTCCTAAACTATCGCGAAAGCCGAATTGAGTCTTGTTATCTTATTCTAATTTTTTGTATATTCTATTACATATCAGCTTCAGAAATATTTTTAATGTCTGACACATGAGACACATAAAAAATTTATTCTTAAGCGGCCTATACACATGCAGTGACTTGCCTGTACTGGTCAAGACACGCGAGTAAGTGCGAATGTGAATCAGATTGTGTCTGATTTTTACAGCAAGTGCAAAGGCCAACTTCACTTTTCGCACAGCAGCAGGCTCCACCAAATGGTGAACCTCGAGGTTTACCTGAATAGTGTGTGGCCGCAATTCGTTTCGCACTTGCTCGCGGACTTACCTGGACATACTTGCGAACTTGCCTGCAAGCTCCCGTAAAACCAATCAATCAATGAATACAAAAAAAAACAATCAAAGACATTTAAAAATGGTAACAGACACTGCACTTATTCAAACAAGGATACAACGGAAGTCTCATTTCCGGGCAGTGGAAACACTGCATGACAGTAATATTAATCACACGTGAAGATCTCACTTCTCTTTACGACGTTTCAAATTGTGACTCTATTTTCCAAGTGCCGTAAAGACAAACCCTATAAAAACTTTATTTTACGACAAAGAACGACACAGACACCCCAACAAGGGTGCGGCACAATACAGAAAGAATCTGTCGCTGCGCCTCCAGACGACGCAGAAAATATGTGACGTCTGGCAGATGAGAAAACGTTTATCTCAGCGAACCAAAGTAATCAAGTACGTTTTTGTAATTCATATTGAGTCATTAAAAAGTTGACTTTACACTACTTTTATTCCAAATTGTTCCTTTTTGTGAAGACCTGTTTGGGGATAAACAGGAGAAGAAAAAAAATCCTAGGAGGAGCAATTAACAAAGCTCTAGAGGCTATAGATCAACAGAAACAGAATAATGAATCAATTCTCCAAAAAATCCAACCGGGGTCACAGATTATCTAAAAAATAAAAAAAATGCTATGATAAAACAAAATATTGGAAAAACAAAACTCTTCATTGTCGTATGGCATAAATAACCCTTATATATTTCTTTGGCTTGATGGTTTGTCTTTCTTGGTCCAGAACAACAGGAATAACAAATATAGGAGGCAATCACCACAAATTCATATTGTTTGTAAGTCCTATATTAGCTCGGTAACACAGTGGGCTGTTAAGGCACTTAAAAATTAAAACAGTAGCGGTATGAAACAATAGGTGGTGTATTTAAAAACTAACACAACAAATAGTTACTAATATGATCTTAATATAATAAGGCGCTACATTAACGAAGCAAATACATACCAAAAAATCGAATAAAAATCAACTTTAGCAAATTAAAAACATATCGTAACACCCCTTCCCACCCCCACACTGGAAATATAAATTTATGAGATAAAAAAATGTAACACAAGCAAAGAAAAAATCATCGACGTCTCATTAAAAAGACGGATGATAGTAACGCAATATGAATATCCATATTAACAAAATGTGCAAATTACCCTGGTCAGTTACGCAATGCCGCTTTGAGCGGCGAACCTTTTGTTTTCTAAAAACAAAAAAAAAACACACACGCGTGATACAAATAAGGCAAAAATCATTTCCGACGATGTTGGATTTTACGTTTCCCTGGTAGTTCAAATGGTCCGAGCGACCGCTTATAAAATATTCCGCCGCCTGCGCCAAGTATTATTTATTATACGGCCGGATGTCTAAAAGGGAGGCGGCAATAGCTTAGAGGCGTGATTGCTAGTTTTATGGCATCCATATTATTCAGGCGCCCTCGCCATCAAAATTAAGTTTTATAAGCAATATTTCATCCATTGTGGAACCTTGCCCAACACGATTCTAACGATTCTAAGTTAAGGGTTTATGGATTCCTTGGCTCTAAATTTAAAATATGATGAACATTAACATTAAATGTCTAAGATTTTAAAAATATTGCCGCGTCTTACTTAAACATCCTGCCTGAATGCAAAGGCATCGAAATTTCGTATCTGGTGACTATCTAAACTACTATGGAGGTTCGATTTACCGCAAAAAAACTAACCATCAAAACCGACACCGGCCCGGAACCCCTCTTACAAACGCACTTACTCTTCCGGCGCGTCCGCCAAATTGCCGGAGCAGGTGTAGACGTCGACGTTCCTCATGTAGTTGGTGAGTATCGTTAGTATCTTCTCGCTGACCAAGTCGTCGCCGTACCCTTCGTTCGACACCGTCTGAAAGGCCAGGTAGCCGAACCCGACCTTCCTGTTGTACTTGTTGATCTCGAAGACGCACTTGCCGAATTTCGCGTAATCTATGGGCTCGCGTGACGTTTTACGCACTATGCACCCGCACAACACGTAGTTGAGTCTCCTGTCTTCATGTATGATTACGCCCCCTAGAGTTTTCGGTCGGTGCGCACGGAACTTCGACAAAAAGTTGAACTTTTTGTCGAGCGCGCGCATCTCATCGGTGACGTCACCGTCCTCGGTAGATAAATACAGAATGATGGTGCCGCTCTCGATTTTGGTTATAGGGTACGTTTCGTGGATCTGCTTGCACGACACATAGACCTTGTTCGGAGACGGTTGCTCCTGGTCGCTCTAGAAAAACGAATCTCCGGTCATAGAGGAGAAAGAAATTTGAGGAGGTTTGAGGAGGAATCCCTAAACCTCATTGTCGTGGAAGATCGCAACGAGTCATGGTTTTTATGGCTCCTGGACTACCCCAATGCTCTTTCCTGTTATTATAATCTAGACTTTAGAGCTTTTTAAATCGACTGCCTCAGCACTTTCCTTTACAGAGAGCCCATTAGTCCTGATTTAACTTTCTTAAAGGATTTTGTTGCATTTTGGAAAGAAAAGAAATTTATTAATGGCCAGTTTGAGAATCGCCATTGACAATCTCAATTTAGTAAGCTGGCATATATCCTTGGAATCTTGTTGTATTACATTTTACGAAACATATAACATTACTCACCCAAGGAGCATATATCTCATCATTTTATGAGTACAAAATCTGAACTTACGTTGTGCGACGCGTCAGTAGTAGTAGGCATTAGTATTAGTACTCTCACTTTTATTATGTATACTTAATCTATAGTTACTGCCTTCGACAGTCGGAGTAGTACCACAAAGCATTAAACAACAATTGAGCCGTTAAAGTATAATTTTCTCAAAAACACATAGGAAGAGAAAAAATACAGTAGCATGAACGTTAATCAATAATAGTAATTGCTTTTTTCATCACTCGATATTAAAAAGAAATAAAAACCCTTTTTTATGACATTTATATTTGTAATAAAACTACTGATGTTTAACCTGTTAAATTGTTGAAGGAATAATTCCAAATTTGGTTCAGAAAAAAGAAAAATTTTCGTAAGGTCGAACTTTTGAGAGGCTGTTAATATTTGCCTAACAAAATAAGTACCCGAAAGTGACACTGGACTTCTACTACTAGAAATTATATAAATATAAGTATGCCGAAGCAGAAAATAATTACCTTTTAAATAAAGTGAGCAACACAAAAATAAACGACATAGAAAAATATAAATTAAGACTAAAGATAACACCATACACCACTAATCGGCAAGGCACCGATAAAGGAAATAAAAAATTAAAACTATCATAGCTAATGCAGACAGTAAAATACGATGATTGCTTAAAAAAACCCTCAACACCCATTCTACAAAAATTAAGGTTGCCCGTGCATTAACCTATCACCTAACAGCTATGTAAACATAACAATGTTATGTCAGCACCTGATAAAACAAAATTCTCGACTACTCCCACTCCGAACGGATTACCCCTATCTGTGGTTTTTACGGTTTTTGGTCTTTTTTGTCGTCTCCACAGACCTCATTTTGGATAATTTGTTTGACTGTCCGTAGTTCTACAACATGCTCCAAATGTTACTAACTAACCAACCAATGACATTACATCCAAAGGGTGAGCCCTTACTATTTGGCAAATAACGTTTAAAAATACGTATGTGCTACAGACACAAATTCTGACAGTTTTAATTAATTAGCTAGTTTTTGTGATTTTTGCAAATCTGAAGGAACAATTAAAATACTTTTCTAAAAAACAAAGCTTTTTTATATTAGAGTTTTACCTATCAGCTACTGGTTTTTGAGCATCTGGATATAACGTCATTGTCACAAATTACCTCGACAGTAATACCTGCCTGACCACCACGACTTACCTGCTGAAAATTGCACACCAACACTTCTACATCTGTGGTCTCGAAAACGTGCTGAATCATGCTCTTCACCTGCACCCACTCCAGCCTGTCGAGACCGCAACCCAATCTCGGCACGGCCACTTTTTGAACCCCATGTTCAACCATGTGGTCCCTAAGTTTCCGTAACGATTGCCACATGGTGTAGTTCGTTGGTTTCCCGGTTGATAACCTCTTAGTGACGAGGTAGTAAATATGTCTGCCTTCAGATTCGAGTACCGCCAGGCCACCTTGTTTAGCTTTTTGCTGGAGGAGTTCAGCCTGACACTTAAAGTCTCGCCTGAAAGTTGCCTTGCATTATAGTACAATGTTGTTGCTAGTGATTGTTTTTTTTTATGCCGATCTTACAGAAAATCATGGGAATGAATCAGAAAAAATTATTATATAAGTTAAGATGATTTCAAATATCTTACTTAAACTGCACAGCTATGCCACTGCCCATCCTCATGTCCTCTGCCACGCAATGGGCCAAGGAATATTCTTTTGATACCATGAACAAATCTTGTTGCACCTCCTTTACATTCTTAAACTCCTGCATTTTCCTCCAGTTCTTTTCCCAATTCTTAAACTCCTTGTCAGCATTCGTCCCTGGGATCCAATACTGATCCAATGTGGATTGGACAACACCTTTCTTCTTCTGCTGCTCCCTCTCCATCCTTGGATCCTTAAAGTTGCTTGGTCTCTCCCTCCAGTTGTCAAGCTTGGGTGTCCTTTCTTGATGTGCTTGATACTGATGTTGCAAAGTATCCCACTTATCACTCCCCTTAGATTCATCCTCCTCTGGATCTGTGAGATCGTTCCAGTCGACTAACCCTGATGTCTGTTGGTCATGAGAACAAGCTGATTGGAACGACGAATCTGCTTCATACTCTGCTGATTGCTGTAACTCGACCCCTTCAATATTCACTAGCCCATTAGTATTATCAGCAATACTTGATGGAGGATTATTAGACTCATCCTGTTGGCTACTCGCATCTGCCCATGAATTCTGACTTGAATCCTGTTTGCTACTTGCATCTGCCCATGAATTCTGACCCGAATCCTGAGACATATTTTTGTCATCTTCCATTCTATGCTCCTTTTTCTCATTACGACTCATTCTACTATCACTGGGTCCCTTGTCATCATTATTATACCGTCCAAGGTCATTGCCATCAGTCGAATGCCTTTGGTGTCTCATAGAACCACCGCTCCTATCCTGATGGTAACCCTGCTGATTGAGGCTTCTTCTTGAATTACTAACTTGACTCCATTTATTGTAATTGTTTCTAGGAGGGTGGTTTGGTGTCCTATCCTCATCCGTGGTGTAGTGCTCAGGGTGATTCGACCCTGCTGGCGCCATACCCACCTCTGCATTTTGGTCTTGAGACTGGTTGTGCCCGCAAACATCATTTTGTGCTCCTTGATTTTGGTCAACTCTCAGTCTCTGATTTCTATGAAAATTCTTTTCTTGGTTATGAGGTCTTGGTTGATAATCACCTGATCTGCGATTATCTTGTCCTCTGTGATGGCCTCTATCACCACTTTGATAATTGTTTCGCGAATGGTGATTGGGGAATCTATTTTGTCTGGTGTTTACTTCATTTTGGATATTCAGAGGATCATTTCGATCATGGTAAGAAATGTTTGTGTCTCGAAATTTTCTACCTTTGTCACCCCTCGTATAATTAGTATCACGTCGTTGATTGAACTGACTCCTCTCATCATGGGCACCTCTATCATTCCGCGGGTAATGAGAAGTCCTGTTTTGAGTTACCCAACTGTGAGGCTCCCTGTTGCAGACACCTTCTGTTGTGGCACTATTTATATCAGATGGCTGAACATAATCCTCAGAAGGTTCATTCACTCCAGTAATCATCAATTGCTGATGCGTTTCAGGCTCGATGTTATCTACACAGTCTGGAAGTTTGATCTCACTAGCGGAATGAACTTTTGGCACCAAATTTTGAGATGAATCGAAACTGACTCTCGGTTTAAACTCTGGCGAGCTAGGGTTTAAATTCTGCTGTATGTTGCTAAAAGGTTTTACGGTCCCCTGTGGAGGAGTAGTTTTGATCCATTCCAGATTCATTGTATCAGGAAGTGACTGTTTCACTTGAGGTGAAGTTCTTGTTGCCACAACAGCTTCTTTAGGCTTTCTTTCTTTAAAACTTTTATTCTCTTCAGCTGGTGGAATTTCATTAATTTGACACGAGGCAGACTGATCCAGAATTGCATCATCTCCATGCTTGGATAAAAGCTCTTGCTCACCTCGAGTACACACTACCTGTTCAGCAGTATACACTACCGGTTCAGCGTTCAAGGAACTGGATTCACCTAACTCCCTACTTTTAGTATCACTCGCACGTTTCTTGGGAGTCTTGGATTTCTCTAGGGAAGGTCTTTGCTGAGTGGTGGCATTAATCCTTTTTTCATTATCGGACGTCATGGGGACGAATTTTGACTTTTTATTCTTCTTCGCCATGATAAATACTACCTTTTGCTTTCCTGCTCAAAATCCGATAATTATACACTGCTACCGCACTTACGTTATCATATCCAGCGTCAGCGAATTTCAAGGCGAATTGGGAGGAATTAACTGCGCACGGAACCATAAATATTAGGGGAAACCCCACCCAACCAAATATTTCTTCTCAAATTTTGGAATTACATCTGAATTCACAGAACAAAGAAACCGATCTGTCTTATTTTTGGATGAGCCAAGGAAATATCCGTCGTGATATTAACGTTTACCACAGACAGAGTTTTATGAAGTTTACGCAGAAGACACAAAGGTTACTTGTTTAATCAGCTAACTGCAATGTCAAGTTATTTATCTGTGCCCTTGATGCGGGATATTAACTACGAATTTTGTATTCTGTGATCTGATCTCTGAAAACATGGATGGTTAGGGTTGTTAATATTTTCCACAATAACGAATAAAGAGAACAATGGTATCCCCGAAAACGGTTATGGGAATATGTGCAGGCGTGTCGGCCACCCTCTTTATCGGATATTGCATATATTTCGATAAACAAAGGCACAAGGACCCGGATTTTAAGAAAAAGCTTCGCCAACGTTAGTATATAACCTTCAATGTGGTGACATAAGTAAAATGTGTTTCTTTTAAGGACGAAAAGCCCAAAAAGCGGCCGCTTCGTCCGGAAAACGTTCCACCACGGTATTCCCGGACATGAAAGACCACGAGGCGGTCCAGAGATTCTTCTTGCAAGAGATTCAATTGGGCGAAGAACTGCTCGCCGCTGGAGACCTAGAAAACGGCGTCGACCACTTGGGCAACGCCGTGGCAGTCTGCGGTCAGCCGAACGACCTGTTGCAAGTGCTACAGCAAACCTTACAACCAGAAGTGTTCCATTTACTGATAAAGAGGTTGCCTTCGGTGGCGCCAAGGCTCATCAAAGCACAAAATCCTAGCGCCACCCTACAGGAAGATGACGTTGAATAATAAGTCAGTTTGCCTTCACTTAGTCTCGTTAGAATTGATCCTGTATGTTTGTCTGTTGCACAGATTTTATTGAGTTTGAAAATTATGGGGTGTGGCAGAAATCAGAATACAAACCATTTTTATATTCCTCCTTTTTATTTTTCGATAAGCCCCAGTTGTAAACAGGTGCAGTTGCCAGTACATGAACCATATAATACCAAGGTAGGAATTATGCCCGCCTACTAGTACCTGGATCATTGAAATTGATAAATGGCTTTAAAAAATGAAACACATCTAATGAAAATGTTGCAGGATCAATTTTGAATTCTTAATTTTTCGCGTCTTTTTGACAGGTACTGAACATTCGTTCATTCAGGATTCTTTTTGTTCAGGTGTAATTGGGGCTGTTGCTTTATTACAGTACACAGAACATGATTTCTGGTAAATACCAATGGATAATCCATTATCCAGTCTTAGAGCCACAGAATTGGGGATTATTTTTTCTCTTTGGCGTTGCAACGTTAAAATTGTTGCCAAAAAAAAAAAGCAACTTTTTTCTGCCTCTGGGGTGCATTGCAGGATATTAAAAGGTTTTGCTTATAGCGACTTTTCAGTCAAAGTTGTTGTCGCCAGGCATAGAAACTAATAAACATTTTCCAAACTAACCAAAAATTGAAATCTTAATTAAGGACTCTTAAACTTTTCAAAACTCGGAAGTCTCCGCGAAATGACGAAAAGAAACGCCCCACAACCCGTGCTGTCATAAGAACGGCCTTTAATTGGACAATATTAAATGTTACACAAACGGAAAAAAGATTGTTACAGTACAGCAATATATATATTCGAATGAGAAAATAATAAAACCACTTTGGATACAGATTTAAAAATGAAGCTTTATTAAATATTCAAATACTTATATAAATAATACACCAGGGGGATAGTTTCGGTGCGTGAGTAGACAGACAGTCGTATGAAAAAAAAAACATAATGTAAAGCGCCTAGGGCTCCACTATTGGCGATCGGTGGCCCTCAGTTTCTCCTCCACCGCCTCCTGGCTGGCTTCCGACAGGTCCGTCGCCTGGATGTACTTTTGTACTCCTACCAGGGACTTTTTAAGCGCGTCAAATGAGCTGTTGGGAAAAACAAAACTCATTGAGCTACAAGCCCATTTCATTTGAAAAATATCAAACTGTCAGTTGCGTTTCTTTAGGAACAATTATTGTAATTGCACCTATTGCATCGCAACTCGTCAATATGCCTCCCGGTACAAACGACACGCCCCGTTTTTATAGACGTGCCGTACTTGGTGGGAGGTGTCTCCCTCTCAATCCAACTTACCTGGAATACAACATCTTCTTCTTTACTTTGGCGGTGTCGGGGCACCACGACATGAGGAACAACTTTTGCTTTTTGCTCGATTCAGAGGTACCCTGGCACTGGTGCATGTACTCGAAGTCGTAGAGGCCGTAGCGACACTCGCCCGCCCCGCCTGCCTGGAGGTTCTGCAAGAACTGGTCGTATTCTTCATCTCGCGCCCCGATCACCTCCACGTCGATCTGTTTCTCATCCTTGATGTAGAAGATAACGTAGCGGTGCTTTTTGTCCTTCTTGATCTCCTCATAGGTAGTTTTGCACGCGTCCGATACCGTCACACCAGATGCCTGTCACAGCAACGTGACGTCATATATTAAATTTGGCAAAATTTAATATATTTTTAAATTTTTAAGTTTTTAAATTTAAGATATTGTTTCATTCATCTCTCTATTAATTTGTAATTTCTAAAATTATAACAAACATCTAACTTCTATTGAACACGGAAAACTCCGTGAGTTTCGATGACCCTTTACGAATACCTCGACTTTTACAGACTTTCCAGGTTTCTGAGAATCTCATCTAAATATATCTGATTATCATAAATAAATGAAAGAATGAAAAATAAATAAGCTGATAAGATCTCGTTCTCAATACAATTTTTCGTCGAAAAATTAAGTAGACAATAAGCATTTTTTGTTGCTTTGACTAGGGCAAAAACCACTGCAAGAGCGAAAAAAAGACTCAAATTTTTAAAACAAAAATTTGTTCACTTATAAGGCCGATCGGTACAAGTCACTTCCCGTTTGGCCAGGAAGTCCAAAAATGGCGGGCAACACGTCATTATACGCCTAAAATCCATCACACGCAATCGACAACGAAAAATACGAGATATACCTGTATCGATTTTATTAATCATCAACAAAATTATCTATTTAAGCATTATCATTCCGCAAGTGCCTGAACAAACTGATAAAGCTTTTTTTTTAAATTTATGTAGCCATTAAAATAAAAAAAAATACCCGAACGCTTTGTTTCGTCGAAATTGGCATGACTTTGCGACAACATTAAATGACAAGGGTTTGGTTTTCGTTATAATATGAATCATATCGGACAATAATTTCAACGTCCGGGAATTATTTTCTGAGAACTTGCGATTTTAATTTATGCAGAAGCTCGATGTCGTTTACCCTGCGACAAAGCTCGGGAAATCGAGAGTCCCTGCGATAACAGCTGCCCAAATAAAAGTATGCCTCTCGAAGTTGAAAATGTTTTAAATTTTCTGCCAAGATACCCGTAAAATATTATTTTCGATATTGGCACGCGATTCAAAAATATAATTTTAGAATATATCGGTAAAAAATATTTTTTGATGTCTTTTGTTGGTCTCGATAACAGCTATCGTTTAAAATCGATAGCAATTTGGTAACTTTGATAAAAAAAAAGAGGGTCCACGGTTTTCTAACCATAAAAATTGGCGATCAGCAAAAACTAAAAAAAGAGTTTGATTTCTGCTCTAACCTTTGCGGGAGTAGGACAAATTTGGTTGAATTTAATCGATTGCCGGCTATTTTTAGGCTACCCACATGGAGGTTATTTTCAGCAGACCGCGCGTTGTAAAAATCGCCCCGCTTTATTATAAATTAAAATGTATATCAAATCCGTTCATTTAAAACGCGGATCGAATGACATTCCCATATAAATCCAGTTGGATACAACAAATTGTTTTTAGAAATTCCTTTCGCGGAACGCTATCGAGACGAGCAACCTTGAAAGCAGAAGAAAAGTGACTCATTAACCGAAGAAATCTGAATTATTCTCTAATTACTCTTAAAGTCGAAAAACACACCCTCCGGCAACAGAAAGTGGCCGTTTGGCTCGACGAACGATTCCCAATTAGACGATTAACGAGGCCGATGTGGCGGCGAATTAAAAACCGTTTCGTAAGCCGCGTAGGGTATTTCGAACGGAACGCTTGTTCAAATTTAGCACTTGGCAAGCGAAATTTAATGGCGGACCGGCGTAAAATTGGTCGTTAACCACGCAGATGAAACTGGACGATGAAAATGAAAAGCCGAAAGGATCAGAACGCAACGCGATTTGCCACTTACCATATTGAATTAATCCAAATATAATCAAAACTACGATATACAGGACTCCTGTTTGCACTGTGTTTTATACGACTGTTCTCACTGGAGGAGGTCTGACACGGACGTTGATCTGCCGGCAGATGTCGATGCGCACGCGCCGATACGATTATTACTACGCGAATCCTATTTTAAACTATTCTCTAATTTAGGACGCTTTTCTTGAACCTTTTTGGAGAAATAACTCAAACTTAACGCCAATCGAAGTCGTTTCGTTACCGGCGATTCCCGACCTCCCTTATATACCGTTAGAATAGATGTTTGCTTTTCGACGCGCACCAAGCGGGAGTTTTAAAATCGCCTTGCACTTGACGAATTAAATGACTCAACTAACGCCAATCACGCCCATTTAGTGACGGAATCGTTTATAACTATAATCGCAAGTAAACGCAAAATCAAGTGGCAACTCGAAACGTATATTATCTGAAATCGCGACAAAATTTAGCGTTGCACCACTCGACCAATGCAGAGACGGAGAGCTTCGGATGCCCATAAATGGAAAAGGAAGCCATTTCAAAATGGCCGCCCAAAAATTGAATGTTGCCGCCACGCCCCGGCAAATTCAAAGCGACGACTAGGAGTTTAGTTGGTGAAGTCTGGGAGTACAACGGATTGCCAATTGACCTGAGACATGCTGTTTTGATTTGATATCCTTATATGGTTTAATTTCAATAATTCAAATTCAACCGGCACCTAAAAGCAGATAATAGTATTTCCGCGAAGTACGTGGTGCAAGCCTATTTTTAACCATATAAGATAAAAACGCATATTAGCGAAGTATTGCCGATTTTGGTTATCCGATGAATGTGTGCTAGGTCTGTTACTGACGAGCGACGAAGGGCTATCTATATCATTTTTTGTGCTTTGGAGCAGAGCTTTTTATAAATAGTTTGAACTGAAAGCATCCCCTAAATATTGTGGTTATGGTAAGGTAAACATTAACAAATAATCGACTCATGACGTCAGCGGTCCCGCGCACCATAGATAAAAAAAGAATGGACGTATATCGCTCACTGGGAGTAATAATGGCACATATCAAAAAATTGCTATTTTTAGTTAATTGTACCATATAACTCGCACATTTGAATTTTAGCAACCAGCAAAACCGGTACATAGTTATCTTGCTTCAGTTCCGCTAGAGAAAGTTAGTGCCACCATTGAATTTTCCGCGTTATTTAACGATCTTTTTCGCAAAACCGGCACATAAGAAGTGTCTGTGATCACCGCAGAGTACGTAATATTGGTAAAAAGCGCGGAGAAGACAGGGACTCCTTATAAAGTCGTAGAAATGAGTCACGATGATTTTTTTGAATTTAAAAAACTAACTAGTAACTGAAACTTCTTTTAACTTTCATTGGGACAGTTATATTGTCAATGACGCGTATGTTTTCAAAGTAGAAAAAGATGCTCCTGACACATTTATCCACAAAACATCTTTTAGTGAAACTGACTACAGAAGCAAAAGCACTACGCAAAGAAAAATGCGAGCAGGCAAAAATTTTACATAATTTGAAAATTTGAATCTATACCGTGCTTATCAAGATGTCCCAATTCCAAAGAAAACGTGTAATTACTTAAAGGATTTTCTAAAACGTAATGTTATTAAAAAATGTCACAGTCACTTTTACAATAGCCTGAATTGTGCTTTGAAAAGAGTACTTTTTGTTTATTTTCCAAAAACCAGATCAGTTGGTTGTTGCTTTTACTTTTGTTTACGTGCCTTGATAATTCTTGTTTCTTATAATTTTAAGAATAGCTCTCTAACAAAAAGTATAGGTCCATTGTTTTTTATTGTTTACGTGTTAAGAGACTACTAATCTGATGGTTGTTTCTTTTATTAAAATTTAGGTCGTTTGTTTTTCAGTTACAGCTTTTCGATGTTTTTTGTAGTTATTGTTTACGTGCCAAAGTTTATAAAGACACATTTTTTAGTGTTTTAACTTCAAAAAATACTTTTTGATATGAATTGATATGATATGAGTTATCTCAATATTTCAGTTTTTATTTTCCTAAATCACTAATTTTCTCAGATGTGTCACTATTGCACCCAGTGACCAATATGTCCTTTTTGGATGTCACAAGAACTTTTCGTTCTCTGTTGAATGCAATATTTAGGAATTAGGAATAGGAATAGGTGATTGTGTTCGAGTTATTTACGTACGTACACGCACGTTAAAATTTACGTTTATGTTTTGTTTGGTGTCGGTTTAAACCGCAAAAGTTCTGTGCCCAAGCCATTGTTTAATTTTATGGATAGTGGTAGGGTGCTAGAGCCGAAACTAAAACAGCATAAAATTCTTTTAAAATAGTATATTGCTTCTAAATTTAATAATATTTACATTTATCGGTAGGATAACGCGTCGAAATTGAGTGGGACTTTCTTGTTTCCTGCCGAACACGTTACATAACCTTACTAATACATTATCCTTAGGTAATAAAGCCACGAAAGAATTAAATACATCTTAAAAAAAAACACTTACGACGCCTAATGATTAAATACGCGCCACAATCGCGTAATGTTTAAAATACTAAATGAGACCCCGCTTCTTTTTATAATCCTGCAAGTTTAGGCTCCGCTTCGGCGCGAGGTCCTTGGTCGTCGCCTTTGGAAGCACGTTGACCGTCGTGGCTGCAATAACGTCGATAAGTGACCCCCGTCCCCCTTTCCCAAATCTAAACTTACTCGGTAAAGGAACTTCTAGGTCGATCTTGATGTCGAAATCATGGGCCGAAAACAGATCCTCTTGGGACACCTGCGGTTGTTTCTCCACTTGTTTCGCTTTCTCGACGACGGCGGGCCGTTCCTGTAGTTGTCGCTCCTCTTCCGCTTTCTTTTCCGCGGCCGCTATCGCCTCCTTCTCGCCGACCGCGAAGTTCATCCTCGGCTTGGTCGAACGTCTCGTGAACGGGTCGTCAACTTTTTTGCCCTTGTTCGCCCTGATCTCCGCGATGATCGCTTTCTCCGCTTCCTCGACGTTCCGTTTCCGGTTCCGGTCGTTGATGTACGAGATGCTCGAGATCGTCGACGTCCTCATCTTATCCAATTCGGAAGCGCGTTCCTCGAGCTGCGACAGTTTCTCGCTCAGTTCGCGGGCAAGATCGTCGTCGCCGCGGCTCCGCGCCGAATCCCGGTCCTTCATCAGCTGCGTCTTGCGCATCGCGTAATTGTGCGGGTTCGGCTTGAACCGTTCCTTTTCCTTTACCTAAATCGGAAAACCGCAAAATGATATAGCTATCGTCTCGTGCCGCTTTTACACACTAAACACACTTGACACGTTTTTTTTTGCGAAAATTTAATGGGATCTGGACATACTTCGACAAAATACTGCCGCAGAAAGATCCACATGCAAACGCAAAACTCTCGAATTGATGAACTAATTGGCAGCGTCCATGTTGATTGTCTACGTCGCAAGATCCTATTGGTTGCTTTGAAATGATAAGTGTTATTGGCTGAAAGCGAGTTTTGAAACAGCCTCGCATGCGCGTACTAAATTTCACTTTTCAATATATCCCTAACCATTGGCTCTCTGTATTTCTAGCCGCACCGAGATTGCGTAATAGCGACCTGTGACGTCAGAAACTTTCTTCGCGCGAGGTCACGGCAATTTCTTTTAGGTTGTTTTTGTAGTATATCTGTTTGCTCCGACAAAAATTACAAAACAACCCAGAGCGCGATGGAAACATTCGTTTAAGAAGCAATAATGCTAAGCGTAACTCCCAGATCAAGTCATAAAACACACAAAGATGCAAGGCGAGCCAAGGTTTAATAAACAGTACCCTAAGATACCATTGTTCGCACAAAAAAATATTGTGGATAATTGTTAACTTTTGATAATGTGTGCTATAATTGTAAATAGTAACCTAATGTCTCCAACTCATCAGTTCATTTTTGTTGCGAAATAATTATAAATAAATAAATACATTATTAATAATGTGATTTAATTACTGATTGTTAATATTTATATTTACGATGAAATGAACGACAAGAAATATATTATTATTACTAATGGAAAAAAAAACACACTCCAAGAGAAAAAAGTTTTATTTATCACAATTTTGATATTACTTGCTTTGAACGAACCTCTTGCTTTTTTATCATACTTCCCGTTTCTATGTAAAAAAACTAAAACCATTTTGATAGATGAGAGAGATGGCTAAAATTTAATATAGTTTATTGCAAACTTCGCACATTAAATACTTTGCATTTTTTCACAAATGCAAATGTTGCAAATAATTATTAGTTTATTGCATTTTGAGGTGAAAATTCATTTTCGACTATTTCTATTAAAGTAAAGTCGGTTACAGAAAAATTTAAATTTAATACTAAAAAATTATAAATAAACTTCATTAAAGTGTTTTTTTCATCCCTCTTTTCTTTCGAATTTCAGCCTATATCTCAGTAAAAGTAAAGTTAAGCCAGAGAAAAAACAACTCCCAATAAACAGGTTCAAAAATTTAGTCAAAGATGTTTTAATAAAGCAATCATTTTACAGCTTGGACGAGTTTATCTTTTTTCAAGATATCAATAACCATCTTGTCAGATGATTGCACTTCTTCGACTCCCCGCTTTCGGTGATATGTTTCTGTGATAATCTTCATTCAGCTTTAATGTATGTCCAGATGCCCACAGAGCGCTTTATGTTTTTAACAATATTAGGTTGTAAAATTGTTATACCACGATATATTTAATTACCATGACTGTACACATTTTCTATGTTTGTAACATGGTTAAAAAGAAAACGAAATGAACAACGCAATTTGCGATATATACGTTTATACGGACTTTTAAATTCAATTTGAATGGGCTAAAAATTACAAAAAAACAATAGTAGCAAATAAAATGAAAAAAATTGGAAGAAGAAAATTTTCTCTAAAACAAAAAACTCCCACTCCGCTCCAAATTAACTTTTTAAACCTTTCTTGTTTCTTTGGATGGACGGATGCATTTTACATAAAGTAAGTTAGCGAAAAAGTAAAAACTAACAGAAAAGGGTTACAACAGCTGGCTGGTAGAAATCCTATTCGGGCAATTTTGTTTTTATTTAACAGCACCATCATAAGGCACATGGTTATATGAATTCGTTCTGGCAGGGAGCTAGGGAATATATCATCATTGAGGCTTAGTCCCTACATCTACTTTCTTCCCAGCATTTTCTATAAGTAGTTAATTATTTTATTAGGAGTTCTGAAGAAATTTACATTCTAAGCATACAAGACAGAGCGGTAAGCTGTACATTCTCTACTGTGGGATGTTGACGACTTCGAGGTGTTTGTATTTTTAACAATCTGCCATTGGAGTTAAGAGACAAAAACTTTAAACGTTGTCTACTTAAAAAACGATTAAAAATATTTTTGTTATCCAAAACATTTTATAGTCTAGACGAATCCTTTTGAGTAAATGTTTTTTATATCTCTTGTCTAATATATATTTTGACTATTCCTATACAATTTTGTAGTTGTCTTTGGGAAAATAAATATTATTATTAACTGCCAAAAACTTACTATTCTCTCAACGTCCTGTTCGTTGAACTCGTAGCTGATGGCCTCCTTAATGTCGGCCTGCTTTTGCTCGATCACCGCCTTGGTCGGCAGCTCCCAGCCGGCCGCCTTTGTCGCCTCCAGCCATTTCAGATACTCTCCCTCGATAAACTCCTGGTTCGAGACATACTCGAGCCTGAAGACACGTTCCTGGGTGCCGTGCCTCACCCTTAAACCCTTGTTCGTCCGCGTGTTGCCCAGGGTGTAAATTTTTGCGGTCTCATATACCCCCATAACCTCGGCCGCCCGGTACACGGGCAAACCATTATGCTGCCCGATACCGATTTTGATGAAACATCCCTTGGCTATCCGGTCAAAGAATGGCATATGTACGAACCGTTCCAGCTTGTGCCGCGATAACCGGATGTGGTTCAAGTCTTGACATGTTGGCATATAAGCGGGCTTCTCCACCTCCTCCTCCTCTGGCTCGTCGCTCGAACTCGAGCTCGATGAGGACCGCGACCTCGAACGAGATCTCGCCTTGACCGTCGACGATGTTTCTCTGTTCTGCGCCGGGGAGCCGTCTTTCTCACCTAAATTTTCAAATTACAGTATTAATGAATTACTTTATTTACCATTAAGTAATGACAAGAAATTAATTAAACTTTAATCGATCAATTTCTCACTTTAATTTTATTTGATTTAAGAGATTAATTTGATTAATTCAAAAAATAAAATTTCCTAAATGGGTAAAATCAAAATTAATATTTCTATATTCTCCTAGAAACTTTTAATTAAGTACAATAGATAAAGTTAAAATTATTAACTGAATGTGATAAAGGAATTCAGATCCACAATGCCACAATAAAATGAAAACAAATTGATTAATTAATTGTCCACCAGCTAATTTCTCTCCTTTTCACTTTTCCTTAAGAAATTAATAAAATTTAAGTAAAAAAATAACTTTCTTTTATTTCATTTTAATTTAAATAAATTTAATTTTACTGAATATTATCATTCAATTAATTTCCCAAGTTCATTTTCAAATGAATTGAGTTGATTGAGACATTAACCATCGTCGCTGTCGCTGTCGTCTGAGTAAATGTCCGAAGCTTTCAATTTCATCTCCTTTTTTTTCGTTTCGATCTCCTCCTCCTCCCTTTTCTTTTTCTCCTCCTCTTCCTGCCGTTTCCGCTCCTCTTCTTCTTCCCTCTTCTGTTTGCCCTCACGCCGCGCTTTCAGCTCCGCCATCGCGTTCACCCTCTTGTCCACTTTGCCCCTGTTCTCTTCAATGATTTTCTTCCGCTCCTTGCTCCTCTCCTTGTGGTCGATTGAGCTGAAATCCGTTTGTAGTTTGGTCGTGTCCTTTTCGCGATCCCTATCCTTTTCTTTCGGCCTGCTTATTGGTTTGTCCTTGGCCCTTTCCAATTTCTTCTGTTGCCTCAGTTTCTTCTCGATTTCGAATCTAAAAGACGGGAGTTTGACTGCGTCAAAGGACGAATGAATGTGACAGGATAGCACGCTAGATTATCTTTATCAAACACCCTCGCGACGCTTCGCAACTTTGTCTGCGCGATCGCACCCACGCGGACCTAATCATAACTTTTGGCTGCGAATGAAATTGCGTCCAGTATAAAGCGTTCTTTGTATATTTTGGAAAAAAACCGCCGAATGTCGGAAAAATATTTTAAAAAGTTCCTGCTGACTTCTGGAGACTGTGGGCCATTAAAAACCAACAAAGTATGAAACCATGTGAGTCCTTCAGGACATTTCATTACTAAAATGATGAGTATAGTTGTGTACAGGTGTACTTCTGCAGAAACGAATTTCATTGATCAGCGAAAGTAAAAAGTTTTTATAGAATAAAGCTATAAGCGATTAAGGTAACAAATAAAAAGTTATAAAATCACACCTCGTTTTCATTAATTCCCTTTGTTCGATACGCTTGAAAATTTCCGTTTCTCTTTCTTTCTCGGTGAGGCTGGCCAGTCGAGCACGATCCTCGTCGTCTCCCATGAGTTGGTCGTCATAACCATCGTTAAACTCTTCCTCAGAACTCGTAGAGTCAGACACTTCGCCCTCTTCCGGTTCTGAATTATTGCTTTTGGCGTCCTCCTTGTGGATTTCATTTTCGGAATCCGAAGAAACCGTGTCGCGTTTAACCCGTTTGGTGGAATTTTTTGTCGATGCGTCTGTTTCTGACTCGGAAGAGTCACCTGAATTGACTTTTGAATGTTTCTTTTTCTTGTTTTTATTTTTTGCCAGATTTAGGAATTCCTAAGGCAACAACAACCAGATAGAGAGAAAACAGAAACTCAATTCCCAAAAATTTAATAACAAGAGCTACTAAAAAATTTAAATTCAAATTTTTTACATTCTCCTTTATAGGTTAAGCAACAAAAAGCAGTTAGTTTCAAATTTAAAACTTAACAATCTCGGTACGATAAAGTATATTTTTCTCTGAAGTTAACGTACGAAACCCTAGTTTAATAATAAATAAAAATAACTCGCCAATTTATGACATTTTTAGGTTAGAAAGGGAGTAGTAATTACTTACAGAATCATCTAAATCGTCTTCAGAATTATCACTTGAGTCACTATCGATAAAAGCTTGATTTTTTCTCTTAACCATTTTGAATTATTAAATTTGTGTAAGAAAAACACTGTAATAACTTATAACGATCACTACCTCTGCACCAAACATCAAACAAACCGACAAAAACAGACACCGCTCACAGAAGCGGAATGGGTAGTGAAATATTGCTTGTCATATTTTTTATAATTAAATTCCTTTTCTTTAGGTTTATTTGATTTGAAATTTTCATTTCCATTATTTGATTAACTTTTCCGATACTGCGTTATTTATAACACTGTAACAAAAACGCAATCCAAGTATACTCATAATAAAATCAACGGATAATACTACTTTTTTAAAACAATTTTAATTTAATTTTTCAGGAGCACACACAGCAGTAAATTAAATTTCTAAAAGCTCTGCATTCAGAATCAAATTGAATGCGATTTTATCCAATAATTTTGATCCGAAATAACCCTACCTTAATTTTCTGACTAACCAAAATGCTTTTTTCCTTTTTCTTTAAATTCGTATGTTGAGGTTTGAAAAGTTTTATTTTTTTTATGAAACTGCCCGGTTATCAATCTATGAAGTAGTTTCCCACACCATTTTGAAAAATGTTGGTGTTGTTTGAAACGCCGGCGGGCTATGCGATTTTTAAAGTAAGTGCCGAAATTATGTATTTATTCCTAAGTCCAACCTAACCTCAAATGACCATGCTTGCAGCTCCTCGATGAGAAAAAGCTAGAAAAAATAGATAGTTTGTATCAATCTTTCAATTCACCAGAAGCCGCTAACCAAATGTAAGTCATGCCGTCCCATATTTTGCATCAATCAATGGTACCGCCGTTTTCAGTGTCAAATTAAAACATTTTGAAAAGTTTGCTGATACAACTGAAGCTTTAGCTGCCACCACTGCCGCCGTAGAAGGAAAACTATCAAAGAGCCTCAAGAAACTGCTTAAGAAGTATGTAAGTGACGAATTGCAGGAAAAACTCCTTGTGGCAGATGCGAAGTTAGGGTCAGCCATAAAGGAGAAAACAAACTTGCAATGCCTTTCAAACAACTCAGTTCAGGAATTGATGAGATGCATCCGTTCGCAACTCAACAACCTCATGTCTGGTTTTCCAGAAAAAGAAATGACCGCAATGGCTTTGGGTCTAGCTCATTCTTTGTCACGGTACAAATTAAAGTTCTCTCCAGATAAGGTTGACACTATGATAGTGCAAGCTGTGTCACTTCTGGACGACTTGGATAAGGAGCTGAATAATTATGTAATGAGGTGAGAGAGTTAAGTAATACAAAATGTTTGGGTGGTTAAACTTTTCTATTGTAGATGCCGGGAATGGTACGGTTGGCATTTCCCTGAATTAGGGAAGCTCATAACTGACAACATAACCTTTGCTAAAGTGGTAAAAATTATTGGTATGAGGGAACAAGCTTCGTCGTCTGATCTGTCAGACATTTTGCCTGAAGAAGTGGAAGAAAAAGTGAAGGAAGCAGCTGAAATTTCAATGGGCACAGAAATATCAGACGAAGACATTTTCCATATAATAAATTTGTGCGACCAGATCATCGATATGACTAACTACAGGACGCAGCTTTATGACTATCTCAAGAGTCGTATGATGACTATCGCGCCCAATTTGACAGTTTTGGTCGGCGACTTGGTCGGTGCCAGATTAATTTCACATGCAGGGTCATTGATTAATTTGGCTAAGCACCCGGCGTCCACAGTTCAAATTTTGGGAGCCGAAAAAGCATTGTTCAGAGCTCTGAAAACCAAGAAGGATACTCCCAAGTACGGTTTGATCTACCATGCACAGTTGATCGGGCAAAGCAGCACAAAAAATAAAGGGAAAATGGCGAGAATGTTGGCGGCGAAAGCAGCGCTAGCGACGCGGGTGGACGCCCTCGGCGACGACGAAAAAAGCTTCAATTTAGGCGCTGAACACAAGGTAAAACTTGAAGCCCGGCTAAGGATATTGGAGGAGGGCAATATTAGAAGAATCAGTGGGACAGGTATGTTTTTACAGTAGTTTGTGAGTTTCCCTCGGGTTAATTTGCGATCAATTTTAGGTAAGGCGAAGGCGAAGTTTGAAAAATACCAAGGTGTAAGCGAAATCAAGCAATATCCGGATGCCGCCGACTCCACTCTACCCTCAACAAGCAAGAGGAAGCGGTCTGAGTCCGAAGGCCAGTCGGCCACTCTAAAACTAGAGGAAGAAGAAGCGGTCGTAAAACAGGAGGGCTCGGAAAAGAAAAAGAAGAAGAAAAAACCAGAGGTTAAGGAGGAACTACCAGCTGAAACTGTGGAAAGCGAGGGCGCAGTCGATGAACAGACGCCTAAAAAGAAGAAGAAAAAGATAAAACAGGAGGTCCAGGAAGTCGAAGAAGTGAAAGAGGAGGTTGAAGAGCCTACGCCCGAGAAAAAGAAGAAGAAGAAACGGGCTAAGCAGGAAGTCGATGTGCAGGCGGCTGAGGAGGCCACTGAAGCGCAAACCTCTGAAGTTGTAGAAAAAAAGAAAAAGAAGAAGAAGAAAAATTCGGATAATGACGCCAATTAAGAAAATGATTTGAAATATATCCAGTAAAGGTCTACTTTATAAATATATGATTAAAAAGATGATATTCAGTTGTTTTTCTCCGAAACAAATCTATTTTCCAAAGTTTAAGTTGAATTGCGTGGAATTTAACTTACCTCTTCGCAGAATATTGAGCTGCAAAATTAAACGTACAAAATAAATGTCTCAAACATTTTTCAGTATACACGAATAGCTTGCATTCATTTAACTACTAGTTCTGGTCCAATCACAGAGATAGACCTAGAATCTCATTATAGACTAACCAACTTTTTTCCGCCGGTAACTGTCATCGTTGTCAGTTTAGGTGTGGTAAAAACATAGGAAATTAGATAAAAAGCAATGAATCACACGAAAAAGCAAAAATTGTAGATATTTAATTAGATGTTAGTAGAAATATCCAAAGGAAATGGATAGTCAAGGTAGAAAAGTTATTGTTTGTGATAACGGAACCGGCGTAAGTATATAATTTTCGTTAACCTAGCGTTAAGCGAGATTTTTAAATCTTATCTGGGATTGTAGTTCGTCAAGTGCGGATATGCCGGATCCAATTTTCCTGCTCACATATTCCCTTCCATGGTAGGACGCCCTATTATACGGGCGGTTAACAAAATCGGTGACATTGAGGTTAAAGTGAGTAAACTTTGGTACCCATCAATTTTTCATGTTTTCTATCATTTTAGGGTTTACATGTAGATGTAAGTCAGGCGATGGTGTTATGTGTTGAATTTTTTTTAACTACTGTTTGAGTTTAACTCTAATTTGTCTTTATTTCGCTAACAGCACTCGACTAGCGGTTTTGATCAATTTTACGCACTTTTAATGCACTTTTTAATGCTTGGTTGTAAATTATATGTTTTTTCTTATTTCGTGAATTTTTCCATGCATACAGGGGGTGGCTAGTACTCTTCCTGTAAGTAATTTACGAGAATTTTGCGCTTCGCCTCGCGCCAATATTAATTCTCCCGTTGGTATAGGACCTGATGGTGGGGGACGAGGCGTCGGCTCTTAGGTCTTTGCTTGAAGTCAACTACCCGATGGAAAATGGAGTCGTCAGGAATTGGGAGGACATGTGTCACGTCTGGGACTATACCTTCGGTCCCAAGAAAATGAACTTGAACCCTAAAGATACAAAAGTGATTACCGTGACTCGAGTGTCGAGTGATGTATCATCAACACGATTTTTGGTTTTAGATTTTGCTAACAGAGCCACCAATGAACCCTACGAAGAACCGCGAGAAGATGATTGAGGTTATGTTCGAAAAATATGGTTTCGCCGGGGCTTACGTGGCAATCCAGGCTGTGCTTACACTATATGCTCAGGTACAGTGTTATGCATCATAATTAAATAATAAAATTGGGACTACATTTTTTAAAGTTAATTAGTTTGTTATTAATTTTTAGCTGTTATTTATTTAAAACCACATTAAAATTGTTCCAGGGTTTATTGTCTGGGGTTGTGGTCGACTCGGGTGATGGGGTCACCCACATATGCCCCGTTTACGAAGAGTACGCGCTGCCTCATCTCACGCGCCGGCTCGACATAGCCGGCCGAGACATAACCAGGTACCTCATCAAGTTGCTCCTGCTCAGAGGTTACGCTTTTAATCACTCGGCAGATTTTGAAACGGTGAGAATGATGAAAGAGAAACTGTGTTACATTGGTTACGATATTGAAACTGAGCAGCGGTTGGCGCTCGAAACGACAGTCTTAGTCGAACCGTACACTTTGCCCGATGGCAGAGTGATTAAAGTGGGGGGCGAGCGGTTTGAGGCGCCCGAAGCCCTATTCCAACCCCATTTGATTAACGTCGAAGGTCAGGGAATCGCGGAACTCATATTCAACACAATCCAGGCGGCCGACATTGACATGCGACCTGAACTGTACAAGCACATAGTGCTGTCGGGGGGCTCGACGATGTACCCTGGGCTGCCGTCCCGACTCGAGCGCGAAATCAAGCAGCTCTATCTGGAGAGGGTGTTGAAAAACGACACGGAAAAACTCCAGAAGTTCAAGATACGCATTGAGGATCCGCCAAGACGGAAAGACATGGTGTTTATAGGGGGCGCAGTGTTGGCCGAAGTGATGAAAGACAGGGACGAATTTTGGATGTCGCGGCAAGAGTACGAGGAGAAGGGGCTGAAAGTGTTGAAGAAACTCGGGAACAGGGCCGGGTGATGCGATTCCGATTGTTTTTCATTATCCTTCTTAACATGTTCCACCAAAATTTTGCATTTTTCTTTTTTTTTTTACTAGCTTAAGTCAAATCTAGTTAATTATTGATTTTTTATTATTATTATTACTATTATTAAATAAACGGTAATTTTTAAGTTACGTCGGGGAGGGCTCTGTTTTGATTGCCGTCTAGACGACAGTGGTGTAATTTGCTTTGCAGTACACTGAAAACATAAGCATTAACGGGATTAATGACGCGATAACGGGATATGACGAAACCTACCTATAAATTCCGAGACGGGGTCGTTTTCCCCGTCGCCCCTCATGGTTCCAGTGATTTCATCGTTCTCCACCATGGGCATGAAAAGGTGCACAAATTCGGAACTATAGGGTGGCCCGATGGTTTCCAATACCTGAGGAAAAAACATTCGATCGATCCGAAGCCATTAATAGGACTCAAATCTTACTTCAATCACCATGGCGATGACAGCTCGTAAATTCGACAGTTTTCAAATTGTATGAGACACAGTTATGGTAGTTATGGTTCTTATATTATTTAATAGCTTAAATTTGTCTACTTTGTTTAGTTGGCAATGAACCTGCCCTTCAAGGATATTAACTTTTGGTCTTAAATTGTAAATTTTTTGGTTAGTAAGCAAAATCCAAATAAATATAAAAGCTAATGTGCGTGGTATTTCCGAAGTCCACTGGAGCATGTGGACAGCTTGTTTAACAACTCCGTGCTGATAAAATAATTCACTCTGCTGTCACGTAATGGACACAAGCCGCGATGATGTCCTCACTAACCAAGGCCTATACGAGGTGTGTTCAGAAAGTAGGGTAACTTGTAATTGGGCGGGCTACCTACATTCGATCTTCGACATTTTTTTTGTTATGTTGGTACACGTGTCCCTAACATATGTTCGCAGTTTATATTAGTTTGCACGTTTACATTTTTTTGTGAGACAGAAGCATTAGACAGACGTGCTTTGTGATCTCGGCACTTTTTTTGCCAGTAAAAAAGATGAAACGTTGGCAATGGCATTCCGTGAATCTACTTTGAGCAAAAAAATGTTTAATAAGTGGTACAATCTGTTCCAAAATGGCCGAGAAGACGCCGATGACGAACCTCGCCCTAGACGCCCCAGCACATCAATAACTGACGAAAGCGTTAAAGAAGTGAAACTTATGGTGTTGAAAATCATCGAGTCACTATTAGAGAAGTGGCTGAAGACGTCGGCATCTCTATTGGCTCGTGCCATGCAATTGTTTCCTAAGTTTTGGCCATAAAACGTACAAGAAAAAAATTTGTTCCAAAACTGTCTAATTTTGAACAAAAGGATGATCGAAGGAGCGTCGTTTAAGGAACTGTTAAACGACGTCAATAATGATCCTGATATAGTCAAAAAGGTCATAACGGATCATGAGTATGAAGTCCAAAAACCAAAGCGCAGTCGTCCCAATGGGGGAAACCAGAATCGCCAAGACCCAAAAAGTTCGATGAAATGTTAAGTTTTTGCATTGATTATCGTGACATAGTACATCAAGAGTTCTTACCACGAAGTTCTATGGTTAATAAAGAGTATTACCTCGGAGTTATGCGCCGTTTGCGATAAGCAATACGGAGAAAACGTCCATAATTTTGGGAAAAACACAACCGGAATCATGCCTCCACCACCATATTCACCATATTTGCTGTCCCAAAACTCAAGAAACCCATGAAAGGAAGAAGGTTTGGAACGAATGAGGTGATAAAAAAAATCGCTGGAAGAACTCAAGGCTATACTAGAAAGTGCTTTGAGGATTAAAAAAAAAAACTTGGCACAAGTGTATTATATCAAGGGGGAGGGGGGGATTAGTTTCATTTTGATGAATAAGTAAATAAATACCTTTTGATAAAACTTAAAACTCACCTTACTTTTTGAGCACACCCCGTATATAGAATGTGTACACAAAACTTACCTCTGTAACAAAATATCGTATCAAAGAGATATCGGTGTCGCCACGTTGCCAGCATTGTTTTATGTATTTTACAACGGGTACCACGTACCCAGAGCACAACAGGTTCACCATTCTATCCAAGACCATTTTCCTCATCTCCAACTAAAACATGTGGTACATAAGGTGAGAAATGTTCCGCAAAATCTCGTTTAACGAGATCAATAAAACCCCTAACACATTGTAAGTCAAATAATAAAAAAAAACAGCTGGCGTCATTACTTGGACACTTCTCCAAGGGAATTTTTTTTAGGGCCCAACAACAGTCAATTTGAAAATACGTTTCAAAGACTTACAATTTTTGATATTCTAAATAGCTAATTACCTTTTAGATTTTCTGAATAAAACCTGATATTGGACAGGTTAAAATTTATTTGAATGTTAGAAAATAAAAATTTAACGGGAAAAATCTGTATCCAACTTATAGGTGTAAAAATCTCACCTGAACCAAGATTTCCAGCTCGTCCTGCTTAGATTCGAATAACCTAATTAACAATTCCAAAACCTGGTTGTGTAACAGGCTGTGACAGGTCGCAACTTCGTCCAACAATGCCAAATGGATTGGAGTGTGCTCGGTCGATAATTTAAAATAACTCGGCTCGGTTACCGTACATTCGACCCACCTTATCACCCCCAACGACACCACAGGAAACCTCAACGACTGATAGATAGTCGCCAGCTCCGCCATTAGCTCAGAACTCCCTTTGTTGCCGTTGCAAATATTGTGCACTGTTTCGATGGCTCTAATTGTCGCTTGCAGCTCCTCCTTGTTGCAAACTCGTTTTTGGCCCTTCTTCGGTTGCACCTCGCTGACGCTTGCAGCGTATGCCAGCAGATGGATGTATTTTGGCTTGTGGTCGGGGTTTAGTTTCACACCCGGTTTAAACAAAGCATCTACTAAGAGCTCTGCAAGAGGAGGATTAACAAACTTTTAATGTTATCTGTGATTGTGGCTGAAAGTGATTTTAATAATTTTCGCAGGTGGGAAGACCAATATATTTCCTTCTATATCCCTATAGGAACTGTTTGGACCTTTTATTAGGTAATTTTTATTTCGGCATTTACTTTATCCTTAGTTCAGGTGTGTGCACTTGATGAAAAATAACATTAGTATATTGGGGTATAAAAATTTAAAAAAAATAAGATTTTCTTTTGTTTTATTGTACATTAACTGTCACCTTTTAGATATTTTTATTTATCTAGTTTCCAAAAACATCTAACGCATGCACAACATCGAACATCGTTACATATTTGAGTCAGTAGTTGAAAGGTAAATTTTTGTAAGAGAGACATTTATAATGTCCTTTTCGATTTTTTGAAAAAAGGGTTTAAATTATTTTTTAAATGCTAATGTGTGAGATGTAATTTAGGAAGATGTTAAGTCCCTAACATTATTTCTAATTTACAAGGTCTGCCTGGAACCTCAATGGGGGATTGATAAAAAATATTGCGCCAAATAATTTATCTTCCTTCAAATAAGAAAGAAACTGAGACTTAATCTAAGGTTTCAAGATAACTTCAAGAAAAAAGAACCTGAAAAAACTAAAAATTTTAAATTCCTAATCATGTCAATAAAAATAGTTTTTTTTTTAATTACAATTTTTGGCCACTGCTGATATTCAATAAAGTGGCATGGGAGATGCAAAAAGTTTCTAAAATCTATAGTCAGGCTTAGGAATAATAAAACTAACCCAAAAATTGCGGCGTTCGGATAAGGTCTATTGGGGGCGGATCCGTCGTATTGTAATTGCGGTAGAGTACGGAAATGTCAGCAGGGTTTAATGTGTTTTTTGACAGCATCGCCGTCAGTGCCTGGCACGCTTGCGGATAGCCTGAAGCTCCGTTCAGCGCCATTGTTATCGGCGTTATGTCATTACCACTAAAAACTCAGGAATAAAAGATGCCAAGGCAAGGAATTGACGATTATTTACTTTTTCTGAGCACATTTCATGATTTCTTGTGACAACCGCTTCATGCTACTACCTCCTTTAGACTCTCTTGCTAGGATGTGTATAACAAGCTGACTGTACACGTAGGTGTGTTGCCCGTGGCACACCATTTTCTAAAATTAAAAACTTATTTACTCAACCAATAATCTTGAAACAAGTAACTAACCGCGCATTCTTTGCTCGTATTCTGCCATTCATCGGGGCTAGTGAGGAAACTTGTAATTGATGTTTTCAAAACCCTGGAAAACACTTCCAACTGCTGTGCGGCCGTCGATATACTCGTTATCTCTCCTTGAAAGCCCGCGTCGGAAATAAGCTGCAAAAGTTTCATAATAAAGTATTCTCTGTCTTTAGAGGACCTACTTTGATTGTGAAATTAAGCATCAAACAGTCGGGATACTCTTCTGCGAGGCGATAAATCAGTGATCTCCATGTGGGGTGCTCAATTAACTGAGTCAGCCAGGCGGGCGTCTCCCCTTCCTCAGTAAAAATTGTGTCTGCTTTTTTGGGGTCAAAAGTTTTTAAAATCATTTCTTTCAGATGGTTTTCAACCATCGCTTGGACGTCGGTCACTTTCACGCCCCCGATGATCAACCATTCGGCTATCAGATTAGCCATTTGAGCGACCGCAGTGTAGTTTTGTGATAACTCCTCAATGACTTGCAAGGGATTTCCCCCTGCTTGAAAATATCGCTTTAACTGAGAAAAAATACCGGGTTCCATGATATAATCCGGCGTGGCGAATTTTTCAGCGCAATCTGCCAATACGTGTTCCGGGTTTTCCGCTTCTTCAGCTCCCTCAGACTAAAAATTACAAATCAAATAAACGTTATCGCTGACTGAAAATAAGTACTTCGTTATCCCTTTCTCCATTGTCCCACGGCCTATCGTCGTAGTCTTCATCCATCCTAAAATAAAAGTAAGGGAATATTCAATTAAGGGTAATTTTAAAGGCGAATATTTAAAAAAACAACCTTTGGAAGTAGTTGGTGTTTGCATGCTCTCTTCCTCTTTTGGCTTGTTCATATTCTTCTTTTCAACTGTTGACCTACCGCCCGATATGTAATCGCAGTTTGTCGTCATGGGCCTTGGCTATTTATAATTGTTCGCCAGGACCGTTCGAGTATTATTTTTTTAACGAAACGTCTTCGATTATTCGTATGGAATGTGAATTATCTCATGAGTGCGCTAATTTTCGAAAATTCGTCAATTAAAAGGAAATTATGAGCGCTTGCGCACGGAGCGCAGAGAAAAGATGATTGTTCAGTTTCTGGACGGACAAACTGCGCAAGGACTGCGAGGAGTCAGTTTGTGATTCAGTTCCGCCTAGTCAGTGTGTGTGCGACGTTATTTTTAGTTCGTGTTTACGTGTCTCGTGTGTTTCTGCCTGGTAAACTTTTTTTTTGTAGTTTTTAGACATTTCCCCACGCTTGGATCGTCGTTTTGCACCTCTCCCACGATAAGGTAAGCATCTCGCCATAAATTTCATCGAAAACGTATGTAGAACGTGCAAACTTTAACGAAATATGTCACACTTTCCATCAACGAGGTGAAGTAACGTTACCCAGCGTTGCGACACGGTGCGTTTAACGCGTATCGGTTTCCAGAACTTTTCTAAGAAAACCCGAGGGCAATTTTAATAGTAAAGAAACGAAAGGTGTTTTTAATGGGAAACGCCGTGCCTTTGGCGAGAGACAAAGAAAGCCAGAGAGAAACTTGCCCCAGCCGCCGACGTGCCACACTGCATGTATATACAGGCTGGGTTCTTTGTTTTGGTTGGCGTTGAAAATCGAAGCGCATGTGTTTGCATTTTCGAACGGTCGCGTGCGAATTGCTTGTTTTCCGCCCATTTCGATTTACCTTTGAGTCTTACCTAGATACTACTTTTCGTTAATGAACGGCGTTTAACGGATTACATTCGTTTGACGCAAGTCAATTTTGAAAGTTGGCGTTTCGTGCCGAACACACATACCCCGTCACGTTTTGGAATTAAAATTTTCGTTGGGCGACATAGTTTTTCTAGCATAACCGAAGAAACTGACTTTGGTCGAGTACTGGTTTACGGACACGGTGCGACAACGAAAAATCTAAAATCCGTTTTTCTTGCAGATTATTCCTCACGCACGCAGTTCGGCAGTTTCGGCTAGTTTATAAATATCGATGTAAAAATCGAACGAATATGAGGGAAGAAGTATGTGCCGCGGTTAAGTTCTTCGCCTGTTTCATTGCGAAAAGTGAGACTTTCCCCAGGGAACAGCTGAGCAACTTTGAGAAACACCTCACCGATCTTCTCATAGAAAGGTAAGTGGGCGGACATTACTTTTTTGTGCTGCCTATGCAAAATTTGAGGTTAGGTTTGTTTTTCTCGCTGCCATTGAAGAAATTCGCTTGCCGAATTTCTCTCGCGATGTTTGACTTTAATGTTAGTGATGTCGTCGTTTTAAGAGGGAAATTTATCGTCCATTGGCGACCTACACGGAACAAGCCCGATTAAAAATTAGAGGTGGAATTGTTGTACGGTCTGCGTCAAGGTTCTCTTATATTCCAGCGACCGTTTGCTCCCGACTAATTTTGGAGCATTTTAGTGCGGTTTCCGACGCAATCACGGTCGAAAGTTGACCGTCTAAGCGGTAAAAGTTGCAAGAGTCGTATACAAATAGCAATTTTATGGGATCGGTTTGGGTTACGTAGAAAATGCGCATTTCTACAGTCGTCCGGCCCGTGATATTTTACCAAACGATTATAAAAAAACAACGTATTATAGTCGGTTTTTTTAATCGTTATGTTGTGGAAATGTACCCACAAAGTTTGCTTTGTATTTAAGCACGACGCCGTATTTCGACCAGACAGATTTGAGATTTCACTCCGCGCGAGGTTAAGTTTTTTGACATTTTGACGTCGCGTTTGACCTGCTTTCACGTGCTAGCGATTCAGCGGTTCTTCGTTTATCAGACGAGCGTTTTGCGCTTTAGTTTTATCTAAAACGCGAATAAGATTTACCAGTACTGTGTCACACCATACATAATAAACTCGTAACGGAGAGCAGACAGACGACCTTAAGTTTTCCTAGAATTAACATATAAAGAATAAGAGATAAAAGATAATACCTCACCCTCGAATCGGTAAAAAATCCAGTAAAGGCACTGGACGCAAACATTAAACATTTTGCTTCTCAAACAGATTAATATTTTTTCCGCAGATGTCTCGTCAAATTTTTAAATTGCCAACAGACAGCAAGCTTTCTTAAAGCGGACAAATAAAAGAAAGGACAAACGGCAATTATCGGGATATAGAGGAACTTAAATTGCCCGGGCACAACGTTGCCGGCTGTTGTCAAGGAGATTTTTTTTATAAGCATTAATTTATTAGAGGCCGTCGGTTTCATTCATTCGGGTTGTATTTTTTTTATTGTATCCCCTTGTTATGTGATATCCATTGTGGCAATAAACGCAAAAAGAGCGACAACAATGAAATCCCGACAAACTAATAAAGGACTATTACGCAAATACCCGAAAAAATTAAAAAAGTACGTCACGGGGGAAAAAAAATAAGATACAAAAAAATCGAAATAGAAATTAATGTTTTTTTTTATTAGTGCTAATTATTAACATTTTTGGTGTTGCTAGTAAAGTATGTTGAAGCAGTATCAAGGCATTAAGCACAATTTTTTTTCTGCTCTCTTCTGTAAAATTTCTAATTATACACTGATCTAACGTGCGGAAAGTGTCATTTTACCGTGTCATTTTGCAAAAATGTACTCAAAAATTGAAGGTCGCAGAAAAAGTATAGTTTGGTAAACTTTTAAATTCGTGCCTCAAATGCCGTTTACCACACTTGTTGCATAATATACTATTTGTTATTCCACAAAGTTCAACGCTACCCACGGTGGAATAAGGTACTCGTTGGTTCTGTTTAAAACGTAGGCGGTGTTGCCGGTACTAACACGTTTCGAAAATAGTATGGTCTGTTCATAGATAGAAGAAAGTGACCAATTGCTTTTGAACGGATTATCCAAGGGTCATTAACATACAATGCAACAAGATTATTATTATTAATTAAGGAAATTATTAATTAATTTATTGATTAATTATTAATTTGTAATTATTAATTATTAAATATTAATTATTAATTAAGGTAATAATCTTGTTGCATTGTATGTTATATCTATGAACAGACCATAACTATTTTGGGTTCTGCCTTTATTTTGCTAGTTTCCATTTTGTTCCACAAAACGCCAAACGCGTCGACATAACATGATTTGGTGATTCTAAGCTTCAAATGCAGCAGCAGTTTAAAGAGCTCTAGAAGCAAAAATTACAATTCTCATTGAAATGTTAAGACCTCATGCTTGCATTCATATTAAATTAATATTTTAGTTGCACTTTATTATAAATTGTACATACACAAGGACAGTTAAAAACGAGGTCAAACACAAAATTTTTGTATTTTATTAACATAACATTAATGTTTAAGAAAACAAGGAAACTCTGTATTACTGTAATATTGTAATATTTATTATAAATTCTGTATTTTATATCAAAAATAGTTAAAAGCTGATGTTTCAAACAAGATAGGAAACGCTACCTATCTCTAGTAATAATATTTTTTGACGATTTTTTGATTTAACAAGCTACCTGCTTACAAAAAGCTACTATAATATTCTTAAATATTCAAAGTACATTATGGTTTCACTTATTGCTTTTTGTTGATTTTTAGCAATCTGTTAACCTAATTAAATATATATAAAAAAATTAAACTTAACAAATATTCGCACATTTCTTTTTCGATTATAGGCTTTAAAAAGTATCCATGATAGGAATTAATTTTACTTTATTATTTTCTTCAAATGAAGGCTCGACAACACAAAACACACCACTTCTGTTCATTAAAAGCTTTTGAAGCTGTATCCGCGTTAAATACCTGTTTTGTACAGCAACATTTTTCACGTAACTGGGAACAGTTTTTATTGAAGATGGACATTTTATTTCCACAACTATGTCATCATTATAGGCATCAGGTGATGCTTCAAAAGCAGGAAACCAATAATGGCCTTCACTAAACTTCCTTCGCCGGTTTAGCAAATTGATACTTCAAAAGCTTTTGATGATGTTATTCGGCAATAGCGTAAGTCACGCCATAGGCCACGTTCACTGCTCCATTGTCTTCATAAAAGCTTTGGCACCTACACAGTGCCCAGACATTTTGGATGCTGCATAAATGGCAAAGTAATAATGGGAAGGTACATGCCAAATTTAAAAGTTCATTTTCACGAAAATACTTCAGTATTTGACTAGAGGCTCCGCATACACTGGCATTATTAATGAACTGTTCTAGCAAATTTGGATTCAATCTGCTGTGTTTTCTTTTGCACCTTACCTACCATTTTAACGTGGCCGCCGTTGTTTCAATAGTATGACGTAAGGGTGTAATTACAAAAGAGGTGCGAATAGTCGGTAAACTTTAACGTTTTTGTACGTCGCGTGAACTTCGTCGGCGAGCGTTGCCATTTTAATTTCAAGAAACGGCGTTCTGGGTGCGGGATCGCCTCTCGCATTAACCGTCATTTCGGGGATTGCCGAATATTATTTGCCTATCACGCAATAAATCTCTCGTTGGATCGCTGTACGAAGGTGCGGCTTTAAAAAACAATAACAAAGGTTTTGGTCGAAGTTTTCTTCTTTGTGCGTTTCTATCTAGATATGTATAACGTATCCAGTTTTTAAATTCGGCCATTTTGAATGAGAAAATTCCGCTAATCCAGTTTCCCCCGGATTATTCCGATGTCGCTGATGTGTTTGATTAAATAATTTACTTACGCTCGGTGGGATTTGAGGTTATTTTTTCGCCCATACCGTCAACGTTAAAGTTAAAATTGGCCCAGAATACCCGGAGTGCATGTACAATTTTTTTGCGTCCAAAGAATTATTTGAAATTGCCCATTTTTTTGGTGTTATCGTCGTCGTGTATCTAATAAACAATTAGCGGCTGTGTTTTTGACTCAATTATGGTTATTGCTTATTACGTATGCTGACATGTTTTAAATTAAATGCGATGTACCTGTACGTCGTTGAAACGCTTTTTTTTGTCTTGTTGTTGTATCGATAGTGCGTCCCAGTTAATGATTGGGATCTGCGGGTTCTGTGACATCATGCGACATAGAAAAGTTTAGAAACATTCAGATCTGGCGACGCTCCGTATCTGAGTGTATATATGTATAGCAGGGCAGTATCTTGAATTTTTCCTCGTAGCTCAGTTACTCTAACCAAAACTAGAGGTGCTATTCAAAGATCTGTTTATATAATTTTACAAGAATTAAAAAAAGTAGAGCAGCACCGAAAATTGAACATCCTGTATAATATGAAAGAACTCGGAAGGAATTCCAACTAATTACAAGGGGAATTAGAAGTATAAGGAATTACGGTGTATGCGCTTTCCATCATCCCTCGACCGGAAGAGACCAATTTGAGCTTATTAAAAACGGCTATATACTTGCATCAGAAATAGAGTGCTTTTACAACCGACCCCGTGATTAACTTTTCCTACGGTTTATTACTCCAAAACCGCAGGCCCTTATAGGACTTATAGAAATACTTCCCCTTCTTAATTTCTTATACAATAATAAACATTCAAAACAATTTGTTTAACATCCGAAGACAAATGGATCAGTTTTTTTATTTGCTGAGGTAGGTCGTCTTCTAAATTGTCATTAGGTTCGACTACCATCTCCACTTCGTCTTCAAATTCTGCGTTGTTTTCCAACAGGCGAACATATGCTTTATTCCACGGTCTCCATATTTGAAAGTTTTCGAAAATACGAGTTTCTACAAGTATTCGTTGCGGTCCATCTCAGGCAAGACCTACTTAATGCAAAATAAACATATCTCTGGATGATTTTTACCTACGAAGGTCTGCGGTTAAGGTACTGTAAAATAAAACGCCAAAGCAGTAAAAGCACTATATTTTTGGTCGTACTATACCTATGGAAATGCTCTTATAAAAACATTTTGCAGCAACACGGAAAAATTTAAGTTTTTTTGAACCGTTTATCTCGTTTTTACTTTATTGCATCGCCGTAATTGCGAAAAAAAAATTTTCTTTCGGAATATAGGGACTCACTCCAAGTTCCCTTTTTATTGCACGTTAATTCGAATGGACAAAATTGACAAAATCTTTATAATCTAACCGAATATGTTTTGATTCGGGACTTCGTGACGTCCGATATATACGCAGCCGCGACTCTCACCAAAAGAAAATTATGATAAATCGAGGACTTATTATGTAGGCATTTAACCTGAGCAAAC